CATGGCGCCGTCCATCCCCTGGTAAGATGGTAAGGGTTATAACCTACCCCTGTCGACCTCTTGTCGCCCCCCCCCAGGCCACCCCCCGTCCCTCCATCGTCAACTCCTTCTGCGGCGCCCCCGTGCTGCTGCCGGACGGGGACGTGCTGCTGGTGGGCGGCCACTACGGCCAGAAGGGCACCCCCCTGATGGACGGAAGGAACCAGCTGCAGGTAGGTGGGAATAGTGAGGGAGGGGCGGGTGGGGGAGGGAGGAATGGGACAGCATCTGCTGGGGACTTGTGTAACTAGAAACGAAGCTACCGCCCAAGCCTGGCTTACCGTTCCCCTCACCCCTCGCTTCTCCCCCTGTTCCCTCCCCCTTACTTGTCCATGCTAGGTCCTCAACCGCACCACGCTGCAGTTCTCTGTGCTGCCGCCCATGAGGTACCAGCGCTGGTACCCCACCGTGGCGTCACTGCCCAGCGGAAAGGTACGGCAGTAGCTAGTACGGCAGTAATGACGATAGCTAGGGTGCTAGGGTGAGAGCTCGGGCGATAGCTTGGGAGGCATGCATTGCGAGCGACTGCCGGCTATCATTCCAATAGCACCCAAGCACAACCTTTCCCTTGTGGTCCCATCTCCCTCACTCAACCCCAACTAACCCTACCCCGAAACCCCGTTTTTAACGCCTCCCTTTGCTACCCACCCCCCGGTCAGGTGCTAATTGTCGGTGGCACGCCCAAAGCCAACACGGGCAAGGTGCCGCCCTACGCCGAGGTGTTCGACCCCGCCCGCCCCACCGCACCCACGCAGCTCTTCAAAATGCCGCCCAATTTTGTCAAGCACGCCGGCCTGCAGTACTACCCCTTCGTGCACACGCTGCCCCGGGGTGAGGGCGGGGTCACGAGGAGTCTTGTTATTAACGTGCGGGCTGGTGCGGGGCGATAATGGGGGTAGGAGCGAGTTAATAATGCAGACATGCAGGGTTACGGTATGTATGCAGGTGTCAACGTCTGCCATAACTACAGCGTTAATGGCCTTACCAGCGCTTGTTGACCACCCCCGCCCTTCCTGCTCCTGCTCCCCTCCATCCCCTGCTGCCTCCAGGCCACCTGCTGTGGTGGGGCGACCGCGGCGGCAGCATCACGCAGGGCGAGACGGAGCAGGTGCTCATGGACCTCCCGCCGCTGCCGGACAACTACACGTGAGCGGCTTTCTTTCCGTCGGGTGTTGCGATTAGCGCCTGTGCCTTGCACTTGCTGAGGGCCTAGCAGGCTGCTTCTTGGCGTTGTTTGGGTCTCAACTTCACCTGCTCCCTGCCCGCCTTTTCTCACCCCGCCCCCTCCTCACCACCCCACAGCTTCCATACCATGTACCCCGCCACCTCCACCATCGTGCTGCTGCCGCACGGCCCCGAGGACGGATACGCGTCCACTTTGATGATCTTTGGGGGCGGGGTAAGTCGGGGAGTGGTAGATGCATGCAGGAGAGAGGTGCGGGCACAGCGGGGATGAAAAGGACAGGGACTACAGTTCCACACGCACGCGTTAATGTGGAATAATGCCAAGCTTGTTCTTGTGTGTTTTCCCAAAGACATGCCCCTCATCCCTTGCATGCCCCTCCTCCCGGGTCCTCCTTGCTTCCCTCCAGCGCGAGTATGACCCCTACAGCCCCAACTCCACGTCCCTGGCCACCTCCACCTCCCTGCGCCTGGACCTGAAACCATGCAACACAACGGCCGGTGGATACTGCACGAACGGGTGAGCAGCAGGGGCGGAGCAGGAGGGTGTCCGCGTGGGCTTCGGAGATGTGATGTTGGGAAGCTGAGCGTGGGGATCGAGGTCCTCCAATACACGGATAGTGTCTGTCTTCCTGTTGCAGCCTGCTGAGGCGCGTCTGGCTCTCCCGCTTCCCCCCACCCCCCACACATCCCTTCCGCCCTCCCGCCCACCAAAACCCGCAGCTGGATCCAGGAGGAAATGATGGGCATTCCGCGCATCATGGGAGATGCCGTACTGCTGCCCAACGGAAAGGTCGTTATCACCAACGGTGCTCAGCGGGGTCGTGCGGGCTGGGTGACAGGCCATTACAAGAGTGGCTCCGGAGCCTCTCACCCCGCCAACACCGCCTTGTTGTACGACCCAGCCCGCCCGCTCGGCAAGCGCTACAGCCGGCTTGCCTTCAACCGCGTTCCCCGCATGTACCACTCCACCGCCTGCCTGCATCGCACGGGGGAGGTGCTGGTGGCGGCATGCGACGCCTGCGGAAACCTCACGGGAGTGGTAGGTGATGATAGCGGCCAGGCTGGGACGGGATCGGAGGAGGGTTATAGGTATAATGAGGTATCGGTGCTGTTACCACACCTGCGGTACAGATACCCGTTTCTTGTGTCTGCCATGCGTTCCCCCTACTCTACTCGCGGTATGTTTTACACTACGTACCCGCAACCCCTTCCCCTTGTTCGTGCATGCTCGCGCCTCCCCCCCAGACCGCCGCCATGTCCCCCAACCCGCTGCCGGGCTATCAGGAGGCGCGGCTGCAGCTGCTCACGCCCAAATTCATTGCGCCCAGCGTGATTCGACCCGTGATCAGCAGCTCCCCCGCCCGCATCACCTGGGGCAGGTGAGTGCGTGCATGGAGCCCCTTGTCAATCGCAGCTTGCTGATGCGTGCAGTCCACGGCTGAGGCCACGGGCACAGCTAGGGTATGAGGGCACCCCAACCTGCTGCTGGTAACTCCTCTGGCCACTGGCCATATCCCACCACACCGCCAACACATGTTGGAGCCTTGTCACACGGTTAACTCGTTTCTTCCTCTTTAACCCCCAATCAACAGGTCCTTCACGGTGTCCTATCGCTACGCGCCAGGCACCATCACGGGAGCCTCCCTGGTGTCCCCCTGCGCCCGCACCCATTCCATCGGAATGAACAACCGGGTCATTAACCTGCAGGTGTGTGTCTGTAAGGGTACTGCGGCGGGTCTATGTAGAAAGACGGATGTAAGGCGGGGCGGGGTATACATGTATGTCGGCGCACTTGGGTGCGTGTCTCCTTAACCGGTAGCACAACTCATCAGCAGCCACTTACACACACTCCAAGCCCCAACCCCTCCCGCCCTCCCACCATGCATGCAGGTGTCCGCTGACGTCGTCAGCAATACGGCCACCGGCGAGCGGCGCGTGACGCTGCTGGCTCCCCCCGCGAACCTGCCCGGGCTGTCCCCGCCCGGCTACTACCTGCTGTTCCTGTTGGGCCCGGGGTCCACCTACAGTGAGGGAGCCTGGGTGCAGCTGGGGAACTACTGAGGGAGGGAGGAAGTGGGTATGGTGCTAGCTAGGCATGCAAGCACGCAATTAAAGGATGGGGGCCCGAGCCTGGCTGCTATGCGGAGGCTGAGATTGGCTGCGCGAGCTTGCATGCTAGCCGTCCAGCAGGGTCCGGGCTCAGCAGGGTGAAAGAGGGGCCGACCTTGCTGTTGCTGCTGGTGAAGGTCAGCTAGGCGACATCGCGGTATCAGGGGCAATGGTGATAGCTAGCTAGGGGGCCGCAATTATTTTAGGTTTCAATACATGCATGAGAGGTTCTAGGAGGTTTATTTAGGTACACGTACACCCGTTTGTATGGGTGTACGTGTATGTTGTGCGGTACTATGTACATACAGAGGGGTGGTACCCCCATCTAGTTGGACTCTACAGCATGATAGAATACTGTATAATAAGCATTTATTCAACTTTCAGTCGTGTGTCTAGGAGACGTGGGATGAGCCCCTACAGCGGTATGGTGTATCCTTACCTGCGTGTGATCAGGCGAGGTACCCAGGGCGATTGGGTGAACAGAGAGGGTTAATTGCTTGGACAAAACGTTAGACATAGCCCTGGACTTAATTTACAGCGGTCTCAACGGAGCATTTCATGACTCGCTCATGCATCCCGGCCTCTTGGTCGCCTCCCTAGGTTTCGTTAAGGCAAAATATGGAGGCTGTTAGACACAAGCATGCATGCGCCCCTAAGCCTGTAAAAGTACGTTAGTTCTTGGATTCTGCGGAGCTTACCTTGCATCTGTGCACCGCCTCGCACAACCCCACAACCACAACCCACAACACTCCTTTTTAAGATGGAGAAACAACCCTTCTGCCCAAACACGACCCAGTTGCAGCAACGAACAGCGTGTCGAGTACTGAATGCGACCCATGACCCACGGGTCACGCGGTTATAAGCAGGACCCGGTTGTAGGGATAGGGGCAGGCCGCTGTGACGTGGGAAACGAACAGCTTCCATGTGAAGATGTCGTGGCTGGGGCAAGCTGCTGTGATGCATGGTCGAACATGCTCCAGCAGGGAATGGGGATGGGAATGTATCTACAGCAGTAGATGCATGTTTCCCTCCTCGCAACGAACCTTTCCAACAACGAAGTCTCCATCAGACCATATCCAGCCTAAGAACTGCGCAAGGTGCACCGGTAGCTGTCATGTACGGGCGTAAACGCACATCTTGCCTATCCAACCTCGCATGCATTGGCCCCAATGGCCGGCTGGATGACTTGAGCAACAGGGCAAATACGGGTACGATGATTGCGGCCCTTAATCATCCTCGCGAAACGCACACATGTCCGCTACCTTTCTTCCATAGTAACTCGAGCTTAGCACAGCCCAACGCCTCTCGATATCCTCCCGCTCGCCTTGGTTCACGTTGTCGCCGGAGTAAGGCCCCCCTGCTGCAGTGCTCGTACGGTTTCGTCGGTGTGCCGCGGATTCTTACTTCTCACATGATAAATAACACGTTTCTCATGTAACGGTTCACATGACTGCATCAGTCCCCCTACCACCCGCGTACGCACCCCTTCGTTCCCTTGCTCCATGCACACCCGCAATAATCACAAACCGCCCCACAGACCCTTCCCACAGCCGCTCACCGCAGCCGCACGCGCCATTATCACGCTGCTCCTTCCTACATACCCTCCCCTTCTCCCTCCCTCCCTAACGCCCTTGCACACCTCCCGCATCCTCCTCCCCTCCCTGACTCCCCTACCATACCACCCCTCGGTCGTACTTGCACACGCAGTCGTACATCCTGCCCCCCAGCAGCGCCGCCACCTCGGGGTGCTTGATGAGGCCCAGCTTCAGTGAGTCGCAGGTGAAGGCGGCGTGCAGGTTGGTCTCGATGGCGCGACCCATGCCCTCCAGGATGACCAGGTCGCAGTCAGCCGTGGCGTCAACCGCCTCCTGGGATAACTGCGGCAGGGGGCAATGAGGGGGGAAGAGCATGGAGAAGGAGGAATGAGAAAGAAGAGAGGAAGCAAGAGAGGGAGGCTTCATGACGGCCCTGAGCCTCCTCCCCACGCCGCCCCGTCCGTCCTGCGCCCACCCGGGCATTACGCAGCACCCGCAACGCCTGGCCTGACCCCTCTTTCCGCGCCGTCACCGCTATCCCCCGCCCCATGCCACCACCTCTTACCTGCGTGAGATCGATGACGGGCATGTCGCTGCCGGAGCTGACGACCCGCAGCGACCCACGGGTCAGTGCAGGCGCCAGCATGTCCCGTGGGTCGCTCTGCGCGGCCCGCTGGAGCAGCTCTGACAGCTCTGATGCGGTTATGTCGTTGAGGGTGAGGCCGCGGTTGGCGAGGAGCACCACCTAGGTAGGGGTGGAACATGAGGGATACGCTGAGGCGGTCCGGTCGCGGATGGGTTGATGGTTTCAGCATTGGGCACTTCGAGCGAGCAAGGGGCACCTGTATATGTGCCTGCTGGGATGTTCGGCACGCGAGGACGGAAGCGGGGATTACCTCCAGCATCTCTCCTGGCTTCACAGGAAACGCTTTGGAAAGCCGTACAGGGCATCTCCGTAACACTACAGGACCGAGTTTGCTATTCCGGTTTGCAAGCTTAACCTTCCCAAGCAAACAACCATACCCAACCGCCCTCACCTCCCGGCCCCCCCCCACCTGCACCCCCGCCCCCAGCAGCACCCTCGCCAGCGGCAGCATACCCAGCACCACATCCGGTCCCGCGTTGTCAACGAACAGCGCTGCCTTGCGCCACGGCAGCAACACCCCGCCGCAGCAGATTGCTGCCGTCTGGTGCTGCTCCCCTTGCTTCGCCTGCCCCGCTTGCTCCTGATCCTGCACCTCATCCTCCTCCTCTTCCACCCCGCCACTCCCCCTCCTCCTCCTACCCTCCGCCCCCACCGCCGCCTCCAGCAGCTGCTCCATCTGGTCCACCGCCCAGGGTCGCGGCAGCAGGCGGGCGCGGGTGGCGGCGAAGGCGGCTGCGCTGGCGCCGCCCTCCGCATGCAGCTGCGCGGAGGCCGCCGCTCCCAGGTCGAATATGTTTCCCGCGAACACCCCGCGCAGGGCCAGCTCCAGCCTGGTCGGGAGGGAGGCGAGCAGCGGCAGGAATGAGGAAAGGGCTGAGAACAGCAAGTTGGTAACGAGCGGGAGGGGAGGGAGGGGGTTGAGTTGGGTGGGATAGGGGAAAGAGGGTGAGGGTGGCGAGGAAGAAGGGCTGGCGTGTACGCAGGAGGAGCATGCAGGGACAATGCAACCTCAGTTCCTAACAACCGCACACGTCCCTCCCTCTTTCCCCCCCTCCCCCCTGTGCCCCGCTTGCTACCCACTGCGCTCGCAGGCCGCCCGGCCCCGCCCCCAGCTCGTCCAGCTCCCGCAGCACTCCGGGCAGCAGCGCCAGTGCGCGCTCGTTCTCCGCGGCCTTGACGGAGGCGAAGATGTCCCGGAGGCCCGCGGCGTGCAGGCAGTCCTCCCTGGAGAGGTAGGGGCGCCCCGGGGCGGGAGGGGGCAGATGGGTTGGAGGGGGTAATGTTGACAGGAGTACGGCACCGTTGTAATTACAGGTACGCAAGGCCCAAGAGGTGGAGTGAGAAAGGAGGAGATGCTGGGGAGTTGGCGCAGGGTAGGCGGTGGTACGGCACAGGGAGATGCGGCAGGGAGCCCCGGTGCGGCGGAAAACAGCACGTGTGCTCCGCTGGAACCCCACCCCACCACTCCCCGTCCCGCCCCGCCCCGCCCCACGCCACCCCACCCGCCGCTCTCGTACCTCAGCTTGCACAGCGTGTAGCAATTCACGGGTTGCGAGTCCGGATAGCCGGGGGCTGGCGAGTCGGGGTGGGAGAGCAGGGCGTCTAGGGCGGCGTTGAAGCGGGCCGCAAAGTCATCTGCAGCAGCCTGGCAGCGGCAGCCGCAGTGAAAGGAACAGGAGCGGCGGCAGCGAGTAACCTCGGCAGTTGAAGCATGAGCAGTGCTTGTCCCGGCGCGGGCCAGCGGGGAGCTGTCAGGAATAAGCGACGCAGCCCTCAAGGGATGCAGCTCTGATCTGGCTATTAAGGGAGTAACTGAGCCGGGTAGGAGAAGCGTTTCGCGGAAAAGAAGGATTGCAGTACAGCATGTGGCCAACCTTGTATGGTTTTATCTAGGCGTGTTTCCCCATGCAGGAGTCCCCGTGGGATGTGTCCTGTCGTACCTGCCTAAGCTCCAGCGGAACATGTTCGTCTGTGAGCGCATGCGTCTTGAATGTGGGTATGCTCTTGCGGAAGACCTCGATCCAGTCAGCGTATGCCGGGAGCCCGTCTGTCGTACTTTGCCTGGCAGCATATGCAGTACACGAGCAGCGTCAATTCGTAAAGTGCGTCAGGGTGAAAGGCAGCCAGGACAAAATGAGGAAGTACTGTCGTGGTTATGCGTTAACGACAGCTGGGGTTCGGAGTACGAGCATTCGATTCTAAACGGAGCAGTATTGGTTGAAATCAGTACTCGCTCTCGTTCTAGTTCTTGCGCCGTGCTTCGCGCGGTGAGAGCTTTAGGTAGCGTGTCAGCCGTCTGAAGGCTTGACACACCTGTAATTAAAAGTGCAAGCACTATAACCTAGACACAGTTGTTTAAGGGGTACCATTTTCTTTCACACTGTCTTTGAAACTACCAAAGACGTCTGAAATTCACGTGATCACCTAACGACCGTAATTTGGTTCGGGAGGAAGAATGTGACCCTTCACAGGCAGCGATTTCTATAAGGATTGAAATTGCTTGCAACAGACGGAAGGAAATGCCCCTCCTGAGAGAATGTCCCTTACAGTTATGATTGTACCCTACTGTTGTACAGAGCGCTATGCCCAGCCAGCCAGCCTTCTTACCATGTCGCAAGTAACACAGCTGCTCGCAATGATCTTTCAGTCGACGCGCTTAATATTTAATATACAACTGGAGGAGTAGCCTGAGAAGGTCTTGGAGAGAAGTTGTCGAGGCTGCACAGCTGAAGCGCAACACCAACAGGTATTAACCTATATTTGTTTCTCAAAAGCTCGCGCCGTGCTGAGCAATTGAGACATGCCTTATCCGGTACTTGTTCTGGGTCGCCGCAGTGGCCTCGACAGCTCGGGGCCTCGACGCTTTGTCCCTTACGCCGACGGCATATTACCTCGCTTTTAGGTAAGACGGGGCACTTGTGGTTGGTTAGAGTGTTAGTTTCTCGGCCCGTATTATCCGGAAAAAGGACGCGTATCCTCGGGCTCGGCCTCACATGGTTTTCAGATGGCCTTCGCCGTTGCTAATGGTAAACATTTAATTTGTATGACGCGCGCTGCCTTCGTCGGACGTGAGTATCGGGGAAGGACAGGTTATGGTACTCTTGGCTGCGCTTTTTCTGGCCTTGCGCGATCCCGCTCGCTCTCGCGGCAGGCGCTTTCCAAAGCTACCGTTGCAAGATGCAATACCCTTTGATAAAATGCGATGGAGAGGTCTTTTGGGGCGCATTCCAAATGACGAGACGTCCCAACATCCTTGCAGGTGACAACTTGAGCTTGGAGCAGTCGCTGCTAGCAAGCAAGATGTCCGTGGATCTGCACAGCCTTCCTCAGCTACCAGGGCTAGCGCATCGGCCAAATTTTCCGCGTGACTTGCGTGTCTTGTTAGTCGATGCCGACTACAAGGCTAGACAGGAGGCCGAAGCGCAGCTCCGCGAATACCATTATACTGTCACACACTGCAGCAGCAGTGTAGAAGCGGCAGCCCATCTGGCAAATGGGGAAAGCAGTTGCGATGTGGTCCTCGCGGATGTGCGCTGCTTGCAACAAAAGTCTGCCGAGCACGCCGCAGTTGTGCAAGCCGCGAAAACTATACCACTAATTCTGATGTCGGAGAGCGGCACGCCAAACGAGGTCATGCTGGGGATAAAGCTAGGAGCGGTTGACTTTCTGGAGAAGCCTTTGTCGCCTCTTAAACTCAAAAATATTTGGCAGCACTTCGGTAAGTTTATTTGGTGTACCTTCAGGGTTGTCCTATAGTTTGTTTCCGCGCACTTGTTCCAGGTTCTGTTTCGGCCATGGCATGCAAGGAGTCGCAAGGGTTCTTCTTCTTACTTCTGCACGTCAGGCACGTGGGGCGTTTACAGATATACATATGTTTTAAAACTTTGACACGTGCGTTTGCAAACTTGCTGATTCCATCCCAACATCCATCCCCGTCTCATCCGTCCCCGTCCAGTCCGACGCCTCCTGTCGGCCAACGCCTGTGGTCCTTCACACCACAAAAAATGCATCGCGGCTTCGGCAACTGCGTCTCCGGAGATCTCTGGCTCCCACGGCGGGGGCTGTGGCTCCCATTCCCACGGCTACGGAGGTGAATCGGGCAGCAATGCCAGCACCAGCGAGCAGCTGCCGGTCAAACTGGACTTTGATGCCGACATCGAGACCTCCTCCTTCCAAGAAGCCATGGGCTGCATGGACGCCTTGACGATGCAAGTCGCGAACCACACCAGCACCGGCACCATGGATGCGGATTGTGCCCTCCTCGGCTGCACTGCTGCGGCTCCCGCCTGCATCAGCCCAGCCATGCAACTCGACACCCCCTGCTGCAAACCGCGCCCCCAACCGCTCAAGTACAAGGTCGGCCGCGGCTCCGCTCCCGGAATCATGAACGGCAGCGGCGGCAGCAGCTCCGGCAGTGGCAGCGGCAGCGGCAGCGGCGGCCTCTACCCCAAGCCCTGCATCGGCTATCCCGCCGGACGGCTGCCTCCTCTTCCCGCCGGCGTGCCCGGTATCGAATGGGGTCTACCCACCAACCCGCTCCAAATCTCCCCTAAGGCCCCGCCCATGCCGCCCATGCTGCCCCCCATGTGCTGCCCCTGCCCCTGCCCCTGGCCCGGCGGCTCCCTCATGCTGAGCTCCCCGCCGCCTCTGTTCCCGCTCATGTTGGGCTCGCCCTCGCCCTCCGTCGCCTCCGGCTGCTGCAGCGCCCTGCCGCTCAGCAGCAGCTGCCTCACGCTGTCCTCAATCGCCGACACCGTCGTCGCCACCGCGCCGCTGCCGCCGCCCATGCGCCGTTCCGACAGCGACCCGCTGCCTGCCGCCTCGGGCTGCTTCTCCTCCGGCAGCGCCGCAACCGCAACCGCGACCGCCGCGCTGGGCGGCAATGTGGGCGCAGCGGGCGGCATGACCCCTCCTACCGCGCTGTCCGCTGAGGGCATGGCATTCATGCAGCCCTGCAGCGTGCGGGGTTTGGCTGCTGCTGATGCTGGAGATGCTGATCCGGCCTGCGGTAGCGGAACCGTGTCCGGGGACATGTGGGCCTGCGGGGTGGACCCGGATAGCTCGCCCTTCCAGCCGCCGGTGGGCCTGCCACCCATCGGTCTGCAGCTGAAGAAGAGCCCCAGCCTGGCGGACCTGATATCCGAGTCGCTGAGGCAGGGAGTCGACTTGTCGGTGTTCTAGAGTCGGAGCTGCAGGGTTCGATTGCCTTGAGATTCAGCGTGGGGCCTCCAAAGCGCCTCCATGCTACTCCTGTGCTGCATATCACTGTGAGCCAACCGGCGAGTGAGTCCAGCTTAGACTGTTTTGGAGAAGAAAAGCGATTAATAACCTAATAGCGTATTGACGCTGTGAATGGGGCTTAAGTACGGATTTGCGTGGAAGAATTGAGCGCTTGCATGCTTGCTTGCTTGTTTTTACTCGCCCTAAAGCGCCCCCTGTATCACAGCAGGCGGGAATTTGCAGCTGGCGTGTGCCTTGGTTGCTCCTCTTTCGGAGGTGTTGGTTGCCGGGCGTTGAGGTTCGAGTTACGAGGGTTTCCGAGGTTTGGCTACGGGGTTGTTGCTGTGGGTTGTAGGCCGCATCATGAGAAGAGGAGTATCTGGGCTGGGCCGCTTTTGTGCTCTTCTGTTTCCAGTCACGCCGGCTGTACAGCGGAGGCGCCGGGCTCTGCCCTTGGCGGCTTCTGGCGGCGGCTTTGAAGCGGGCTAAGGAGGGGCAGATAGGGCAGCTTCTGTGCTTAGGATAATTAAATATGGCAGTTTCTTGCGCCCTGGCGGCGTGTATGCCTTCATTGTTTGGCGTAGAAGATCGTCCATCCCTTGGACAGCCTGGTATGCCGCCGAGTAACTCCTTTAGTGGCAGCTGGTTTTGAAGTTTAGAGCTTTGGGTATCTGAGCAAGAAGAGTGAGTTGTTGAGAAAATGTGAGCGAGGCTGTGAAGAAGTGTTTTGTAGCGGTGTTGATGTGTTTGCATGGTTCACAGCACAGGCGACAACCCCGGCAGCCACTGCGTGGTTGAGATTATTCCGGTTTCCTAAATGCACGGCACCCGCCGCGAAAAGTGAGGTGGGGCATATCGTCAAAGCCGTAACGGCGCTGCAGGGCTACTTGAAGCATATGCATATCGGGGCGGCCGTCCCGGCGTTGCGCTTGGTGTTGGTTTACCGTTCCGTTGTTGGCGTTACCGGTAGTGCTGTTGCTGGTTGCTGTCAACCGCTGCTTCGTCTGTCGGCAGGCATGCGACCCAAGATGCGCGGTTGTGTGCGACGAGGATGGCAGCTTGTGACGTTGTGAGGGAGCTGCATGCGGCTTTGCGGTTGTCTGGATTGGCATGTGTCTGCAAGGGAGGGTCTTAGTGAGCCCTCTCCTTAATGAACTGTCATGCGCTTCCTATGGCCCGAGCAGGGCGAAACATGTTTTCCCACGCACTTGCATCGCCTTACACTTTGAGCCTTGACTCCTTCCCGATCTGTGATGTGCCGTACCCGTACTCTTTGCACGGGTCTTGAATTTTATTGGCATGTCTTGCGGGGCCTATCAGGGCGGTCTCGTCAACCCTTTCTCGATCAATAATGAGTATGTGCTATCTATATTCCTACCCTAAAGCGCGATTCCTGCCGTTTGTGTTTGGAAAATGATGTCACCTGCTGCGTTTCTAACGTGGCACAAATACGGATGCTTGTCAGTCCCGCTGCTCACAAAGTGTACCAATCACCAATGCGATGAAATGCTAATAGGCTGTGTGTGGCTGTTGCGGTTGTTGTGGTTCGTTGCCGTACCTGCTGCTAAGCATAAAAAACAGAAATAATTGCGTGTGTTCATCAAGTCAGTCGGGTTTGCAATAGGCATGCCCACCCGTTTTCCCCCTATCCGGTATGCCTGGTGTGTTTCAGGTCTTAGGTGTGCTCGCTCATCCGTGCGTCGTTTGATGCTTCCCTGCTGCTGGTGCCTTGTCGTTTGCATGCGTGTTGGTTGCGTACGGTCGCCGGGCAAAGCCCACCTGCCGGATTGCTGCTGCCCGGGTTTGCAGTGGTCGTTTGATCGGATTGGAGATTGGAAGCCGGCCGCCTGCAGGCACGCTGAATGGGTCGTATAGCGAGGCGTCGCACTGTGCAATGTGGCAAACTGTCCAAATCGTACGGCACTGTCCAAATCGTACCGTACAAGTCGGCAGTGTATGTTTGAGTGGACACCCGGATGTGGCGGCAAACATGGTGGTAGTAGGAGCGAGTTGGAAATTTTGTGTGAGCGATGTGCTTCGTTGTGCTGAGGATGTGTTCTAGGTTAATCCAGGTAGGACTTGTGTTCCGTGTTTTCAGTTCGCAGGTTACGGTTTGCAAAGAGAACGTGCTTTACAGGCAAGTAGGGTTTCCTTGTCCTAGCGCCAAGCAAAGCATTCGAGAGCAGTGGCGAGTGTCTCCAAGAGCCATTCTTTATGTGGCTGTGCTGTGCTGTATTGGTGCAGGCCGTTGCAGAGAGAGACAATCATTTCGGGTCGCCGGCGAAGCAGATGCATGGAGAGCATAACGAGCAGGCCGCGTAATGCGAGGCCCTCAAAAAAAGAGATGGATTCGCTTTCTGGAGATACTGATACAGTTGTATACATCCTCTGTGTTGTCTCTCGGCTCGTTAACTGTTTGAGAGCGGCGGTATGGTGCGTTGAGCGCCGTACCCAAGGATTGAAGCGGAGGGTTGTATGTTGCATATACATTTCGGTGCGTGTGTTGGATTGTGTCTGCTCAACAGCAGCTTTGCCTGCCTTGTGGATTGCTGGTCCCATGGTCCCTGCTCGATAAGCTACCTGTGGAGGGGTCGCAAAGACTGATTGTTCTGTGCTGCATCGAGGTCCAGGGGTGTTGGGAGGTCCGGCAGCAGGCGGACGGAAGCCTGACAGACGAGTCGTTGTGTGGAGAGAGCGAGTGCGCACGGGAAGACTTTGAGACGAGACGAGAGACAACATAAACAACCATGCTAAGTAGTAGCTTCTTGCTTGCTTAGTAATAGCTCACACGTGCTTGAGAAGACCTAAAGGCGTGGTTATGTGTACGGAAATTCTGGCGGAAGCAGGTGGAACGTTTCATGGTTGCGTAGACTTCCCTAATACCGGAAGCGTTTTGTGGCATGCAACTGCTTCGGCCGTTGCAGAGCTTTCGCGGCTACGGTGCAGCTTACCGGTAAGCCACAGTTCGGCTGTGTTTTTTGCGAATATGCACGCGCTAATTTTGTCTTTGTGCGTGCGGCATTCGGGTGCGGAGAAGGAGGAGTTTCCTGATTTGATACGGACCTTTGTAGCGTAGCAGTCCCAGGCTCATGCCCGTGGTATAAACAAAGTTTGCCATTGAATGCTAGCGCGGTGGGAAGTTACATCCCTATCTGTGTGGTGTTTAGTTTACAAAGTACTGCATGTGCTGGTTCCTGGTTGTATCGTACAGAGTTGTTTTTTGTTGTATTATGACGCCTGCGTCTCCTGCCGTTTGTAAGGCTCGTTGTATGTCCATGCATCCAAACCCTTCACGTCTCCAGGCTAGAGGAAACCGCAGGACCTACGGAGTTAACCCATCCAATCCCATGGGGTTCCCATGTTTGCTTTCCTGTGACCCATGGGTCACCATACTCAACCCGAATGTTCCACTCGCAGCTGGACTGCGGAGGCCATCTTTTAGACCTCTGCATGCAATAGATGGACGAGAAGCTGAGGACACGCGCATTGAGCCCGCGCCAACAGCCTAAGGGGTTCAATGGTAGCTGCACATCCGGCAGCAGGGTGATTCATGATGTGGCAGCAAGTACGGCGTCCAAGATGGTTGCATGCGAGATTCAGGGGGCACTGTTTTTAGGGGTGCTTGCGGAAATGACGGGTATCTGGGAGTATACCGGTATCCCTTATACTCTTCCCCGCACCGCTTTGTAAGGCGTTCATACCCCTATGCACCAGCGCCTTGGTGGCACAACTGGACCTCACACTCACGCTGCTCATGTACACCGTTGATGCACAACGTGTGACGGTAACGGCCCTTAACCTGCCTGCTACATGCCCGTCATACAGACCACCCAAAATCCAAGTATGGGTACGCTGCATACCCCGCAGCAAGTCCATGTGACAAACGGGCTGCTACCTAATATCGTAGTAGCAATTGTCGTCCGTGGTGGAACCATAAGCAACCCAAGGTATATCCCGGTGCAAGTACAGTAGAATAAAATCATCACAGCCTCCACCGGATGAGCGAAGGCTTAGGAGGGGCCCTCGTGGAGTCCCCGTGAACCATACAGCACACCTTCAATACTCACAAAATATTACGCACAGTACATGCTTGGCATTCTCCTGTGTCGTACACGCACGCCAAGAATGCATGTTTCATGGCTTACTGCAGCCTACCCGTCATGTCCTGACGTGGGAAGCGCACCGACACACGCACGGGCGTCCCCCGCTGCTGCTGCAACTGCACCTGCAGCTGCTGGTGCAGGGCCCCGCCAGTTGCAGCGCATACGCCCACCGAAACGCCGCCACCACCAACACCACCCGCCCCCTCACCAGCTGCCGCACCGCACGTCGGCAGCACCGCACGACTCGGCCCCTGGCTGGCCCCCACTTGCATGTGCAGCGACAGCGGTACGGCGCCACCGCTTGCCTCGCCATGCGCCCCCGGCCTGGTCCCAGAAGTGCAGCGCCAGTCAGCTAGGCTTGCCGTACTAACCTCCGCAGCGCCGAAACCGCCGCCGCTGCTGCCACCACCACCGGCGCCGCCGCCATTAGGAACGTCCAGGGGCTCATCGGAGCTGGCGAGAGCAGGAGCCGCCACCAGTGTAAGGCCCGCCGGGGAGGACTCCAGCTGCAGTCGCGGGGCGCTGCCGGTGATGCGCACCGAGTCATGTATGCCGCCCGCAGTTGCCGTGACCGTGTGTCGCGTGGGTGTGCCGGTTGCCACGGGGGCTGTGGTCGCAGGGGTCGCAGCAGCAGCAGCAGCGGCACCAGTTGGTGCGCTATGGTGTCTCCATACAGACAGGGTTGCAGTGGGTGAGGATGCCGCAGGCGACTGAACCACATTCACGCGCACAAGCGGTCCATGTCCGCCGTACAGTGCGGTCGCCGATGCGGGCGCCGACCCATGGGTCTGTGTGGACGGCTGGCCTGTTTTCGCCGTGTTTGCTTCCTCCGCCGCTGCGCCACCATTCTCGCACCAGTCTCCGAGCCAATTGAGATGATCCTTCCTGTCTTCATGTCGGTACGAGGTGCCATCCGTGAAGTGGGTGGAGTAGCTGACGACACTGCCTGCCGGAGACGACCCAGGCGGGTGCGATGCGGGCATTGCTGCTGCCGCTCCATGCGCAGCAGCCTGCTGCTGCTGCTGGTGTGGGTGCTGCTGCTGCTGCTGCTGCTGGTGCCGCACCGGTAGCGGGTGCGGGTGCGGGTGTTTCTCGGGGCTGAGAGAGCTGGTGAGGTACTTGGGGCCGGCGGGCTCCCTCTTCGCAGCATGGTCCTGTTCGGTAGAGTTGGGTCGGGAGACGAGCTGGGGCTGCTGGCGGCTGGCGTCAGAGGCCGCGGAGCTGCTGTTTGCTGAGTCACCGCTGCCCCCAGGCAGGGAGGGAGGGCTGCGCAAGGGAAGCGGTGGAGCAGCAGGACGACGGGGCAGAGGCACGCTTCAGTGAGGCGGAGGTGTCACATAGAGCTGTCCGCGCGATGGGAGGCGCTATAGGGCCCACAGTTCCATGACACAGCGATGATGCGTTGCTGGCCTCAACCACAGCACTCGCATCCCTATGGTCTGCATCCCGGGTTGATGCCTAGCCCAGCCCAATGGTGCAATCAGCCTTGCAGGGGTAACCGGCTCACAGCCTACCTCAATTCCAAGGGCTCCCGCTCCTTCTTCTTTGCCGCTCGCGGCTTGGCAGCCTTGCTGGAGGGCCTCTTCTTGTTGGCCAGCAGGCTTGCTACCTGGTGACTCAGCTCCTGAATGGAGCTCAGGCCGGCATGGAGCAACACCTGCGGAGGGCGCGGAGAGCGCGGGGTGTCGCAGTGATGAGCTGGAAATCGATGCACCTCTCTCCTTGATTCTGCTAGCTCCAGGAAAGCCATGCGCCGCTTGCTACTGACGGCCTAACTCCCCATGACCTGCCCCCATGCCCAAGTACGGTAGCACGCCCTCCTACCTTGCTGTCATCCTCCACCCGCCGCTGTTCCCCCTTGGCCGCCGCCGCCGCGGCCGCTGCCAGCGCCGCCTGTGCACGCATGCGGCGCTTCAGGTCGTTGATCTTCTGCCCCGCCACAACCGCCTCGTACGGCGCCCGCTGCTGGAAGGTCTGCTGCAGCCGCCGCAGCTCCTCGCGGTGCGCCGCCGCCACCTCCGCCAGCCGCTGCCGCTCCCGGTCGCGCCACACCTGACAGCGGGATTGCCGGGAAGAGGAGGGCGGGTAAGGGTCAATACCGTTATTTTGCTAGGTTTAACAGCAAGAAGGAAACACAGGAACGTTGACTCGTATGCGCATGCCGACACCCATACAGGGTAAATGGGTAATACCTGGACGGTCAGCTGATTGCACTAAAGCTGGGTCGGACGCTTCCCGTGGTCCATTAACCCAATAGGGTTAGGGTACATCATGTTCCGTGTTCCACGAACCAAGAGACGGCCGCACGCTTGCAACACGTAGACTTATCTGGAGCTATGAACCCATGCAACCCAAATCCCAGCCCAGCCAACCTTATTCAGCTCTGCCACCAGCGCCAGCAGCTGCGCCGCGGGCAGCGCAGGCATCGCGCGCCGCAGCAGCGCGCGCCCCGCCTCCAGGGCCTTACGCGGCACCCAATGGTATTGCTCGTCCAGTACGACAGCCAGGGAGGGGTCAGAGCCATCTGGGTCGCCGCGGCTGCGACCAGCACCGCCGCTGCCACTCATTTCCTCTACCGGCCTGCGACATGAAACACGCAGATCGGCAGGTGCATGGGTGCACGACTTGAGCTGTGGACCTTGGGAGTTAGCACCCACATAAATGCGTGCCAGGCTTCTAACGAGCGGGGCCTTGACGACCTTCCGGTCCGCTAACGGGGCCCCTAAAGGCCTGAACGGAGCCCCACCGCACCCCACTAGCGGTATTGTCAGCCCCGGCCCCACCTGTCCAGCAGCTGCGGGTGTAGATCCTCCACCAGGCCCCGCGCCATGAGGCACTCCTCCAGCGGCAGGTAGTGCAATCCGCCCTGCGCCGCCATCTCCGCGGCCATGGAGCGGTACTCGGGCACCGCAGCCAGCAGCGCCACCAGCCGCCGGTTGTCAGCCTGGGAGCCGTGGGAGGAGGGCGGCGGACGGAGGAGGAGGAAGGCAGGTGGGTGGGGAAGGCAGCGCACAGGGTACGGAATTTTGACGGACACGAAGGGTGGCGCCGAGTACGGTAGCTGTATAAGCGCTGCCAGCTTGTAGATAAGGAACCAACCAACCATGCATGCAGGCACCTGCACATGCATGCATTCACCCGCACCTTGAGCCGCTGCAGGTCCTGCGTGAGGTCCTCCACGGGCGAGCTGCGCGCGGCCAGCTGCCGCCGGTAGGTGTCCGCCTGGTGCCGTACCTCCGTCAGCGCGGCAGTGAGGTCGCGGATGCGCAGCGCCTGCACGTCGCGCTCCGTCGCACCCGACTCGGCCTTGCCCTGTGATACCGGCAGGAGGCGGAGTTGGGAGCTACCGTTAAAAGCGGATGGCAGCAGGTGGGCGAATGCGGCATGCCAGGTATTGATCACAGGGCGACATTGACGTTGCGACAACAGCAGGGGTCTTGCTTCAGTGCTTGCGACAGCATATGGTACGAATTCATCGTGTCTGGGCGTGTGAGGTAGGCAGTATGCGCCTGGAAGCCTTATCCAGCCTCCCACGCTCACTTGTCGTTCTCACAGTTCGTCAGTTCCCTCCCCTTGATCTATCCCCCTCACCGCCGTGTACTCGTGCATGAGCCGCAACTCCGTCACCAGCGCCTCCGCCTCCGCGGCGCGCCGCTCCGCCGCCGCCTGTGCTGCCTGCGCGGTCTCCAGCAGCTGTTGCAGCCCCTGGTTGTCCGTCACAAGGTCCTGACGCCCACGCACCATCTTGAGCAGCCGGTCAGCCTGCACGGTACGGCAGGATACAGAGGCTTATGTGTGGCACCAAGGAGAGCGCGAAACAGGGGCGGCTGACGCTAAAGGCAGTACTCTGGCGATACATTCGTGCTGCGCAGGAACTGTAGCACAAGTAACGCAAAAGCATGAGCAGCAGCCCGCCGCACTGCCGCACCTGCGCTTCCAGGTCTTGCTTATGCTGCGCCCATGCCTCCTCTTTGGCACGCATCTGCGCCTGCAGGGCCTTCAGCTCAGCTAACGGCTCCTCCGCTTGGGCCCGCAACTCGGCAGCCTGCGCCCGATACCCCGCAATGGCCTGGTCCTGCTTGTCGCGCTCCGCCTGGACCTGCCGCCGTAACTGGTCGGCCTCCTGTGGTGGTGCGGGGAAGGGGTGGGGGTGTGAGGGGCCCAATGGGGGTTAGCGTAGTTCTGTTGGGTCCTAGCGGCGTGGCATATTCGGTGGTGAGGGCAGGAGGCTCACCTGTTCCTTTGCCCTGAGCTGCTTCTGAAGGGCCTCTGTCTCCGATACCTGCAGGGCAGGAGCGCGAACACAGAGTGGTTAATTGGCCGGTGCTTGAAGAATGCAAGAGATCAAACGGCCGTCCTCGTGTTGGCTTGCGTATAGCATGGGTTACAAGAATAGGGCAGCGGACCCGCTCATGAATCCTAGCTAGATGCACAGAAAAGAACACATGAAACTTGCTGTAAATCGGTGTTGGGATGATTATACGTGGGCAAGGAAACATTATCCTTGCTCAGCTGTCGTGGTGAGCTGTCATGCGACATTACCTGTGTCTCTAGTTGCTTCGTAACAGATTGCCATAGTTCGCCGCTTAACCATATGCCCCTTCCACGACCGGTCTGACCGGCGAGGTCCTGATAAAAGAAACGTGGGTCAAATGCCATCCGAAGTCGGAGCGACATTACCGCCTAGTCTTGTTGCTTATACACTACCTGCTGTGTCCTAGCAGCCCTTAGCACTGTTAGTAGTTTCCGAGCATCGCCAGACCGCGTTGTGCCATCCTATCACAGCATGGCAAGGCACAGCGTTATGTGGGTTGCTGTACCTCCAACCCAGAACACAGTTTTAAAGCGCTTTGTATAACACCGTTCTTGTCTACGAATTAACGATCACCTGACTGCTTGGGGGTCTGGGCTCGTTGCCACTTAACGAACGGGAGCTTTGTTTTGGTTGTTTCATTCTATCTGCAAAACCATAATCCCAAAAAATAGTAGTTTATATAACTAAAGGTCATCTAGCCACTATCAAGGGCTATCCCATATGGGTAGGTTTGGAGAGGGCGCTTGCAGTAGCGGCAACGTCGTCGTACACAAGCATAAGCGAATGGTCCGTGAACGCATCCGGGAGCAAGGCATAGAGCTTTAGAAGGATTCATAAATACAATCGTTTTGGAGGGCCTGCACCAGCCTGTCCTCATATGCGACAGCACCGCGGCATGCCGGCATTGCCGAGTCGCGAGCCATTGACTCCGTCTTTCCTGTTAGAAGACTGGTACAGCCTTGAGAGTTATAGTCCCCACTAATGGTTTCTTAAGTCTGAACGGTTTGGCGTCGTTCGCGGGCGGAAACCCTCCCAAGCAGCTTGCATGTTGCTTCCAAGTCCTCGTTACGCCCCTGCTGATCAACTTTGATCCTCACCTGATGAGCTTAAACGGTGGTAAGGATACGGCCCGCAAGTCGGATATGCGTCGGCTGTGTTTGTGTGGCTGACAACAACGGATACATATACAAGGTCGGTCTAGTTACAAGCATGAAGCCGTCCAAGTGGTCACAAGCTGCCCGTCAGTATGTACACCGTGGCTCACCGCTAGCAAGTTGCCACCTGGCTGCAAGCTGTCAAGACCATCAGCTAACAGATGCCTCATGTGGGCAGCAGCAGCATAGCAGCAAGCTATACCACTACCCCAGGCACTTCACAAGGAAAACGTTTTCGCGCGCCTTTCACAGCGTCGCATGCTCTGAATACCCTGACGGGCATTACCTACAGTAAGCACGTGTTAGCAGTCCGCAGCGTAAAATGCACATGCCCCAAGATCACACGCTTTACACTGCTGCATGGGTCACTGCCAACCCCTAACACGCACGCGCGCCTCCTTAACCAACACGTAAAAAGACCAGCCTGCTCTCCACCAACAGTTAACCCCCCTGCTCAGCCCCTGCACTCCCCTCACCCCCTACACGCCACTACTACCTAGCCCTCACCCGGCATACAGTCGCCCAAGCCACACGCGCTTCCCAAGCAGCAGCCTCGCTCCAAACCACAATTACCAGGCCACACGGGTACCTCTCCCACCGCCCTGCCTCTTACGCCCCGCTGCCCGGCGCCTGCTGCATCTGCGCCTGCTGCTGCTTGAGCTTAGCGAGCGGGTCCAGCACCTTGCGCACGTGTGCCAGCTCCACGGGGTCGTTGCACATGGGACAGCGGCCCTCCGCGGAGATGATGCGGATGAACTGCGTGGCGGAGGCGGGGAACTTGCAGCCGGGGCACTCGGCCCAGTCGGACAGCACCATGCGCTTGCCTGCACAGCAAGAGAGGGGAATGCCGGAAGGGGCTGGTTAGGTGGTGCCGGTAATGTGTTACAACGTACATGCCTCATTGCCTCTTCTTGCTGGTCTTTTGAGTCATTGCAGGAAGACATTCTGAGCTGACGGCTGCAGGTAGTGCGAGTCCCAGACATGGACATGTGGAGTAGGTATGCACTTGTTATGTTACGGTGTTAAGCACGGTAGCTGCCTGCACAAGGTGCACCAACAAGCGCGCACCTGTGGCCAGGTCGAAGGGCAGTATGTTCTGGCAACTGATGCACTGCAGCTCCGTCTCCGGGCCGGGCATGTTGCAGAAGGGGCAATCCGCCAGCGGCTCCTCCTGCTCCTCGGGGTCCTTGTCGGGCTTGCGAACCATCAGCTCGATCTTCTTCTTGTACTTGACCGCCACTTGGTCCCTGCGGAGGAGGTGCGGAGCAACGCAGCCAGTGGGGTAACGGTCCGTAAGTAAGAAGCAGACGGTCAGGTTTGTAGCGTACGTGTTCCGTGAAGCATTGGAGGTTACATGCCGCTGGAGAGCTTGGTCAGAGATGGGGTTTGGGCTTGAGGTCCAAGTTACGGTACACACCAAAGCCTTCTTAAGTGTAAACCTGCTGCGTCAGGCTGCGTACCTGTATTCCGGCCGCATGAGCATGGACGCGTACTCGAAGGCGGTCTTCTTCAGGCTGGCGCGGTGGCACTCGATGACGGTGGAGGTCAGGATGGGCACGATGTGCTTGGGGAACTTGGAGATGTTTCGAGCCTGTTGTTACGGGCGCGCACCATGCGACATTAAACGTCAAAATCCACACACTGGAAGAAGCGCAACCGCAGCCATGGGCAAACACACCCCAGCACCGGGTCACCGACAGCTACCGGTGCCAGAACCGGAATCTGGACGCCAAACAGCCGCAATTAGGAGTCGTATTCCCCGTTCCCGGGCCTTTTACTCACCACGCGGACCAGCATGCGCGCCGCGGTGGTGTGGTCGTTGATGGCGATGAGCGACTTGACGAGCGTGTAGGAGTGCAGCAGCATGAGTGCGCGCATGAGCTCCGTGGGCGGCCGCGTGTTGAGCGCCTCCAGCTGCTTGACGGTGGAGAAGAGCTTGTCGTGAGCCACACGGTAGTTGCCCTCCTCCTGCGGTAGGGAGAGGAAACACGATAAAAGAAAAGGCGACAGGCCGCAAGGCCAACAAGTGTCAGCATGGAAAAGCAGAATCATACCCAGAAGGCACTCGAAGCACGTCTACAGCACTGCTGCTCCTAAAGCCCTCCCCCAAAGCCGGACAACACACCCAAAGGCCAGTTTTGTTACCATGAAGTTAGCACCGAGCACCGCCCACCTGCTCGAAACGTGCCATCTCCAGTGCGTCGCGCGCAGCCTCCTGGAACTGCCCCATCGCGATGTTGAGCTTGAAGCGGAACTCGTCGCGCGTGGTGCCGTCCTTCTCCTCGTTCACATAGTCCAGCACCAGCACGCCCAGGTTGTGGTTGCGCGTCTGCTCCACCACCTGCACCGCCTTCTCCAACGCCTGGTTGGTGCCCACCTGCTCGGGAGGAAACGCAGGGTGCGCGGCACGGGGCGTCAAGGTACCGCACAGCCACGGCCTGGTGCGATGGTGCCTGCTCCAGGCTGTTAGCAGCGACCTCTGAGAGACATCGCACATCACGACAACAGCTATTTATGGTGGGAGGTGTATGGGCCTTGGGACTTGTGCGCACGGTGTTTTTGGCTGCCCTTACCTTGAGGTAAAGCTGCACGGCGCGGGGCGCCTGATCGCACTTGCTCCACATGTCGGCCGCTTTGTCGTACTCGCCGCGGCTTTCGTAGTACTGCGCAATGCGCTGGTAGTCCACCGGCTTGGCGCTGGCCGCCACGATGCGCGCAAAGGTGTCCATCTCGTTGTGCCCCATGGCGATGTCGAATGCCTGGTCCATCTGGCCCGCCATCAGCAGGAACTCCACGGCACCCTGGGGGGTGAGGGACGGGCGGACGAGCAAGCGGTGCATGTGAGACGCAAGACAACTAGACAAGGAGGGCAGCATCAGTTTGGAGGCCATGCCTGCAGGCTTGCTGCCTTGGCAAAGCATGCGAGGACATGCGGGAAACCCAAACTGGTCAGGAGACACCGCCCGGTTCTGGTGTACGGCAAGCAGGACGATCCTATGCTCCTATCGCAGCCAGTCTGGACACGTGGAAACAGTCGCACCTGGAAGTCCTGCGTCTGCAGGCAGAACCTGGACAGCTGGTTGGCGGCCTCCACGCTCTGCGTCTTGCGCACGATGGCGTAGGCGCGCTGCGGCTGGTTGAGCCGCTCCAGGCACAGCCGCACCACCGCGTCCATGTCGCCCGCCGCCTCGTACGCGGTGGCCGCCTCCGCCCAGCGGCCCTCCACCTCCTTGGCCTTTGCGAACTGGAGCTGCAGCTTGGAGGAGCTGATGCGGGCCATGAGGGGCGCGGCGGCAGCAAAGTTCTTGGTCTGCGGGTGTGGGATGACGGATGAGGAACGGGGCAAAGGGGTTAGGAGGGGAGGGTCGCGGAATTGGGCAAGGACGCAAAGATGTGCTAGTAGGAAGGAGGGTGGGAACGCTGCTGATCAGTGGATGCCATTCACGTGTATTGGGTCATCAGACGTGACGGGCATACAAAGCTATTGCCGATGCCATGGCAAACCACCACCATACCTGGATGTAGATGCTGGCGGCTCGCTCGTATTGACCGGCCCGCTCGTACATCTCCGCCGCTTCCTGCGCAAGGGCAAGACGAGCACACATGCAGCACCTGGTTACAAGCAGCAACACCCAACCTCTTTATCCCGCGGCAGATTCCTCCAACACTGTTTAACCTTACGACCTACATACCAACAAGCCGAAATTGCACCACTTCCCGCCCCCGCCCCGCTCCAACCGCCCCTGCCGCCCTCACCGTGAGCTGCTGCAGCCCCTCCAGGATGAGCGCGCACTCCTTGAACAGCGTGGTGGAGTTGATCTGCAGCGCCAGCTGCCGCCCCTGCCGCAGGTCGCCCAGCTGCAGCGTGGTGCGCGCAATGCCCGCCTTGCACGCCGTCTCCAGCTCCGGCTGCGCGGGGCCCACGGACACAGCCAGCGCGTCCAGGGCCTGCTGGTAGTGCTGCTTGGCGTTGGCGTATTCGCCTGGGGGTGGGGAAGATCAGGAGGTGAGGAGGTGCGGCAGACGTGGCGTGTGGCGAGGAGGAGCTCCCAATGCGTGAGCAGAGCATGGTGGACGCAGGGGAGCTGGCATGGGAACACCTCCTTGTAAGGCCCACATGGCACAAGAGGAGCAGCATGAGCCCCACCCTAACGTTCCCGGACGCGAAGCAGCCAGTACACGACACGCCTTTTTTCCCGCCCTCAAACATATCCCCCCGCCGGCCCCGCACCCGTCATCTCCAGCATGGCTCCGTGCTCCTTGCAGATGGTCCCAATGGCGTCCGGGTCCAACTGCTCCGCCAGCTTCAGCGCCTCCGTCCAGTGCTTCAGGTCCATGCGCATCTCAAGCGCGGCGCGGGGAACGGATGAGCGCTGGAAGAGCTCCTGCAGGGCGTGGTTGATACATGGAGATACATGGCAACTTGGTACCGGTAACAAGGCCGCTATTCGCTTTCAGAAATGAAAGCCGGCCGCCGTGTACGCTAAGACCGAAAGCGTGCACGTGCGCTCGACTACCAGGAGCGCACACCATACCACCGGTACTTCAATGCGCGTGTCTGCCTGCACTTATACCCAAGTCCTTGACTAAGAGTCATCCGTGCTGTCATGGGGGGCTATCGTTTTCCACTTGCCTGCGCCTGGCTGTAGTCCTTCTCCAGCAGTACCATGATGTGCGCCGACAGCAGGTTGCGGTCCTCGTACTGCCGTACACGCTCCAGGGACAGCACCATGCTGGCGTCGCCAACCTGAACGGACGTGTGTCACATACACATACACGTTCCTACTCGCGGCCAGTTTTCTTACCACACAGTGCTTGCAGCGTCAAGTGCAGGCTACGGAGGGAATACTTGTACATTGTAAAGGTACATCTCAAGCCATCGCCATTTCAACATGCGGGGTTGTTCGAGAGAGGCGTGTTGCTGGGTACCGTACGACATGTTTAAACGTCCAGCGCTCCATGCGCGGGTTGCAACCTCCTCCCACCTGGCGATATGCGTTGATGGCAACGTCCACATCCAGCACCTCCAGCGCCGCCAGTGCCAGGGTGCGCCACGTCTCCGTCTGCCGCAGCTGCGTGGCGCAGTCCACCGCATCACGCAGCTTGTACAGCTTGAGCGCCTGTGCAAACCTGCAGGAGGCAAGCAGCAAAAGAGCAATAACAGGACAGGAACGATAATGACCAGCATCAGGGGATTTAACAAGCCGCGACTTTAAATACGGTACAGGTCGTCCATGGCAGGCAAAGGATCAGAACGCAGATGCAACAACACTGGCCTTGATTCAATCCAGTACGCCATAGTGCTGGCTTCAGAGCTGAACACACTCATACAACCGGGTCGCGCACCTCTTCGCCGGCACCGATCTCGCCACCGCATCCCCCGGCTGCAGCATCTTGTGGCTCTCCAGCACCACGTTGTCCATGGCGCCGTTCTTCAGGCGGCACCCCACCACGCCGTTGCAGACCGTGAGCGGCGTGTGCGTGGCGCCCAGCGGCTGCTTCGACAGGAACTGCACCTGCGGCCCCGACAGGCTGCGCGGGCGCAATGGGGAAGGATCACACGGAGGTAGGGGAGCAAAGTAAGGCGGGGGTGCGGGCGGGCGCAGAAGCGCTGGTGCGATGCGTTGCATGAGATCGGGCAACATGGGCGTTCCCCTGTCCTCAAGAGCCATGCCGTAATGCTGCACGCGAAGCGGACGCCGAGCTCTCTGCGGGATGCCGCCCGTCGCTAACCGGTACGTTGGGTGGCAGTTTGGGTACACTTCGCTTACTGCTTACCTGACGGGGATGTAGAGGTAGGTGTGCAGGGTGCTGCCGTCCGCAATGACGAGCACGTTGGTGTCGGAGGTGTCCCACATGACCAGGTCGGCCCGGCCGGTGAAGTTGGGGATGGGCACCACGTGGTCGTTGACGGGGTTGAACAGGTGCAGTCCGCCCTTGTCGTCCTCGAACACCAGCCGGGCGCCGGTGGACTGCGGGAAGAGCCGCATGATGCCACTGAGGGGGGAGGGAGGGAGGGAGGCGCATATGAATCTCGTCTCGTCGAAACGGAGGATGCTGGGTTTACCGGCTACCATTTTTGTTCGTTCTGAGTCGTACAGCCCGTCGCAATTGGCAAAAGCTACAGCGCGAAAGCGGACATTCCCCCGCATCCTTGACCCTCTCCCAAACCCGCCTGCCCGCACCCTCCCTGGCTCTCACCCCTCGTCATGCCGGTACTCATTCACCGGCGTCACATCCGGGCTAAGGTAGTACGACAGCGTGCCTGTACGGCTGCCCGTGATCACAAACGTGGGCGTCAGCGCCACACACGTGATGTTGGCGGGCTGGCCGGGCCCTGGGACGACTACGTCATGCTCGTCCGCCGCATGCCCCGGCTCTACTGCAATGGGGTGCACCACCACATGCCCCCCCGTGAGCACCGCCGCCTGCGTCTCGTTGAGCTTGATGGCGGTGACGGTGCCCAGGTAGTCCCGCCGCTGCACCACCTTGCCCACCTTGCCCTCCACGTTGTAAAAGGCAACCTGGGGGGGAGGCAAGGGATAAAGGGGAAGGCGGGGACTTGGAGCATCGGCAGCTGTGCTGATCATGATGTATTTTGTCCGGAGTCGTATTGTGTAAGATTGAATGCCCCCGTTGCCCAGCAGTGCTTGCTTCTCGTTGTCTGCACCGTGGAAGCGGGCGACACTCACCGCTCCACACCTGCGCACATGCATCGCCGCGCACCCCCCCCCCGCGCACCTGGTTGTTCATGCCCATGGCCGCATGCCCCGGCCCCAGCCCGCAGAACGCCGGCTCCGACTCCAGCTCGATGCGCGCCACCGTCTGGCGCCGCGTCACATCCAGCACCGTCATCTCCAGCAGGCTGGTCAGGTACAGCACGCGTGTGCCGTAAAAGTCGTACACCATGGGCAACGAGGCCAGGAAGGCGTGCAGGTAGCCGTTGTGCGTGCCCACGGTCAGTACCTGCACGGGAGAGAGAGAGAGCGTGCGCGCGGGTGCGTGTGCGGTGTAAATGAGGAGTTCGAAACGGTCATCACCATATTGGACAGGGCGGGGGTAGCTTTCAAGTGAAACCTCGGGGCCTAACACCAGGCCTGCCGCCATGCACGGCCACAGGTGCAGGTCCGCAGCCTGCCTCTCCATGCAGGCCGGCTCTCACCTGGCCGTCTCGCGTCCAGCCGACCTTCTCCACGGACTGGTTGGCGTCCAGGTCCACCGCGTCGCTCTTGATCTCCGTGTAGTCCTGCCCCGAGGTGTCCAGCACGCGCACGCAGTTGGCGCCCGCCACCGCGATGCGGCCCAGAGCGGGGGAGTGGCACACGTCCGACAGCGTGTCCAGGTACCTGCGGCCCGAGGGTGTAGCGGCAGAGCGGGGGGGGTGTCAGGGGTACAGGGCGGAGATTCAGGTTCAGGCACTGCGAGGATGTGACACAGCATGCGCAAGATGGCTGTACTACACGGGGTTTGTGGCGCGAGCATGCCCTTCTGGCCCCGGGTTCCCTGCCGCTCCCTCCGCCGCTGACTCACTTCCCCGAGTGCACCTCCTCGCTGATCTCCCTGCTGTGCGAGGACACCACCACCACGAAGCCGTTGCGGAAGCCCAGCAGGATGTAGCCGTCCCCGAACCAAGCGTGCTTCATGATGGGGCCGTACGTCTCCAGGAACGCCAGCTCGATGGGCCGATCGCCCTCAGCAGTGCACTGGAAGGTGGAGGTGCAAGCATGCATGGCAGGCCGTGTTGGAGTGTATGCGTACCCGGTACCGGTATAAAAAGAGTTGGCCGTATTGGGACGGGTGTTTGTGCGATTGATAGTTGCCAGGGTTTGTATCGAAGACCGCTGTGTGTGGTGGATGGCCGTTGGTTTGGGTGGCTCCATGGAGGTGCATCATGCAAGCCCCCCATGCAAGCAGCGGGGGATTGGGCTGGTGCTCACGGCTCAGCATCCCATGCTCACCTGCATGATGTAGAGCGTCTTCCTGTTGATGTTAAGGGAGTAGGTATTCTCCTGCAGCCAAAATGAAACGGCGAGGGGAATTGGCATGGTCAGCCAATGTCATGGACAGGGGGCAGGCCATGGCGCATCACCCACTCTTCCCGTGCCCGCCCATGCACCTCACATGCCGGACCCCTACATCCCTGCATCCGCACCCCTCGCGCACCTCCCGACGCGAGTAGCCGTCCTCCTTCTTATCCGACACGCACAAGTCCATGGGCAGGTCCTTCAGATGGAAGGTCTTAATTGTGTCACCCGTCACACCGTCCGTCAGCGTCACGGACTTGTCCTGGGCCGCCATGGCCAGCAGATTGTCCTTGTTCCACGCAGCCGCCACGATCTTCTTGGTGTGCTTGCCCACCAGCGGCGTCTTCTTGCGCTCTCGCGCGTTGTACATCATCAGGTTGCCCTTTACCGTGGCAACGGCGAGGTACATGCCGTTGCGAGACCAGGCCAGGGTAGAAAACTCTTGCGTCTGGGGAGGCAGGGTGGCAGCGCGGAATGGCGGGTATGGGTTGAGTTGGAATGGGGAGTGCCGGGGGCACTGGCGTGTTTGCGGTGGCGGGTTGCTGAAGGAGAGGCATGAGCGGCTGCCATTTGAGTCCGGCGGTCCTTAGGCGGAATCGCATGTATGGCTGCCAGCGCACATTCGTCCTGCTGCCTCCAACAACGCCCCGGGCGTGTTCCAGCCCTGAGGAGCTCCCTGCTCGGTGCCGGGTCGGCTGTTAAGCTGGAAGTACCCCGTGACTCACGATGTACTACCGGCATAACCCAAGACCTGGCAGTGCAGGAATCCCAAAGCCATAACACACCTTGAACTCCGAATCTATCTTCTGAACCTCCTTGCTGATCGATGACCAGATGAACACGCAGGTGTTCCCGGCGGGCAGTATTGCCAGCTGGTCACCCGTGGGGTCCCACTGCGAGGAAGGCCGGGAGACGTATGTCACCAACACGCACAAGAGAATCCCCGTCCTGGTAAAGCTGACGCACCATAAGCTGGGCGCATGCGCACCCTCTCCCATCCGGGTTAGGATACTCCGCTGGTGGGAAGTGAACTTCATCGTAGAGCCGGCCATTCCTGTCAAGGATGTTGACCTTCCTCTGAAGGCCGGATCCGAATGGGTCAGTCAAAGTCCTTACGGAACATCCACAAGACGAGCGCTATGGCTGGACCGACCTTACTGCCTGCTGCAGCGAGAAATGCACCTTTGGGGCTCCATTCGAAGAGGACTTTTCCGTCACCCAACAAGTCCGGGCCAACTCCAAAAAGCTTTTTCATTTACAAAGCTGTATAGTTATTGGAACGGTAAATCCGCAAAGTTACCCCGCGGGGATGTAATAGACGGTCAGGTACTCAGCATAGCGCTTGGGCCGCCTGGCCAGTAAATACTCAGCAGTGTATGCTCATACTATCTTGCTATTTTAATGTTGTTCACCAAAGTAAAGAATCCCAGCGCTTCGAAGCTTGACTACGAGCAGCGGTTTGGTTTCAGTCAATAGCACAATTGTATCACACAGTTGCCCTTATTACTCGCGTCACCATAGATCTTTCTCTGCAAGGGGCAGAGGGATTTGCCTGCACCCCGACGTCCCATTTCACAGATAAGGCCCCTGCCATAGTGCCGCTGCACAGACTGTCCGATTGTTTGTTTTTTACGCTCCGGGTGATAAAGATAGTATATGTCCTTTTTATGCCCTACGAACCAGGCAAGCAGTTGTCCATACACCATCCCCTTCACTCGAAAAACTCCGTCAACGGCACCAGCTCCGCGCGCGCTTTCCCCTGGTTTCCAGTGTCTTAAACAGCTCGATCGAGAATGGCACTACCAGTTAGCTACGTGGAACTACCAAACGCGGCAGACGGACTGGCTGTTGCCTTGCAGACGCTCTGCCGCTGCTCGGGACCTTGAGGAAGCCCCTGCGTGGGCGAGCTGAGCTTCACGCAGCAGCTGCAGGCGATCCCACAGGTAATGGAGCAGTAGGAGTGACATTCAGCAGCAGTTGGTGAGAGACACTCCGGCCTCAGGCAGCAGCCGGCCCGTTTCCCCTCGTTACAGCCTAAAGCAGTGCTTCAGCTCAGGAGCGAGGTTCGGGTGCTAGTAGGACCTGGCTCCTGGTCCTATTCTGTGCGGGAGCCTCTTGACCGCACAGCACGGCAGCCATGGGCGGCCAGTCCTTGCTGCTAGCTATGCCCGCAACGCAAAAGGGTCCGGCCTCCAGCCAGGCCTTCCCGCAAACGCTCGCTGCCCTGCGAAGCCTTTCCGAGCCACAGCCGAGCGGCATCCTGCAGACCTGTGGTGTCCAACCCCATTGTCAAAGCACGCGTACGGCAGCTGGCGTCGTAATCAGACTGCAGCTTCCCTGTCAGCGAGGTACGGGGCAGTAAGGACGACGATGGCGTTAGCCAACGGTACAGTCTCCAACCAACTGCCACGGCGAACACCTCAAAACACTGTTGACAACAACCTATGAACTCTATGATGTATCAGCACACCAAGCACTGTCAACCAGCATGAGCAACCGGGCAGCGTATGCAAGCCAGCCGACTGCTGTTGCCCCGCTGTTGTTGCTGCCGCCGCTGCAACTCCCGCTCTTCCTCTGCAACCCACTCCTGCGCAGTCCGCACACGCAGCCGCCCCTCCCGCACAGACGCCACCAAGCCCCCACACAGCGCGTCGCTGTTGCTCCGGTTGGGCGCATGCAGCAGCGCGAGGCAGCGAGACACGTCCTCATATCCCACCTCCGAACCACGGCCCAGACTGCCAATGTCTGGAGCAGCACCGCTGGCGGCGGCTTCCTCCTCCCCATCGTTACCGGCTCCCCCTCCATATCCACCTCTATACCTAGCCACAGCAGCTCGCAGCCACTTATGCACCACCCTCCGCTGCAGTGCCACCGGGAGCCGCCGCAGCTCCCCCAGCAGCAACACCTCGTCTTCACCAGCAACACTACTACCCACGTCCCCACGTGCGCTCACACAGCCCACCTCGCTGTCCACGCTGGCGCTTGCACGTACGGCAATGCTGCCGTACAATCCGTCCGTCACTTCCTCCATGTACTCGGTTTCTGCTTGAAGTACCTCCATGAAGCGGAAGAGCGCCTGGTCCAGCCGGCGGTTGAAACGCAGCCGCAGCAGCGGCATCACCTCGTTGCGCAGGAGGTTGCGGCGCAGGTCGTTGCAGTCGTTGGTGGTGTCGTGGTAGTACGGCAGCTGTAGCTGCTGGACAAATGTCTGGATGTCATCACGAGTGAATTCCAGCAAGGGGCGTACCAGGCGCGTGGGCTGTGTACATGCAGACGTGCTGTTGTTGCTGCTGCTGTTCTTGCCATGGCTGTTGCTGACGCCGCCGTTGGTGGCAACGCCGCAGTTGCTAGTACTGGAACTGATGCGCTCGCCTCGTCGGCCTGGATCTGGCCCCAGATCCCCGCAGTCATTGCTGTCATCGCCGTCGCTGGTGCTGGTGCAGCTGCCACCCGTCCCCAGCTCGCTTCTGCCACCCTGAAAGCTGCCACTCTTCAAGCTCAGCCCATCCTCAGGGCCCTGCACGCCAGAGAAGTACCCGGCCCCATTCCCACAGGACCCATCATCACTAACGCCCCCTCCACTTCCAGCGACATCACTCCCAGTGACATCGCTTTCCCTGCTTTTGCTGGAGCCGCTGCGGCCATGTGACAAGCCGTCATGGTGGCGCTCCGGCGCTGCCTCCCCGCCCTCCGCCGTCAGCACCCGCTCCCTGGCCAGCGCAACCAGCCCGTCCGGCCCCGCGCCCCGCAGCAAGTTGAGCATCAGGGTCTCAGCCCTGCCAGGAGGGAGGGGACACCAGCATGCACGCATATCGGTACTCCTTAGGATGAAGCCGGCGGACGCAACCACCGGGTCAAGCACTGCTTGCTCCAGGCTACAGCTCGGTACCACCACGTGCTACAGCACCAGTTCACCACCCAACCCCTCCGCCTTACCTGTCTGTTGCCGTGTGGGCTGTCACAACCGTGCTGTACCCATGCGCCGCGGCAACCTCAGCAAACACTCCGTAGCGCCACTTACGCGCCCGACCCTCGCTGTGGACGCTGCCGGGGGCCGCCACGCGAACGTAGCACGGCAGCTGCAACTGCTCCTCCGCAAACTGCCGTACAAACTCGGCGTTGGCGGCGGAGTCCGGTCGCCAGCCGTGGTCGCAGTGTACGACACCCAGCCGCCAGCGGAACAGCGGCTGCAGGTCCGCCAGCAGCTGTAGGAGGCACATGGAGTCCTGCGGACGAACCAACGTGCGTGTGAGCATACGCCACGATGGCGAGGGAAGGGCCATTAAAGTAAAGCATGGGGCAGACTCTTGGGTGAGCGCGGAATGCGGGAGAAAGGACTTTAGGGCCCTTGCAAAAGATTTTCATCCCGGCTTACTGCTACAGCGATACAATTTAATGCTGCACTGTGCTGCACTCAGCGCAGACACTGACCCAGATCGGAACCAAAACAGCCTCCTCGCACCTGTCCCCCCGACACAGCCACCAATACCGAGTCTGTGTCCAGCAGGCGTTGCGCCCTAAGCGCCTGATGCACCCTGGCGTGCAGACGCGTCCAGGGCCGGCCATTCACCCCCCGGCGCGCTACAGGGTTAGGGGGCACACCAGGCGGTGGGGAGGAGTTTAGTGTTTGAGTGCAAATGCCAGCACTGTAGGGTATTGTGAATGGAATACAGGCCATCCTGACGCCTCAAGTCTTCACACCTGGCGGCTCCGGAGGCCCAGGCAACGGCTTTAGTTGCGTGGCCTCTGCAGGCTGATGGCCTTGATCCTTGCTACCTGAAAGCTCCATCCTATAGATGACGGAGCTGCATCTGACTGACGTTTGGGGGGCTGTTGCATTGCTACTGCGATTGCAGCTCTTGCCGCTTCCGGCCTGGCTTGCTGCCTGAGTCCGTGATGACTGATTATGTTCAATCAGAGCCTTTCGCATACCAGTCTTTGCTACTGCAGCGCCACTGCCAGCCACCAGCTCAGCAACGGCTGGCTGGGCGAGCGACTGACAGCTGAGCCGTCGTGAAGCACCGGCCTTCGTTACAAGCAACGAGCGATAGCCTCCATGTACCATCAGTCGCGGTACATCCGTCCTAGAGAGCAGCTGAGGACCAGAGCCGCTGGAAAAGCTAAAACTGCCCATTAGGGTGTCGGCGCCGTCGATTAGGTCGGCAACACATAAATTTTAGCAGTCAGACAGAAGCACAATTGGCCGTCACGAGGCTGCAAGAGCGCACCCTGCTTTCCATTCCCCTACCTATGCAAGCTACCTAGTATAACGGGGTTGTCCCAGCAATACAGTGCAGGTATGTATTCAAGGATTACCAAATACATTGAAAATAACACTGCTGTCGAACACTGTTGCTTATATTTGGCTGCCACGTTACTTTTCTGGTACGGAGGAACGTATCCTGCACGCAGACACATAGGGGTAGGGGAATAATGGTTATAGGCTACATAGAATAAAGATATGTACCGTTGATTTGCTGTAGTTTTTACCAATTCTGTCTAGGGTCGACTATCCTGGCTTGCGAACCAACGGGGCTTACCCTACATAGATGACATACACGATGTAGGATTGTACATTCCTTTTTATAGGTCTTTATATAGTAAGCCAGCCCAAGCGGCTGTGCTGACCCTCCAATTTCCTGTTCTTGTGGGGTCTTGCGTAATGCAACTTGGCCAATGAAGCACTATTAATAGCACAAGTTGACGCTTGAAAGTGATGGAAGCGCTAAGCGGGAGGGCGAGTCGGGACAGCTTGGGTGATGGGGGTAAGTGTGCACCGACCAGCATTTCATGATAGCCATGATACGGTAACAGTGTATTTCATAAAGAGAAAGCCCGGGGAGTCACTGGCATCTTCGCGCCCCGCGGCATGTCCCGCGACTGGGTACAACATCTGCTCGCCTTGCGACCGCGACCGACGCGGGTCCGCGCTGTGCGCTTACAGGTCGACATAACATGCTGTCAGCGCTCCCACCGCCCCCGATGCCCATGGGCATGGCTTTCTTCGCCCCACCACCACCAGTCAAGTGAGTTCCCCGGGCACACCCAAAGGTCCAGGCGGTGGTTTCTAACGCGTCCCTTCAGTCATGGATGGAATGACGTGGAGGGGTTTCCCCAGGGCAGCGTGGCTGCAGTCCTCGACCTGTCCATACTCAGGTTGCCTACGTTGGCTGATTCTGGGCTTCCAACAGCTATATAGCTGCAGGCATGGGCAGGCCACATGAGTACCCGCCTCCCGGCACCCCATGCACCTGATCGGCAACCCTACCTGCACTCCTGCAGCATATTCACCCTGTGGCTGTTTCCCCAACACATACACCTCCACGCAGCACCGATTACCGCAACACCACGCCGTTCGGTCACCTTGCGCCCCTGCAAAGGAAACCCGACGCAGCAACGCTGCTGTCACAGCCGGCGCCGCTGTCCCCGCAACCCCGACTACACCAGTCCCAAACGCAGCTGCAAGCGCAACTGGACCTGTCACGGGCGCCATCGCTACAGCAACAGCAGTCGCAGCAACTGCAGCAGCCGCTGCAACCACAGCTCGAGACGGCGCGTTCCTCACAGCTCCAGCAACTCCAGCAGCTGCAGCAGCCGCCGCTTTCGCCGCAGCAGCAGGAGGCAATGTCCCGCATGGCTGCATTGCAGCAACAACTCGAAGTAGCTCGTGGGGGGCACTACCACCACCACCAGCAGCAGCAACAGCAGCCGGACCCCGGCCGCTCCTCGGGCTCCTTACAGCGGCCGCCGGATGCCGTACGGGCATCCGTTCTGCAGCGGCCACCCCTGCCGCAGCAACCACAGCAGCAGCAGCAGCAACCGGATACAGCAACAAGGACTTCCATGTTGTTGCAACAAGCGATTGACGCGGCCCGGGCGCCTCAGCAGGTGCTACCGCAGTCCTCGGACATGCCTCGGACACCCTCGGCGCTGCAGCAGCTGCTGGAGGTGGTGCGCGCGCCGACGCCGGCGCCCACTCCCGCGCCGGTGGCCCTGCAGCCGGAGGCGCCTAGGAGGACGGGTGAGGGTGGGAGAAGTAGATGGGGAGGAGGACAAAGTTGGACGGGCGGCATGGGCTTCCGTGATGGGGTGTTGGGGTTGGAAGGAGCTGTGCGTGACCTTGGTGGGAGCCCGCCCGGCCGGCGGCTGGGAGCTAACCTGTGGGTTAGCCTGGTTGCCGGAGGATGAGGGGGGTGTGCTGTCAGGAGGTGGCCAGCTGCCCCCTGTGCTAAGTGGGGCAGGGCGGCAATGGGTGGGTGTGGGAGGGCGCAGGCATGGAGCCATGCAGCATCCTTGCTGGCTGCACCACCCTGGAAGCCAGCCCCAACACTCGGTGCCATGCAAAGGCTGCGGGGCATCCTCTGTGAATGCCTCGGTCCGTTCTCCCGACCACCATCCATCGTTGTCCCTCATCGCACCCACACCCGCCGCAGTGCAAGCCTACCGGAAGCGGCAGTTGGACGGCGGGGGTGGGCCGCGTCCGGTGGACTTCGGCGCGGGGCATGTGGCGGGCATGTTGGTGCGGCCGGAGGGGGATGTGCCCAACCTGCCACCGCGCTCGGGGACGGGCATGCGGCTAAGGTGCGTGGTGGCTGCAGCGGCGGGTGGAGGGCGGCGGGGCGGTGCGGTCCTGGGTGCTGCAGGGCCGGCAGCAATGACTTGAAGTCCGGTCCGGAGGGAAGGAAGGGTGAAGAGGAGGAGCCGAGGAGCGCTGTTGTGGGGCGCAGGATGTGCTCCTTGGTACCGAAACGAAGGGCTGTTGCAGCACACAGGTTGACATCGGCATGGGGGCGTTTCTGTGTTGAAGGCGCCCATGGCGGCAACCCAAACCCGCACCACGTCATGCAAGTCAATGAGGCAACCAATGACCTCCCTCGTCTGCCCCAAACTTCCTCATCAAGGGCGCCTTGTCCCCCGCTGTTCGCGCCCCTCCCCTCGTGTCACCCCTGCAGGCCAGCGCGGCTGCCCCCCTGCTGCTGCGTGCCGCCGCCCAACCCCGAGCCCCTCGTGCCGCCGGACGACATGCTGCTGCAGGTGGGGCTGGGGCAGCAGCCCGCTAAGCAGGGGGGGGGCCACAATCCGGGCCAAACCCGGCCCCACCCGAGCCCCTGCTTCCACTCCCCTACACGGGTGGCAACCCGGCACCCCTACACGGGTGGCAACCCAGCCACCCATGACGCATCTTCGCGCGGGACCGACCCACTTTACCCAAATGTGTACCACCCAAACGTGCTAGGGTAGCTAGGAATGACAGAATGGTGTGAAAGGCACTAGGCTCGTTCACACATGTGTGACTGCATGGTGCTTGGCCCCGCATATGCCTCATGCCCCTCCCCGCCGCTGCCGCTGCTGCTGGCCCCCCCTCAGGTTCTGCGCATGCACGACCAGCGGCGGCTCGTCAATCCGGCGCAGGTGGCCAACGTGATCGTGTACGACTGCATAGAGCGGCCGCCCCGCAGCAGCTCCGAACCCACCCAGGAGGCGACCGCTGCCGCGGGGGCAGGAGGGGAGGCAGCGGCGGAGGCAGCGGCAGGGACAGCGGAGGCGGCTGGAGGCGGGGCCGGTGGAGGCAGCAGCAGCGGCGCGGGTGGTGGTGGTGCGGCAGGGAAGCGCGTGTCCTCGAGTAACGGGGAAGCGGGCGGAGGGGGAGTTGCGGCAGGACAAGGAGGGAGAGGCAGTGCGGAGGGCGAGGCTGCGGGGGCGTCTGGGACCGCAGGGGCGGCCACAGGTGGTGCTGCTGCTGCTGCGCCGGGTGCTGCTGGTGGTGCTGCAGGCGAAGAGGGGGCTAGTAGCACCCCCTCTGCTACCACCGCTGCTGCTGCAGCTGCTGCTGCTGCCTCGCGCGGGGCAGCAGGACCGCCCTCTTGTTCGTACTCTCGGCCCAGCATGTACGACTACTTCGAGGATATGCCGGCGTGGTACTGCCCGCGCGGGCCGTCCGACCACACGCTGGTGTTTGAGAGCCGGTACGAAAGCGGCAACCTCAGAAGGGCAATACAGGTACGACAAGAGCGCCGTACTACTGTGCCCACAACCCCCACGTGCCCTCCCGCCCTGCCTATACCCACTCCTCCTTGCCCCCCAACTCCCTTGGTCGCGGGTTACAGCCCCCCTGCAACTAACCCCATGCCTCCCGCCCGTCCCCCCACCCGCCCACCCACCCGCCCGTCCACAGGTGTACCCCTACGAGTACGACCTCATCCTGCGGCCGGACATCAACACGCGCGGCCACACGCAGTGGTTCTACTTTGCGGTGTCCAACACGCGAGCCGGCTGCCGCTACAAGTTCAACATCATCAACCTGCTGAAGGAGGAGTCGCTATACAACCTGGGCATGCAGGTGCGGGGAAGGGGGCGGGGGCGGGGGCGGGTGGTACAGAAGGGACGAGGGTAAAGAGGGGTCGAAGAAAGTAGCTAACCGTATGACAGGGCTTCTTCGCCATGGGTTACGGGTGCGGGTGCGGGTGCGGGGAACAGTGCAGACGTGGTTGTGCAAGGGTGCACTGGGCTTCGCACCTTCCCCACGAGCCAAGTGGGGATGGAGGTGATGAGAGGGCGCGGGTTACCAACGTAACAGGCTGGGCGGTGTCGGTGGGTTGGAAGGCCCTGCGCTGAGGCGCCGACTGAGGAGCCACCTCACCCCTCTCCTTCCCTTCCCTCTCAACCACCACTCCCTCCCCTTCTCTCCCCCTCCCCCCTCCCCCTCCCCCGTTGTTTCACTTATATAATTTTCCCCCCTCCCCCCTTCCCCCCCCTCAGCCCCTGGTCCACAGCGCCAAGGCTCAAGCCGCCCGCGGTCTGGGCTGGCACCGCGCCGGCAGCCGCATCTGCTACTACGCCAACAGCATCCGGCGGGGGCGGCAGGGCAGGAGCTACTTCACCCTCACCTTCACGCTCACCACCGAGTTCGACAACGACCTGGTGCACCTGGCGCACTGCTACCCCTACACGTACACCGACCTGCAGCGATACATTCGGGTGGGGGGTGGGAGGGGGTGAGGAGGAGAGGGAGGAGGAGAGGGAGGAGGAGAAGGGGTTGGGGGTTACAGGCTGCGGGCCGTGCGCGGGTTCACCCGGAGCTTCACTAAGCCCCTCCCGCCCTCCTTTATCTCTCCCGGGCCCCCTTGAATACCGGTAAGCCCTTCCCTTCCTCGTGTCGTTACGTGCACTTCCCCCACCCTCCTCCCTCCCCCCTGTCCAGGCTCTGGAGCTGGACCCGGTGCGCCGCCCCCGCGTGCGGCGCGAGACGCTGGCCACCTCTCTGGCGGGCAACGCGGTGGACGTGCTGACCGTCACCTCGCCAACGGAGGACGCGGAGGCGCTGCGGAGGCGCAAGGCGGTGATCATCACGGGTGGGTGGGGGGGGGGCGCAGGGAGGGAGGGAAGGAGGGGAGGGAGGGAAGGAGGGAGGGAAGGAGGGGAGGGAGGGAAGGAGGGAAGGAGGGAGGGCAGGGAGGGAGGGAGGGAGGGAGGGTGAAGCTGTGTGAAGAGGAAGGAAGGAACTTACCATGGCCATCACGTATGGAAGCGCAGGGAGGGTAAAGAGGAAACGACTAACGAAAGGAGAGGGAGGGAGGGAGTGGCAGAGGGGAGTAGCAGGACGCAGGGGTCAGGGGAGTGAGAGGGGAGGGGGAGAGAGGAACGTTAGCGCGCCAGAAATGCGTGGTGGTGTGGTTCGGTCCCTTCCTCCCTCCCATTGGGTGTCCTTCATGCCTTTCCCTCCCTCCCCCTCCCTCCCTCCCTCCCTATGGGATTGGGACTCGTTGTTTCACTTATCTAACTCCCCCCCCCCCAGCCCGCGTGCACCCCGGCGAGAGCAACGCCAGCTGGATGATGAAGGGGCTGCTGGACTTCCTGCTGGGACCCTCCCTGGACGCGCGCATACTGCGGGAGGCGTTCGTGTTCAAGATCGTGCCCATGCTAAACCCAGATGGGGTCATCACGGGGAACTACCGATGCAGGTGGGGGGGGGGGAAGAGGGGGGGGGATTAGGTGAACTGAGCCGCGGAAAGAGCACGAAGGGGGGGGGTGAAAAACACATGTCGTCAGGAACGGCACGCTGAAGGGTGATGAGGAGGGGGTGGAGCGGTGGACCTAGGATTCAACCCCCGCACAACCGGAGTGCTAAACCGGAGCTGGATGCCTTCTCCAGCGCAGAGCGGCACTCCTGCTGCTTGACCCCCCTCCCTCCTCCCTCCTCCCTCTCCCCCCCCGCACAGCCTCGCCGGTGTGGACCTCAACCGCGTGTGGAACGACCCCAGCCGCAAGCTGCACCCCGTCATCTTTGCAACCAAGCTCTACCTCAAGCAGCTGGCGGAGGAGCGCGAGGTGGTCATGTTCGCCGACCTGCACGGCCACAGCAAGAAGCTGGATGTGTTCATGTACGGCTGCGAGAAGAAGCTGCCGAGGGACGGCGTGCCCGCCTTCCCCGGCTGGCCGGTGCCGGGCTCGGTGGGCGGGCAGACCAGCATACCCGCCAGGTGGGGCGGGTGGGAGGGCGGGAGTAGGGTGGGGTGGGGGGCAAATCCTCCCCGCTCCACGACTTTGGCATCACTGCTCAATTTCACCGGTAATAGGCTGTCACTGCGGCCACACACACGTCTGCCATACTAACCCTTCCGTAACCTTCCTCCCTCACATGGGGGGATCGCATGTCCTCCTCGCGCCCCCTCCCAACCCCGTCACGAATCTCCCGCCCTGCCGCCACCCCCCCCCTCCGCCACAGGTTCCAGGACAAACTGCTGCCGCTGCTGATCCACCACAACGCACCCGACCTCTTCTCCTACCACAACTGCTCCTTCAAGGTGCAGAAGTCCAAAATAGGCACCTCCCGCGTGGTGGGCTTCCGCGAGCTGGGCCTCGTCAACAGGTGGGCACACTGCTGGCGCGCGGGTGGGGCTGCGCAGGGTGCGCCCCCCCTCTCTCTCATTATATATATTTTTTACCCCACTCTCTCTCCTTGGCTTGCTGCTTCCGGCAGGTTTGCATGAGGGGGTAGGCGCATGGGGGTGAGGGCTGCGTTTGGAGTCCTGCCTCGCCCCCACACTCGCCTTTCTTGGTTGCCCTTGCTGACAAGGGTGACAGCCCATCGCTACCGCTCCTACGTTTCACTCCCTTTGCAGTACTGGTACCATCACAGGGCCTACCAGCTCCTAACCCTCTAATGTCGCATCTCCAACCCTCCCTGTCCTCCCCCCCCCCTCTCCACCCCCCAGCTTCACCGTGGAGGCCTCCTTCGCGGGCCCCAGCGGCGGCAGGTGGGCCAAGCAGCACTTCACAACAAGCCACCTGGAGCAACAGGTGGGGGGGGCGCGGGGCGGGATGGGGGGCGGGGTTTCTCCTTCCTTACCCCTCCTCCCCAATCTCACCCCCCCCAAGCCGTGCTTCCTCCAGCCTTTCTCACCCCCGTTCTCCCACTCAACCTTCCAAGTCCCCACCTCCACCTCCCCCACCTCCCCCCCAGGGTGCCGCCCTGCTGCTGGCGCTGCTGGACTACTGGGACCCCGAGGCGTACGGCTACGGGGAGCTGCTGGGGCAGCTGGACTTCCTGCACCCCGCCAACGGGGAGTCGCCGCCCAGGTTCATCACGGTGAGGGGGAGGCGGGGGGGGATGCATGGAGCGGGCGGCGGGGAGGGGGTTTGCGGCGGTGTGCACCTGGAGTGAATCTGGCACGGGAGGGGGGTGGTATGCATGGGGGGAGGAGGGAGGAGCCGATGGGGTGTGGGAGGGTATTGACGGTATAGCCCGCTGTGCGGTACGGCTGCATGTGCGTGACTGTGTGCACCACTGGGCTCCACAGACGCCCGACGGGCAGCTGGTGGAGGTGGAAGACGAGGAGCCGCCGACCGACAGCGACGACGAGTCGAGCGACGACGGAGGCGGCGCCGGGGGTGCGGCGGGCCGCGGCGGCGGCGGCGCGTCGCACGCAGCACGGGCGCGTACGGCACACCGCGGCCGCTCAGCCTCGGTGGGTGTGCTGCTGGGGGATGGGGTTAGTCGTTGGTCGTTGGTCGTTGCCGCTGGGAGTGAAGGGAGAGCGCTGCTTAGGGGTGGTACTGTTGTGAGTTACAATAGTTTGTCTATCTCTTTATGAATCCCGAGTAGTGGATTCTACATGCAAGTCCGATCGTGAGCCAGATAGTCCTGCAAGTCTGCAGTCTCTGGTGCCAAGCTCACAAAGTGGCCGCCAATGTCTGTCCGAAGGAGCGGCCGTACTGCACAACCATTTGCCTTGCAAGCTGCAACGGCACAACAGTCTGTGCTTGCGTCAAAAGAGAACTTGCGTCCCACAAGGTTCTCAACAGCGGCAACTTCGGTTGCTTCAACTGTACGGCAACAACCTGACCTCAGGCCTCCAACGAACCCACTCAACCCCGCCCCCGGACGGTCTGCGGATTCTAGCGGGGCAATTTCCTAATCCGAGGCCATGGCGCCTCCCGCGCCGGCCTGACCACCGGCCCCACCGGAGCCTCCGAATCTCGCCATCGGGCAGTTAGCGGATTAGCAAATTGCCCCGCTAGAATCCGCAGACCGTCCGGGAGCGGGGTTGAGTGGGTTCGTTGGAGGCCTGAGGTCAGGTTGTTGCCGTACAGTTGTAGCAACCGAAGTTGCCGCTGTTGAGAACCTTGTGGGACGCAAGTTCTCTTTTGACGCAAGCACAGACTGTTGTGCCGTTGCAGCTTGCAAGGCAAATGGTTGTGCAGTACGGCCGCTCCTTCGGACAGACATTGGCGGCCACTTTGTGAGCTTGGCACCAGAGACTGCAGACTTGCAGGACTATCTGGCTCACTATCGGACTTGCATGTAGAATCCACTACTCGGGATTCATAAAGAGATAGACAAACTATTGTAACTCGCAACATACTGGGGAGCTACACCGGTGGTTTAGCGGTCCTGACGACCTGTCCGGGCCCCGTGGCCGACGTTCCTTGCACTGCACTGTCCCGTGGGGCTGATTCCGGTAGCTGCCAGCATGGTCCCCAGATCCCCACCCACCCTTACCTTTCCTTTACCCCTCCTTACCCTTCCTTACCCTTCCTGACCTCTCCTTATCGTTCCTTACCCCGCCTTACCCCTCCTCCTCCTCCCCCGCAGGGCGGTGTCGCCTTCATGCAGCAGTACTACAACGCGTACGGCATGTCTGTAGGAGGGGCTCCCGGTGGGGGGCCCGGTACCGCACCACCTGGTGCCGGTGGGGCGGGTGCCGCTGCTGCTGCTGTCAATGGTGGCGGCGGCGGCGTTGGTGCCGAACTGGCGGGCGGCGGCGGTGGGGTGGGCGGTGCGGGTGCGGGTGCTGCTGGAGGTGGAGGTGGTGGTGGTGGTGGTGGTGGTGGTAACGCGGGTCGGGGTCAGCCGCTGCGATTGGGTGTGGATCCTCGTCTGACGGACGGACGTACAGACAAGGGACACAGCGACTCGGAGGTGAGAGACTGGTTGGCTGTCGTTCCCTGGAGCCTGCCGCGCGGTCGCGCTTGGTGCCTTGCTCTCAACCTCACCGCCTCCTGCTTAGCACTCACCATGTGTACCCAACCCGACGTCGTCCGTAGCTCTTGCGGCTTCTTCCTCCATCCTCCGAAGTCCTAACCCTCCCCACCCTCCCCTTCCAACTCCCCCCTTCCCCCCTTACCTACCCCTTCAGGTTATCATGGACCCCAAGAAGGCCCGCCGCCGCGCCCGCGCCGCCCTGCAGAAGGCCCTCCTCAAGGCCGAGCAGGCCAAGGCGGACGAGGGGCTGGCCGCCTGCCTGCCCATGATGGCTGCGCTGCAGCTGCAGTCGCCGGCGGGCAGCGGCGGCGGCGGCGGCGGCGCAGCGGGCAGCTTCTCGCTGGTGACCAGTGCCTCGCGGAACGCCACGTCAGGGGGGCCGCATGGGCCCTCTGCGGCGGGGGGTCCGGGGTGTCGAGGGGCCGGCGCGGCGGGACTGGGCATGACGTCACCGTCCACACCGCATGCTATCGAGTACGCCAAGCAGCGGGGACTGTATCGAGGCGACGGGCAGCAGTGGTGAGGAGGGGGGTGCAGGGTGTGGTGCGGATGCGGGCGATAGGAGGGTGGTTCACATGGTCTTGGATGCGAGGCAGGGAGGCGTGGCTTTCGGGTCTGTGATGCGCATGCAACCCGTTAGGAGCTACCGTACTCTCACGCTGAGCGCGTACGTCGCCGCGCTGCCCCTCCTCCCAAGAGGAACACAGCCCCTTATTATATACCGTATACGCGTTCAGCAACTGACCGCGTCTTCCTCCACCTCCGTACTGCAGGACGGTACCCGGTCTGAATGCAGCTTACGACACACCCGAACCCGCCGCCAGCAGCCCGCCCTCCACCTCGCCACTCACCTGCCGGCCGCACAGCCCTACACGCCTGGGTGTCACCGCGGGCCGGGGCGGCGGCAGCGCAGGAGCGGCCGGCGGCCTCGGCTCCTCCTCGAACGCCTTCAATGCGATCCTGTTGGCGCCCAACAACCCTGCCGCATTCGCTGCCGCCGCGGCGGCCTCCGCCGCCGCCGCCGCCGCGGCTGCGGCGGCTGGGACGGCGAACGTTGGCGGCGGGAGGCAGCCAGCAGCAGTTGCCCTGCTGCAGAACCGCTCGCCGCATTACGCGTTCGCTGCGTTTGGTGGGAGTACGGCGCTGGCGGCGGCGGCTGCCGCCGCCGCCGCTGCCGCCGCGGTGACGGGTGGGCGTGATGATATCGCCGGCAGCGGCGGCAGCACCCTTAGCGGCGGTGCCGCCGACGGCATGGGCTCTCCTTCTAGTAACTACTCCCGCGTGTTGAGCCCCATTCCCGGCGTGTCACGGCCGTACACGTCACGAACATCGGGTGACAACGGAGGCCGCAGCGTCAGCGGCAGCAGTGGCGGCCGGACTGCTCGCGAGCTCTCATCGCCAATGCGAGGGGGTGCGGATCTCCTTACCAGCCCCAGATGGGAGGAGGACGCTGCCGCCGCCGCCGCCGCCTCCAGCAATCCCGCCGCTGCCGGGCCGCTGGCTGCCTCCGCCGCTATCAGCGTCATCGGCGGCGGCAGCGGCGGCATCGGCGAGGCCGAGGAGCGAGAGGACTGTACGGCGCTGCAAGTGGCGGCGGCGGTGGCGGGTGCCTTGGATAACGAGCGCCTGCGTCGCGACCGGGAAGCCCTAGAGGCGCAGGTGACGGAGGCTGTGCTCACCACTAGCCCGCTGTTCCAACGGCTATAGACCATGATGCCGGGCGGGGAGGCGGCAGGGCATGTAGACTAGGAGCTACACTAGCTAAGCTGAGCGTGAGCCGTCGGCTGCTCGCCTGTGCACAGAGAGCACGGCTTGGTACCGGTTGTGGCCTGCTGTGTGGGAGCGGGTGCTAGCGTGCGTGGTTTGCAGCCACGGCTGTGTGCTTTCAGCCTGGACAGAGGGGCTGATTTGAGCGGGGGATGAGAGCGGTGAACAGCGGGTAGAGGGTTGTCCGAGGCGCTGCATGGCTACGCAGGTAGGGCGCTGACATGTTGGGGGCTGGAGGAAGCAGCGGGAGCTGCCGCTGGGGTGCTGGCATGGCAGAAGGGAGGAGGGTGTGTTGTGTATTGTGAAGGGGGATCTTGCGTGCCAGGCTGGTCGTTTGGGGAGGGCCCACTGGTACTGTTGCATTGCCAGCCACACTTGAGCGTTGTGTGCGTAGAAGTGCCGAGAAGGGGGGAGCGCGCTGTGTTTGGAATACCAACTTGAGTGTCTTGTGTTGGTCGCATGGTGACTGCGGTAACGTTACACTGGGGAGAGTCAGAAAGGGATGACGTGGGTTCAGCTATAGCACACTAGGCACTCGGCATTGTGTAGGTGGGCATGCAGGGCAGGATTCGGCCTAGGAGCCAACAGCGCAGCTCAGGAGGTGTCAGGTGAGGAGTGGTGAGGTGTAAAAGCATGGCTAGGGGGCGGCCGAGGTAGGTGGCATGGCATGGGGTAACTGGCATTCGCATTTGGCGTGATGTGCGAAGTGAGCTTGCAGCTGGTGATACTGGAAGGGGGTGATGGGAATGGAGTAGTGTGTTACTATCCAGCCTTTGACTCGACAGGACTTCTAGGTTTGCAGCTCTTGTAGGACATTATAGTAGGATCACTGTGTGTGCGTGTACAGCATGCTGGAAAGGATGCGTGTGAGAAGTGGCGCGTGACTGGCTGCATGTCGGGTGTTCCCTAAAGGTGTGCGGTTGACGACCACCACCACCAGAGCTCGTAGGAGGCTAAGACGTCTTTAGCTGATGTGTACATAAAGCCTGGCTTCTGAGATGGCTAATGCCCATGACGTGCTGCTCCTCGTTGCTTCACAACGTTTGAGACTTGCCGAGATATTGACCATACGTGTTGTGAATTTCACGGACGGAACATGTCGCGCGCGTTGCATCTCCTTGAAGAGGCTTAGGAGCCCGTGCTTGATGTGGGCGTTGCATGGGGCCGTCACCCCAGCTCATCACTCGGTATGTGAATTGCGCTCAAGGCTACCCAGCGACCACAAATATCCGCAACACGCTTAATGTAGTAGCCACCCTCCAAGATGTTATCCAAAGGACTTGCCCCACCGGTGCAATTACAGTTACGTTAGTCTGAATGCGCGTACAGTGTGTCCGTACGAGCCACGCGGGCCAAGAACACTAACCAACGTTACTGAAGAGATGGCGCCTTAAAGGCGTCACCCCATAGGTCTATCCGCAGCTGGCAGAGCCGTATACGGCAGGAGATCCCATGCCACGTTCATAAGCCGCACAGACAATGAGACGTCTGTTACTATCCATCCGAATCCCATTATCCCTTCTGCCTTCATGCGTTGGATGCGTGTCAAGCCAGTTTACCGCATCCCCGTCCCCGGCGGACCTCCCTAGCTTGCTGGCAGGCATCTTATACAAAATTCGCGACACCCACAACCGCCACTAAGGTCCTAACAACGCTAACCTCACACCCAGTCCAGCACCGCAACCCTAGCCTCATGCTCACTAAAACACAATGTCTGTGCAGCTATACCAGGCACCAGTCCGAGGGTAACCAACGCGCCCCTTGTGTCATCACCCAAAGCACGTTGCCGTGCTCCAAGCCCAACCACCAAATACCCATCACCATTCAACATGCTCCAAGACCAGCCCCTGCAAGCCATCACCGGGATTGGATAACTTAAGCCGCGGAAACACTGATCCAGATCGTATTATATCGGTCGGGGGATGATGGCGTCCCAAATGCCGGACTAGCACCCGGAGCAACATGGGCGCCATCTACCGCCTATGCGGATGCGGCTGCGCTGCCGGCGGCCGCAGCAGCGACGTAAGCAACGAGCCACTCTGCCGTTGCCTCTGATTGTGTTGCTGCTGCTGCTGCTGCTGGTGTTGCTGAGGTCGCATGTGCAGGCCGCTGCCACCCAATCCCTGCGGGTTGCGATGTGCCCCGCTGCTGCTCCTGCTGCTACACTCGAGGTCTCCTTGAGCGCTTCCGTTACCGTCCTCTCCAGAGGGATGCTGTTGGTGTTGGTGTTGCTGCTGCTGGGGATGCTTCTGGTGCTGGTAACTGTTGCGGCTGTTACTACGGCTAAGCCCATGTCCGTGTCGTTGTCTAAAATCGTTATACTGCTGCTGCGGCGGCGGCTGTTGTTGTTGTTGCTGCACCTGGTAGGGATGTGGGTGGCAATACCCGGGCCCGGCGGCGGTGTAGGTCGGCATCACGCCTGCTTCACCGAAGCCGCCGCCAGCCGCCGCTGGGTAAGCCTGCTGCTGAGGAGGCTGCTGCTGCGGCGTGGCGCACCGCCCTGCGTGGCTGGGTGGAGCCAGCGGGGAGGGTGGGCGCAGCACCGGCCCGTACCCCTCCCCTGCTGGCTGCTGCTGCTGCATGGGCCCTCCCTGCATGGGCCCGGGCATGGGCAAGGCAGCCTCCCCGGGCCCCTGCTGCTCCCATGGCAACGCTTGCGGCCAGTTAGGCGCTTGTGGGTGAGCCTCGTAGTCCCTGCGGTTGCCGCCCGCCGGCACCCAACCCTGCGAGGAGACGGGTCCGCATTCCTGCGAATATCGCTGCTGCTGCTGCTGCAATTGTTGCTGCTGCGGAGGGTGTTGGTGTGGATGCTGTGGGCCGGCTGGTGAGTACGGCAGGCATGCTGCCCCCGGGTCCTGCGACACATGCTGCTGCTGCTGCATGTAGGGATAGGGCCCCGCAGACAGTGGCCACTGCTGATGCAGCGGCTGCTGCTGGTGTCGCTGTCCGTTAGGGGTCGGAGGCGCGCCGCGGGGCTGGTCCTTGCAGGACGTCAACGCAGCTGCGGAGGCGGCGAAGGGCAGGAAGGTGCTGTACGTTTGCCTGCGTGCGTGCGGAGAGAGAGAGAGAAAGAGAGAGAGAGATGGAGGCCTGGTTCGTGAAGCAGATCGGCGCTGTAAGGCCCCCTCTCATGCGTCGCGGCGACCCATACTTGCTAAGCCACCTGTGCTACACGGGTAAACGTATGCGGCCTTGCTCCCCTCTCCCCAGCACATCGTCTCCTTTCTTCACGTTTTCCCTGTCAACCCCCCCCCCCGCCTCCGCACCTGCTTAACCAAGCAGGCACACAGCCCTGAAAGGTGCCCAGCACCGACCGAAGCGGCGCCACCGCCGCCCCAATCACCCCACCAGCCCACTGCAGCGCGGGAGAGACCTCCCCACTGCCGCCGCCCGCACCCAGGACCCCGCCGGGCGGCAGGAACAGCGCGTAGAGGAAGGCGTCGAACCAGGTTTGAGACGGGTCGGGCTGCCGGCCTGTGAGCTGTGACCCATGGGTCAGTGGGGAAGGGGGGCCGGCGGTGTTGGGAGTGTGGCAGAGGAGGGCCGCTGTTGCAGATTGCTGATGCACATTGACTTTCGCAGCGCGTCAAGGCGCATGGGGCCAGCATGTAAAGGTAACAGCGCCGCATTAACGGCGGTGATTATATGAATCAGAAACGTGAAACCGGGTGGTAACTTAGATATATATTTGAGATCAAAGCCTCGTAGGAAATGCATGGGGCAGCAGCCATGACTCCCGTGCGTGATGTGACCAGCTGGGAGGAACTGGGGCCCAAGGTCTGCGTCCTTACCAGGTGGTAGAAGTTGGGCAGACGGGCCATAGCCTGGTAGCCGGCGCCGCCGTACAGCCGCATGGCTCCGATGTTGTACGATATGACGTGCAGGAAAATGGCTCGACACCTGAGTAGCAGGGGTGTTCAAGCAATACGACAAGGGAGGCATCAAAGCGGGGCTTGGGGTGGAGGTCGGGTTGGGGGTGCCGCCACACAGATGCAGCGCATGCTGGCATGCATCAAAAGAGTTGCGGAGTGGTAGAGAGCAAGGTACAATCGTAACAGTGCGCCTCCCCGCATCTATAGCTTCCTCCTCTTAGCAGCATGGTCGTCTCCATCTCCTCCCTCCCTGCTCCCACCCGCCCCCACCTCAGCCGCGCCGCGTGCTGCTGCACCAGCCCCAACAGACACCTCGCGATGCCGCACTGCCGGCAGCTCGGCACCACACCCAGCGTCAACACGTAGCAGCCGCAGCAGCCGTCCAGCGAGCGCGAGGACAGGCCCATTACTTGGCGGTCCTGGGAGCCCGATGATGGTGGGCATGAGGGAAGGGTTGGGGGAGGATGGGGAGCGGCGGAAGGTGGGTTAGGGGTGGGTACGGGTGAGGGGGTAAGGCGTGTGTCGCTGCGGAGGATGGATGCAGTGCGGGGCAGCCAAAGGGAGGAAAGTTGGAAGTTGAGGAGGGGTTGCGGAAGAGGCGGTTTGTGCAGTCTCAGTGGGCAGCGCGTGGGACAAGTGGTGGTAGGGGGTATCCCCTGTTGAGATGGATAGGGGCGGCGGAATGGGTGGCAGTGATACCAGCTCAGGCTATGGAGCAAATAGGGAACAACGCGAGAATGATCTCCTGCCATGAGTGGCGCATGGGAGCTGTTGGCAAAGCTGGAGTAAAGGGGCTTTCATCAAGTCGGCTGTTGTAAGTAAGATGAACCGTTGTCGTACCACGGGGTCGCATTCGTGCATGTACACCAGCCGAGCTGTCACGAAGCCGACAAGGTGGTCCCTGCCGTTCTGACTGTGTACAGCAGCCCAGGAGAAGACTCTGGGGTTTGGGCGGGCGGGTTTCGAGGGGCAGGAGTAACAAGGAGGGCATGGAATCAGGGCAACAAGGGGCCAGGAATGGTCAGGAAGGGATGGGATGCACTCCATGGCTAAGAATGCGCGGAATTTGCGAGTCAAAGGGGCCTGCAGACCTAAGCGACGCACCTGTCTTCCCCCGAGACGGCCTTTTGAAAGAAGACCTCCTCATAGTCAATAGGGAACAGGTCTCGGTGGATAGCCTACGGCAAGCAAGCATTGTCGCTCAAAAGGTCCCAGCTAGATTTGCGAAACCGCTAAATGCAAGATTGATTACAGTCCTGCCTTTAAAGCGTTATAATCATTCTGTTGAAGAGGTCGATAGTACAGGTTAAGGGGAGGTTCGCCTTGGTAAAGAGCGGTCGTGCCCGGCCCACTGACAGCGACATGATGGCCGATCATTGCGGGATCGCATAGTCCAGCTGAGCTACGTCATCTTGCAAAAACATTCCCTTTGACAGAGCTACTCTCCGAGGTGCCCAGGAAACTGAAATCCGACGTCAATGACATGGCAGCTTGACGATACTAACTGCACATCTGATCCTAAAATATAATAACGCGTTAAGCACTGAGCTTTGTTGCTTTGCGGCGGTCGTCTGCGTGACCGTTAGGGCGCACCGTACTGCAACAGGTCGAGAGATGAAAGTGACGGCGTGCCGCTCAACCACAACGCTGAATCCGCAAGGTTAATAGACAAAAGCCCTGAAAAAACGCACTTCTGGCTATGAGATAACCGTTTACACGGCGTATGCTCTGACACTTGCTCTGCATCCAGCTCTGGACCGGTTGTTCACTTTTATGACCCAGACAGATGTGGTAGCATAGCGCAAACTGTCTTCAGCCGGCGGCTTTCGGGGGCTCAGCGGCTGTCAGGGTATACGATGGAGGACTCCTATGAGGATTGGTTCACAGATCCTCATACGAATGAACTCTATACTCAAACCGCTACGAATTACGCCCTGGATCATGCCAAAACTGCAAATGGAATGGCGGATGCGGCGTTGATGTCGGGGCCGGAAATGTTGGTAGCCCCAGCGATAGCTGTCACCGGGGATGCGTCCTCTCAGCTGGCATTCCCTGGCTCTGACTGGATGGGCATGGCCTTTGGCGGGCCACCAAACATGGCCGGCCTGACGACGGCTGCAACAGCCGCCATGCCACACGCTACGCACTACCCCACTTACGCAGCCGCCCCCGCTGCAGCGCAGCCGCACGGCCAGGGCTGCATGGGCGCCAAAGCCTTCAGCCAGTTGCCGCTCCCAGCGTGTGCTGACACGGCTAGCGACCCAGTCTCTGCCGCCGACGTTTCCCGTGCCGCGGACACTCAACCCCGTCCAGCTCCCTTCCACCAGCACCCACCCGCTGCTGACCGTGGCCCCCAGACCCTGCTTCCTGACACCTCACCACCTGCACCCCCTCATGCGGCTTCGGGAGGTCAGCAGCAGCAGCAGCAGCAACCCCACGCGCTGCAGCTGCCCGCGGCTCCCCAGCCCACTCCCGAGCAACCCGAGCTCCTTCTGCAGCAGCAGGCCGCATGGGCCGCCGCCGCCGCCGCAGCAGCAGCTACAAGCGAGGCCGCTGCTGCTGACACAACAACGGCAGCAGACGTCCTCCCGCTACACAGCGGTACGGAAACAGCCCATACAAGTACGGCAGCAGCAGCAGCAGCAGCGGCAGCAGCAGCAACCGCAGCACCCCAGGCTGCCGACATGGCGCTCCAGCATTGCTACCAGACATCATCACATCCGGGTGAGGTGCAGCAGCGGGCGCTACCACTGATGGTCCCGGGCTGCGCTCCTTCCCTGCAGCCGGGGGTGTACGTGCCGGGGTCGGGTGCAGTCCAGGTGGAGCATGGGGCGGGCTGGGAGGGCGCTGGGCTGCCGCATGCAGGGCTGACGCTGCGAGACATGGGGGCGCTGCATGTGCCGCAAGTGCAGGGGCAGGGGCAGGGGCAGATGCCGTTCTCGGAGCCGCAGCGGCAGCAGCAGCAGCCGGAGGGGCAGCGGCCGGGAGGTGAGCAGGAGGGAGGCTCGCAGGTGCCGCCGCAGGCATGTGGGCTGCAAGAGCAGCAGACACAGCAGGGGCTGCGGCCGGGGCCGGGGCCGCAGCAGCACCCGCAGGAGGCAGCTCCGGTTTACAACGCAGCGGCTCCGCAGCACCAGCACCAGCAGCAGCAGCCGGATGCGGATATGCCACAACAGGTGCAGCAGCAGGTGCAAGGGCAGCAAGCGAACATGCACGGTCAGCAGGAGGAGCAGCAGCCGCTGCAAGCGCGAGAGCAGTCCCAACCTGAGCCTCAGTACCAGCCTCAGCACCAGCCAGTGGCAGCCGGCGGGCAGCTGTTAAACGCACAGCAACAGCCGGAGCCGCCGCCGCAGCAGCAGCAGTCCCCCATCCAGTCCCAGCCACAGTCCCAGCCACAGCCCCAGCCTGAGGCCCCTCCCACCCGGCCATTCAGGGCTCCCACCATCGCCAGCCTTCGAGCCATGATGCATGCCTCCGGCGGCAGCAGCAGCGCCCCGTCAGCCACCCCAGCCACAGCCTCCCTACAGACTGCGGCTGCAGTTGCAGCCTCGGCAACCCTGCCTACTTCCTCGAGCGCAGAGCTGCTGTTGTCCTCGCCTTCGCACGCAACGGTGGCCTCATCGTCGGTTGCTGCAGGGACCCCGGCTGCTGCAGGCTGCGCCGGCCAGGGTACCACAGGCCCAGGTAGCAACACCGGTGCGGGAGCTGCTGCGTTTGTTGGGAGCAGCTCAGGGGACCTTGCTCCGGTCGGGAATGCAGCGCTGACGAATGCCGGGGAGGCGGCAGCGGCAGCGGCAGCGGCGCCAGGGGCGGTGACGGAGGCGGCAGTTGGCGACACCGCGGCGGCGACGGCGGCGCCGCTGGAGGTGCCGTCGCTGCTGTTGGCTGACCCGGAGGAGCTCGCCGCCGCCATTGCTGCCGCCGTGGCGGCGGTGGCGGCAGCCACACGGGCGGCGGCGGAGGCGGCTGACGAGCAGCAGCAGCAGCCGCAAGCGCAGCCGGAGCTGCAGCCGCAACCGCAGCAGCAGCAGCCGTACTTGCAGCCGACAGGGCTTCCGTCGCCGCCAGCTCCGGGTCAGGTGAGTCAGCCGCCGCCGTACATCACACAAAACCCTGGTCAGGAGGTGGTGGCCTCTCATCATCATCATCAGCAACAGCAGCAGCAGCAACATCAGGTGCTTCTGCAGCAACCTCAGCTGTACTACGCGCCTATACAACAAACCGCAACCGGCACAGTCCTACAAGTCATGTCGTACGGCGATCCCTCCGCCGTACAGCCGTTACTCGCCCCAGCCACAGCGGCGCTGCTGCCCCCCGCGGCCATGAGCCTCCTCGGCAACGGCGGCGCTTCCGTCTTGCTCGCTGGTACGGGTGGTACAGCACACGCTGCCGTACAGCCACCGTACGGCGATCCCTCCGTACAGCCGGCCCCTGCGGCGGCCTGGGCTCCCGTCGGCACCCACCCGCAGGTCTTGTACCAGCAACCCGGCGATGGCTCGCAGTACCCGCAACACGGCGCTCCTCCGCAGCCTGTTGCCGGCATGGGGTTTCAGCCGCACACCCTGGCTGCAGCACACCCGCACCCGCACCCGCACCCGCATGGGGCTCGTCCTGGCTCGTACCTGGATCAGCACCACCACCATCACCACCAGGAGCACCAACAACATAACCAGCAGCAGCAGCAGCACCAACAGCAGCAGCAACCCTATCCGGAGTATCATCAACATGGGGGCCCAGATCCGTACGCAGAGCCGCAACCGCAGTACGGCGAGGACCCAAGCTACTACAGCAACCCGCACGAGCACCCCCATCATGGCGAAGAACGTGGGTTCGGGCCCTATGCCCAACCGCCTCCCCCCCATGAGGGCCGTGGCTTTGGGCCCTACGCTGCTGATGCACAGCCTCCTGGCAGCCGCAACCACCAGCAACACCAACACCACCAGCAACATCAGCACCCGCAGCAGCAGCAGCACTACCAGTCCCATGATCGTCACCGCCACCCCCACGAGCCGCCCTACCAGCATCCGCCGCAACAGCCGCGCGACAGCTGGGATCATCAGCACCCACAACACCCGCATAATCACAACCAGCATCATGGTCAGCATCATCAGCATTACCAGCAGCACCGCCGTCGTGACGAGTACGGCAGAGCACCTGCTGCTTCGTACGACAGACCACCACTGGAACCGCAGCAGCAGCAGCAACAGGAGCAGCCCGCCCGCTACCCGCGCCCAGCTCCCTACATCTACAGGCGCGAGCCGCCGCCTACAGCCGCTGCAGCCCCGCCGCAAGACCACCACCACCACCGCCACCACTATCATCCGCCAGTTGGGGCTGACGACGGCGGCAACACCGGCGGCGGCGGCGGCAGCAGCAGCCGAAGGTCTGCGCCACCCTCGGACCTGCTTTGGTCGCCCCCGGCTAACCTTTACTCCCCAACACGGAACCTCTACTCGCCCACGCGAGACGATGACAACGCTGAGGAGCAGCGGCAGGACACTGTCGAGGGGGGAGATGATGCGGGGAAGGTCGCTGCAGCAGCCGCAGCTGCTGTTTCAGCGGCACGGCGTAAGAGTGTGGCGGAGGAGGAGGCAGAGGACGCGATGGCAGTCGGTGAGAAGGAAGCAGAGGATGGTGCCGAGGGGCTAGGAGTGGCGAAGCGCCCTCGGGGCTACTCTCCTCCGCCCCTCGGCACTGCCGCGGCTTTGCAGCAGCTGGAGGCGCGGCGCAAGGCGGGTCGTGACCCGCGGGTCACTCGCGAGCGCTCGGAACCGCCCGCGGACCTGCCTTCAGAAAAGCAGCTGCAGCTGAAGCTGCAGTCGCAGCCCAGACAACTGGGGCGGCAACGCGCCTCGCGAAGGGGCCAGAGTCCCCCCGTGCGGGAAGCCTCCCCACAGGAGGAGTCGCCGCAAGACAGCCCCCAGCCGGAGGAGCACTTGGAACGGTCGCCCCCGCCGGAGCAGCAGCCGCCGCAACAACAGCAGCAGCAACAGCAGAGACCCCTGACGACGCGTCCAGCAGGAGGTCCTCGAACTGGACTGCTGCAGCAACGACTCGGACCAACCTCCGCCATATCTCCAACAACCGCCACCACAACCACCACAACCACCGCAACAGCACCCCCTGTGGTAACCCTAGCGGCGGCGGCGGCCCCGGGTGCGCCTGTCCCGCTGGACTTGAGGCCTCTGGGTCGCAACAAGGAGCTAGCCCGCGCGGAGCAGCAAGCCGCCATGCAGGCCATGTTGGAAAAGGCGCGGAAGCTCCGGGAGCAGCAGGCGGAGGAGCGGCGGCGGCAGCAGGAGGCGGAGCAGGAGCGACTAAAGGAGCGGTTGCTGGCGAGATTAGAGGAGCAGAAGAGGGCCCGGCAGGGTCAGGCCGCGGGTGGTGGGGCTGCCGCGCCGGCGGCGACGGCGACGGCGACAGGGGAGGCGGCCAAGGGTGGCGGCGGCGCTGCCGCTGCTACTGCTGCTGGAGCTGCGGAAGAGCCGGACGTCAGTGCTAATAACGATACCGCCGCCACGGCCGTTAACAGCTCCGCCTCTCAGGCGCAGGTCGACGCTGCCAGTCTGGAGGCAGAGCTGACCAAGCTGCAGCAGCAGATCGCTTCGGCTCCCACGTACGGCATGAATGGTCGTGCACTGATCCTGCGGGCGGCTGAGCTGGTGGCCAAGTGTGAGGCGGCGCGGGCCCCGGCGGGAGGGGCAGCGGCGGCGGCGACGGGGGTTGGCGGGAGTGCTAAGGTGGCGGCGGCGAAGTCGGCCTCAGCGCCAGGTATGGGCTGCTGGGAGGCGGAGGTGTTGACCAGGGCGCTTGGGGGAATGAAGGAAGGGCAACTGTCCTGTGTTTGAAAGACGTGTTGCCGGTATGTGGCACTATCAGAACCAACCCGCCCGCGGCTTCGTTCTCCCTTACCTCAATCACCCATGCAGGAGGAGCAGCGGGATCCCGACCCGGCCAGCCAGCCGCAGCAGCAGCGGCGGCAGACCCCGCGGCGACGGGCCTTATCTCCCTGGTCAAGCCGCTGGCGGATGCCGTACCGGCTCCGGAGCGGGCCTTTGTGACGTACGTGCCGCGCTCGTCCATTCCGCGACTGGTACGGCAGGAGACGGCGCACCAGCTGACGGGTGGCTACCTGGCGCTTGCGCTGCAGCGAGCCCGGGTGCCGGAGGGGAGGGCGGTGCAGGTGCGTGTGTACGTGTGTGCTGGAGACGTTCGGGTACGGAGCCTGCGGGCAGCTCTGCCGCCTGTTGCTATCGGTATTCGTCTGGGGTTATTGCGGTGGGGATTCATCCTGCCCTCAGCCTTCGCTTCCAGAACCCCCTGCCCCCGCCCCTGTCCCCCCCTGCCTCCGAAACCCACGCCAGGCGGTGTCCTGTGAGGCGGAGCTGCGTCGCGCTGCCGTACTGGCCGCGGGGCAGCACGAGATGGCGCTGTACAGGCAGGTCACGTCGAAGCTGAACTACGAGGCGCTGGCGCGGAAGGTGAGAGGAGGCGGAGGCATGGGTGAGGAGGCGCGGCATGGGTGAAGCGCAGCATGGCGCGTAATGCATACCGGTATAAGCCGCAACAAAGCACTGTCCGTGAACAACGGTATGCAAGGGCGGGGGTTGCGCGGGAAGGAGCGCCGGAGGGGAGTTTGAAGCTGGGGGGCAAAGCGAGAAGGCATGCGGTGGTGCTGCCCCAATTCCTCCATGCATGTCCAACCCCAACCCCTCCTGCTCCCCTCCCTTCCGCACCCCGCGCCATGGCGCCGGCAGACCAAGGCGGAACCGGAGCGGCTGCAGCTGCCGGAGGGGCTGGTGGACACCCTGGCGCGGAAGTACGGCAACGCTGGCGGTGGCGCCGCCGCTGCGAAGACCGGGAAGGCACCCGCCGGGGGTTCAGCGGCGGCCGCGGCGGCGGCGGCGAGCCGGGTTGCCGCTACCGCTGGGGCGGCCAAGGGGGCCGCAACTGGTGGCGGCGGCGGCGCTACCATGCCGGGTACGAAACGTCGTGCTGCGGCAGCGCCTGCGGCAGGATCCCTCGGTAACGGCGCCTTGGCAGCGGGTGGGGCGACGGAGGGTACAGAGCCGCCGCCGGCCAAGCGAGCGGCGATAGCGGGAGGGGCTGCCGGCGGGGCAGTTAGGGCAGCGGCGGCGGCGGCGACGGCGGTGGCGAATGGGTATTCCGATGGCGCAGGGAGCTCTGAAGCTTCGGAGGCTGCTGTTCAAGCGCTGTTCACGGACAGCGAGCCAGCAGATGATGATGACGAGGAGGAGGAGGCGGAGGGCGAGAAGCGGCATGCGGGTGGAGATCAGGCCAGCGGCGGCAGCGGTGACAAGGAGGCTGCTCCTGCTAAGAGTAGCAAGACCGCTGCAGGGGAAGCTAAGCAGTCGAGTCCCGACGGAGGCGCAGACGCGACGGTTGCTGCGGCGGCGGCGGAGGCGGCAGCAGCAGCGGGGACTGCTTCAGCTGCTGCCGGCGGGGCTGCCGGCGGTGGGGGTGACGGTACGGCAGAGGACCCGGGTGACGCACCGTACGGCGGACTGTTTGGATCGGATTCGGAATCCGAGCTGGGACATCTTGACGTCGTGCGGGAAGGGAAAAAGGTCAAACCCGGCGCTTCAGACACCCCATTGGCACAGCCGCCGACAGCGGCGGCGGCGGCAGGTGCAGGTGCAGCGGCGACGGCGGCGGCGGGCAGTACGGCGAAAGCCTCCGCAGACGGCTCTCCTGCTACGGCGGAGGAGGCCGGCCGTGGCAACGGTGGTGGTAGCAGTGGTACCAACGGCGATGCGGGCAAGCAGGAGCACAGGCCAGGGGCCCGGGAGCGTCGGGAGGGGGTACGGGAACGAGGCAAGGAGGAGGCACGTCGCAGCAAGCACAGCAGCCAGCCGGGCGAGCGGGCAGGCCGGGAGGCACGTCGCGAAACACGTCCACCCGAGAAACGCAAACGAAGCCGCAGCCGGAGCCGCAGCAGACATGCTGACAAGCCCCGGAGTCACGAGGGCAGCACCGACCATCATCCCCGCCCTGCAGCCCCTCCCGCCCAGCAACAGGCCGCCGCCGACGCAGGAGGCGAGTTCGCACCTCCCTCCGCCGCGCTCTCCAACCCCGCCGCCTCCTGCTCCTCTGATCCCCGCCAGCGGTTGCGTCAGCAGGTGCTTGCCTTCATTCACGCCACCCTGGAGCCGCTGTACCGCGCCGGGTTGCTGGGCAAGGAGCCGTACAAGAGGGTGGCGGCCAAGACCAGTGAGCGGTTGATGGCGGCGCATCCGGAGGAAACAAACGCGGAGTGGTTGGTTCGGGAGCATGCGCAGGTGGGGAAGGGCTGGGGTGGGGTGGGGGGGTTTAAGGAGATCCCTTTGCGGGGTACGGTACCTGGCATAGGTATTGGGAAGGTTGGGAAGAGGCAACGATGGGGTCTTCTGGACTGCAAGTGCATAACTGGGCTTTACTATCGTATAAGGCAGGTAGAAACCCATAACCCAGTCGTACGCCATCCGCTGTTGCGCCGATGTGCGGTTGTGTGATGCAGGTGAGCAAGTTTATCATGAAGGTGGTGGAACGGGAGCAGCAGCGGGAGGTGGAGCTGCAGCAGCAGCAACAGCAGGCGGAGCAGGGCACGCAGCAGCAGCAGCAGGAGGGACAACCGAAACAGGGCTTGTAGGGTTCTGTAGGGTTCGTAGGTAGCTTTGTAAAAGGCGCGAATGGGCGTGTAAAGCGATAGCAGGGCAGTAGAGGCGACAGATGCGTAGGCAGCGTTGGTGTTATGACACACGTGAGGTGCAGCAGGAGTCATACGCAGGCCTGGTTGGGGCTCACAGTCTAATCCAGGTGGAGGCCCATCATATAGTCATGTTCCAGTACGGTAGTGGTGCGCAAGTTAGGGCTACATATTATACAGTAGACGGAGGTGACGAGCAGGGCTCTCTTCTTGCTGCTGGAGTTGCAGAAGTGCAGGATAGTGGCAGTAACGTTGATCACGCTACAGAGCATGTAGGTGAAGCAGGTAGGTGTGTGCATGTGCTTATAAAGGCAGCGCGGCGACGACAAGAGCAGCAATGCTGAGGCCGCGTTAGGTAGGGTTGGGAGCTTAGTAGCATGGTGCATGCTTGCTTAGGAACCATGGTAGTTAGGGTTTGTGCAGTTAAGGCAAAAAGACGTTATGCGCTGTAAGACGTCATTGTGTTGCATCAGGTGTTGCAACAGGTGCCAAGGGGGCTAGCGCATGCAGTGGTGAATACCGTAACCATGCCGGTATTGCACGTGTTGTTTGCTGTCTGTGTGCTTCGTGTGTATGCTCTCTCCCTGTGGTCGGCTGTCAAGAAGGCGTGTGAGCCGGCTTCCAGCAAGGTGAAGACAGAGGTACTGAGGTTCTGCGGTGTACGTTACAAAGATTACATTCCGTGTTGCCACATCATCAACAACAACAGCTAAGCATCAACCACAAGTATAGAACACCTACCGTTCACGCGACTCTGTTGTTAATCTGCCATGTGTATCCCATCATGCCTGCCAGCACCCACTTCAGCACGACAGGAAACGACATGCAAATGACAGGTGTCTATTTAAAGCAACAGTATACACACAGCAACACAACAGACAACGTTTGTACGGCAACATATACGGAAACAAAGTAACATGCCAACGAGGGCCGAGCGCAGATGCTTAACACTCGACAGTTGGCTTAATGTACTACTGGAACCGAATCCACCGGCCGTAACCAGCTCTTGCTCCACATCTGCAACGCGTCCCCCAACACACCCCATCGTTCGTCCAATCCTTTATCCGCTTTAGTACGATGGCCTATACACAACAGTACAATGGGGCAACGTACTCCACACGCAAATTGCCTGATCTGTTGCCTACAAAAGCCAGAGATGCCAGCAAAGTAAACCATTAGGATGGTTTCTAACTTGCTACAGCAACATTGCTACAACACGAAGCTTACAACAACTCCCAATTCCATCACATCGCTACTCGTCTGATGTCAAAGCAACTCCTGCCGGTTCATACGGTATCAACAATCACTTCACCTGTCCGGTATCCCAACCGGCAACCACCACCACCAACCGCTGTCACTTCCATCTGCCTACGCCTCTCTTCCAATGCAACCTCCTGCAACCGTCAACATGCGCTTTCTCTCCATCCAACCTTCCCTATCTCTCTTCCCGCAACCCGCCACCCTATCAGCTCCTCCCTTGGGTATTCTTCTTTTCCCTCCCATGCCAGCTTATCAAAGTTTCCAACGACCTACAACCATATCCTGCGCCTGCTCGGCTAAACTCAATGCCGCGCCGCCTCTACATCAGCCACCCAAGCCGTGCCCCTCAAGCCTCCACCTAAGCCACCTAAGCATACCTCCCTCACCTCCTCCCTCACCTCCTCCCTCACCTCCTCCCTCACCTCCTCCTCTTCAGCCACCTACTCTAAGCCTGCCGCCTACGCCACCGGGATCTCCCGCACCTTGGGTGCCGGCTTCTGCACCTTGGGAATACGAACCGTCAACACCCCATGCTGAGTGGACGCGGTGATACCCTCCGTGTTGGCGTCCTCGGGAAGCTGAACGGAGCGGACGAAGGAGGCGAAACGTCGCGAGCGAGCCATCGTGGCGGGCGCCACCGCCTTCTCGCCCTCCTTGCTCTCCATGCCGGTGGTGGTGGTGGTGGTGGTGGTGGTGGTGGTCTTGGTTGGTTGCTCCTGAGTGGCCTCCTCGTGTAAGCCGGTGAGGATGAGCATGCCGTCCTCGGAAAGGGAGACCTGGGGGCAAGGGAGCGGGAGGGAGGAGGAGAAGGGTAGGGGAGGAAGAGTCGGTAGGGCATGAGGAGAGGGTGGATGGGGGTGAGGAGGAGGCAGCAGCGCAGCAGCAGCAGGCTGCTGTTAGTTCTGGGTACAAGACAGCACAGGGGTTGCCACCCTAAGCAAGGCTGATAACCCCCAAAAGCCCTATCACCTGCAACCCCCCACCCACCTTGATCTCGCTCTTGTCAAAGCCCGGCACCTCCGCCATCACCGTGTAGCCCTCGGGGTCCTCATCCACCTCAAGCGCCACCGGACGAGCCAGCATGGCGCGGGCGGGGGACGCCAGGCCTGCGGCGCGGCGGGGCACCAGCAGCGGCGCCGTCATGCGGTCAAACATGTCGAAGGGGTCGGCGGTCATGGAGAGCGGCGAGGGCATGCCGAATGCGCCCATCAGGGAGTCCATCTCGCGCTGCATCTGCATCATGTGGTCGGCCATGCGCCTGGAGGATGAGGAGGTGGAAGGGGGTGCAAGAGAAGGAGGGATTGCGGTGAGGAGGCGGGCGAATGGGAGGAGCAAAAAGGGCGGGTGGATGAGGAGGAGCAAAGGGCGAGCAAGAAGTGGAAAGGTTACTTGGACTGATTGCAAGTACGAGCTGGGCGGTATGACCAAAAGCTATTGGTCGCAAAGGCAGGAGCTACATGTGCTTCATGCTTCATGTATTGCCGTGGACTAGCGGGAGCGGAAAGCCAACAAGCAATACTGCCAATGCATGACCCGCGGGTCATGTCCTAGTGCTAAGTCTAAGGGCCCCCCTGAATTGTAAGCCACCGTCCCTCCACTCGGCGCCGTCCCTCAGCAAATCGCACAAACCTTTTTGCCCTCTGACAAACTACACAAGCACGCATTCCTGCTCACCAAATCGCAAACCTGCACACGGCGTCCGAATCTACTTTACTCACCTGAAAGTGGGCGGCATCATGATCGGCAGGTCCGACACCAGGTCTCCACCCCGCTGCTGGCCGCTCAGCTCGCCTCCCTTACTGGCGCCCTGCTGAGCCGCCAGCTCCTGGGACTCAGCCTTGCCGGCCTCCTGCTTCTTCTCTTGAGGCTGCTGAGGCTGGTCTTTCTGGGCGCGCGGGATGAAGGAACCGATGGCGCGAGAGGGCGCAGACGGGGCGAAGGCGAGCGAGGGAGCACGACGCGCCGCGCGAGCCGTGAGCGGCAGGCGCGCGGTCGCAGCAGAAGCAGCAGCGGTGCAAATCATGGCGGAGGTGAGAGGGCTAACCAGAGGTGCAGCGCTGCGAGAAAGAAGACGCGAGGCTAGGAGCATGTGATGTGTCGGAAGAAGGTTGTGTTGGTTGTTGAGCTGGTAGCAACTACCGGAAGCCTTTATTTAAACGCTAGGGCGTATGTGTGAGAGCTTTTGCTAAGAGCGCTGGTCTTAGGTTTGCTTTGGTTGTTTGTTCTTGGTTTATATTAGAGATTTGCCGGGCCTTTATATAGGGACAGCTGTCCTTGGTTCGAGACTTTTCGGATACTTCGGATCTGAGTCAGCTTCTTCCGCCCATGTGTCCCGGGACAACCGGAATCCTCTAGGAGCCTCTTGAGAGCCCGTTTGGAACCTTCTGAGGGCAGTTTTGCCTCCGTGTATGCTGCAAGCAGTCGGCATTGCTTCACAGCGGGCCCGCGGGTCGGTGAACCCACTGCAAAACCGTCCAATGCGCAGCTTACGTGGTACTAGCGTCGTGTTTTGTGACTCCAGGCGCTCCCAACAAACACCTTTGCATCCTAAGATGTTTTAATCATGGATTACGCGATACCTAGTCGTCGGCTTTCTTTGGAAGAATTGGCAACGTTCCTTCTGTCAGCAGTGTTGCTGATGCAAACAACTTTTTCGGCAGCAATGCTGGCCTCCGGAGGAGGAGGCGTTGCGGCACCGTTTCGTCATATCGCTAGGTAACGCAGCTAGGAAGGCGTCTGGAAGGATGGTTAACGAGTACATTCGTTGCAAATGAACGAGAGTGTTCGCGTGACGCGGTCTGCTAATGAATCATTCCGGGCTTGCTCCGTAAATTGCTGCCCTTGCTTCTGAGACAGGGCAGGATAGTCTTTGCCAGACCACTTGTAAGTAAAAGATGATGACGACAAGTGTTCTTCCTGACGCCCTCCGTCGTCTTTGCAATACCCGCCCTTGCTGCAGCTTGCGAGCCTTTCCAGGATCCAGAACCGGCCCAGCAGCAGCTCTAACCGCCCTCGCAGCTGCCGTACTGCAGCTCAACCTCAACAGCAACAGCGGGGTAGCAGTTCGTTGGGCCGCAAGCGCCAGCAGCACCACCGACCCGCAACGCAGCAGTGCTCCTCTGGGCTCGCAGTCGCATGGAACCCAACTCTCACCCGCTGCCAACAACAGCAGTAACAGCAATAACAGCGGCGGAGGCGAAGGCGGAGGCGGAGGCACAGCCAAGGGTGGCGACGCAAAGAGCGCAAGCGGGGATAGCGAAGTAACGAGCGGCCGTGCATGCGAGAGCACCGACGCGGCGTTTCGGGATGTCGTACTCAGTCGCATTGCAGCGCTGGAGTCGGAGGTAACGGCGCTACGTGCCGCGGCGGAACGCCGCCGCGATGCGCCGCCACCTCAACACCAACATCAACATCAACATGCAGACGGGCCGACGGACGACACAGGGAAAGAGAAGGTTGCAGGCGCGGCAGGGAGCGCCACGGAGGCCACTCGCCAGGCGGCAGCTGCAGCCGGCGTCGGCGCCAGCTCCAGCAGGAATGGCGACCGCCGAAAGGCAGAAGCAGACGGCGGCGGCGGCGGCGGCGGCGGCGGCGGCGAGGGAGAGGGCGGCGGCGGCGGCGAGGGCGGCGCCAGCAGTGCGACGGAGGCGGTAGCGGAGGGGCTGTCGGCGCTGCACCCCAAGATAACGCGGCTGGTGCAGTCGGGTGGGTGTAGGGTGTGGGTATAGGGAAGGCATGCGGCGGGCAGGGAAGCAGTGAGGGAAGCAAGGAGCGGAGGATGTCTATGTTCGATGTTTGTGCGGGGGCTTAATAGCCACATCCGCGCGTGCGGGACCGTGCCCTGTCCCACTGCCTCGCCCCATCACCCCACTGCCCCAACAGCCCTTAACCCCGCTACCAACTCCTTCCCTCCCGCCTCCCCCGCCCCCCCCTTCAGGCTACCTGGAGTCGCTGCACCACCTGCGGCAGCGGCTCATGGTGGACGAGTGGGAGGGCGGCGGGCGGCAGCGGGCGCTGCGGCGGGGGGTGGCGGACCTGGAGGCGCAGGTCGCGGAGCAGCAGCAGCGGGAGGGGGGGGAGGGGCAGGGGCAGCCGCTGCTGGGCTGGGAGGAGCTGTCGGCGCTGTACCAGGTGGGGTGCGGAAGGAGTGGGGGCAGTGGTGGAGGGGCGGCGGGACGGAAGGACGCATGTATGTGAATGTGAAGACACACGGTTGAACTGCCGTGTTTGCCTGCCAGCCGCCTGCGAGCCTGCCAGCCTGCAAGACCTACCGTATTCATCCCCTCAATCGCTCCCAACTCCCTTGTGGACTCACCCGCCTGCCGCACTGTATCACGGATTGTTGTTGTTGTTGATGTGGGTGCCCCGCAGGACCCCACCAACCTGGACGTCATTCGCGACCCACGGGTCCGCATGCTCGCCCGTGCCACCCTGCAGCGCGTGCTGGACGAGCGGCACGAGAAGGTGCGCGACGGCGCCACGCAGCTGGCCAAGGAGCTGGCGGACGGGGTGACGCAGGGGCCGGGCAACCTGCTGAGCGGGCTGTGGGGGCTGCTGCCGCTGCCGGGGTTCCTGAAGGGCAAGTAGGGGGCATAGGTGGTGGGTGGGGTGGGCATGGGGTGGGAGGCGGGCATGGTGGAGGTGCATGAGGCTGGGCACGAGGGTGCGCGCGGGTGGAGGAGTGTGCGGTTATAAGTGTACTTCTGACAGATTTGTAAGGTAGTTGGTCGTTGGTAGTTGGCAGACTGGCTGTTGGGTTGAAACGGCTTTCGGATGTATGTACGGTGCGTGGGTGAAGGAGTCATGCTGTAGACAGGATAACAGGAACACGTCGGTGGAAGTGTGCTGGGAATACTGGGAGACTGGTTTCGGGGCCCTAGGCGCTGTCAACCTGGTGCCGACACTGGTGCTGTTGTAGCCGCCTTGTGTTGAGCAGTCTAGGCTCAAGCAGGCCGTATGTATACATACCGTACTTATCTTCACACGCGGTACTATCTTTCACATGACAGCAGGGGCGTGTAGTGGCCGCCACAATTCATGTGTGTATGGCTCGTGAGGAGGCCGTTGGTTGGCACCGCATATGGACTATAGACATGAACCGCCACACGTGCTGAAGCCGCTGTTCGGCGTTTTACATCCGTCCATCCCGCCAGTCAGCGTAACCCCGCAGCGGCTCCACGTCCACAAGGGTGGGGTCCGCGGACAAGCAGCCCAAGCCTCAGCACCCAGGCCCCTCATTCAGTGCCCCCTCCCTCGCCCCTCGGACTCAGCTTCACGTCTTCATCCTTATCTCCGCCCCCCTCTGCCCCCTGTTGCCGCCTGCCAAGGCTCTCACTGATCCTCAGCGCCGCTGCGTACGCCGCCTTCTTCTTCACCCCCAGGTTGGTGGCCACCTCCTTCACCGCCGCCGACACCGTCATGCCGCCCTCCAGCAGCTCCCGAAGTACCCGCTCCATCGCACCCACACCCACACCACCCCCGCTGCTGCTGCCACCGCCACCACCACCGCCTGGGTTGTCGCCTTCATCGCCGCTGCCGCCGGCGGCTTCCTCCCACCCGGCTGCTCCCGGCTCCTCGCCGCTGCACCCCTGGATGATGAGGCAGATCTCCCCCCGCGCCTGCCGCACCTCGCTGAACTCTCGCAGCGCACCTGCCAGGGTGGACCTGACAGGAGGGGGGTTAAGAGGCAGGGCGTGGTGCGTGTGGGGGGGTGAGGTCAAGATGTCTTCGCATGCAGAATAATGCCATTAGGCCGCCGGTATGAACGTAAACTTCCACGATGCGGCCCCCAGCGCTACACGAGGAAGGCTTTGCGCATTGCCGTCCCCTATGCCCCCTTCCTCTGCCCTCCCACCCATCTTCCTTCTTCCTCCTCCTCCCCCCACCTGAAGTACTCCTCATGCAGCTTGCTGATCTCCCGCGCCACGCAGCACGCCCGCCCCCCGCCCAGCTCCTCCACACAGTCCGCCAGCACGCCCGCCAGCCCGTGCGGGGGCGCCTGCAGCACCAGGGTGGAGGGCAGGGGCGCCAGCCGCTGCAGCGCCCGCCGCCGGGCACCTGCGGGGGGTCGGGGTGGGTTGGGGTGGGTTGGGGTGCCGGTTAACAGGGATACGTATTTCCGCATTACGGGTGGGTGGGGGGTGCGGGGAGGGGAGGGGTTTGAAAAGCCATGGTGTGATTGATAGTGGGTGAGCAGGAACAAGATGGACAGGAGGTGCAGGAAGTGTGGCAGGGACCCGGTTAGCGAGTTTGCTTTGCTTGCGCACACGTGAAGCAGCCGATTTTCCTAAACACACGACGACATGAGGTCTGCCAGAGCCCCGGAGCCCCTCTGCTATGCCCTGTCCTGCCCTGCCCTGCTCTTCTACCATCCAGCAGGGTCCGCGGTGGTGGTGAAGGGCCCCCTGCATGCACCCCTCGAGGAACCCCTGCATGCACCCCCTTCCCCTTCTCGTGCCTCCCTGTCACTTCCCACCTGACGCCCACCCTCCCGCTCCCACCTGACTTGGGCGGCAGGAATCCCACGAACGTGAACGCGTGTGTGGGCAGCCCCGAGCCCACCAGCGCGGTGAGGCCGGCGCAGGGGCCCGGCAGCGCCACCACCCGCACCCCCGCAGCCACCGCGGCGGCCACCAGCAGGTGACCCGGGTCGGAGATGCCGGGCATACCCGCGTCGCTCACCAGGCCTACCGGCTGGGGGGAGGGGTGGGGGGAAGGGGTTAGGAGAGCATACCAAACCGTGGGAAAGCACAGGTGGGGGCGGGGCAGGAAGGGAGGTGCGAGGTGTGAGGGGGCGGTTGAACGCAACGGTGAGGCTTCAGTTACGAGTGATAGGTGGAGCCGAAAGTGTGGAAATAGGATTCGAAGTGCGCATTCAGTAGGCACCAGTCCCCTCTCCCCAGGCCCTCCCCACAGGCCCTCCCCCCGCGCCCCCCCGCTCTCTCTCCTCCCGCGCCTCACCTCGCCCTGCTGCAGCCGTTGCAGCACCCGCGCCAGACGCAGCTTCTCGTTGTGCTCGTGGCAGCTGAGCAGCTCCAGGTTCCGGATGCCCTGCACATGGGGTGGGCAGGGGAGGAGAGGGTGTCAAACAGGCTAACAGCAGCCAACAGGCCAAACCACAGGATTCCACTAGTTAGGGCGATGCCATGGGATAGGCGCCGGCAGGGAGGTGACCGCTCCCCTCTATGCCTTACCAACATGGTACGAATCAGTCTCCATTCCCCCATCAATCTCCACTTCCTTCTTCCCCTCCTGCTCCCCAGCCCCCCCTGCCCCTCTACCCCCTCTCCCCCCCACCAGGTGGTTGAGCAGCTTGCGGGTGTGTCTCGTGTCCTCCGCCAGTAGCAGTGTCACCCCGCCCAGCGTGTCAACGGCGCGCAGGCTGATGTCCCGCAGGTTGCCGATGGGGGTGGGGATGACGTACAGCGCGGGAGGAAGAGGGGGGGCAGCAGCAGCAGCGGAGGAGGAGGAGGGGGAGAAGGAGGGGAGGGAGAGGCTTCCGGGGCCGGGACCCGGGCCCAGATCGTCATCTTGGTCGTCTTGGTGTTCTGTGGTGGCAGGGGTGTTGGTCGTGTGGTTGGTGTGGGTGTAGGTGGCGCCGGTGTTGGCTGGGGGCTTGTGGTTGGCGTTGTTGCCAGTGGGCGGAAGCCCTGTGGTTGGTTGGTTAAGCGGAATTGGGGATTGGAGCGGGGTTGGGGTTAGGTTGCGTCTGAAAATGCGAGGGAGACTAGTGGCGGTTCCGCCGTTGACGCGGCCCAGGGGACGCCTACTTGGCAGGTGGACGTTGCTATCGCGGACGGAGATTCAGGCCGCATGCCGGACACCCCAATACGTGTTCCCCCTTTGCCTTGGATAGTCCCGCCGTCCGCGCGGTTCCCCAACCGGGGCACCTGTAACGGTTGCGGTGTCGCCGGAGTCGGCGTTGCTGACGCCCACAGAAGCAGAAAAAGAATTGGATATGTGAAATTGGCGATTTTCTAGTCGCAGTGGAAGGAGTACGCAGGGGCGTCGGTGGAGACAATTATACATGTGCTTCATGGAGCATTGCAGGATGCGACACGAACTCATGGCTACCGTATGGTAGCAATTTGGAAAGGAAATTGGTATTCATCTGGTACTTTGGCAGACTCCGTCAATACACATCTGACAGCTCCCATCGCAGATACTGGTGCCGTACGCAGCTGTCCAGCTAGTCAAGCGCCTGGAGGTTTAAGACGACTTCAGCATCGATCATCGTAATTATTAAAGTTGTTGACCGTATGTGCGTTTGTGCGCTTGCCAAGAATGCAAAACAGAAAGCTTCAGGTTCAAGAGCTGGCGGCTTAGTATAACGAAATTTACTTAGCAGTTAAAGGACGGCATCGCCTTGGCGCTGCGTCCGGGCAAGGGGTATGTGCTTTGCGTCTTAACTCTAAACGGCATACAATCTGAGCCGGGCCCCGTTGCTGTTCAACAGGCTATGGAAGCGGAGACTCCCAACAGCAGTAGTGGAAGGTGTCATATGATGCGTTTTGGGGCGCACAGGCAGAAGGGGTGACAACACGGACGCATGAGACCAACCTGAGCACTGTCTCGACCGTTGGAGGAACACTCCACCGTCCATGGCGCACGAAATTCCACTTCATTTCCGTGCCGCGTTAAACCCACGGGAGTTGCCGGTGAGCTTTATGGCTTTATAAGGCGCTGGTGTTGCACTTTGGCTGCAGCCTAAGGCCTATCCTGCCTATGCCCCCGCACCTGCCACTGTTCTCGTCGCAAAGACATCTGGACACAAATAAAGCTTCGCAGCACAGTGCTGCCTGCAACATAGCACCCAAGAAGTGGCGCAGCGTCTGACGGTCCTTTCCCTGTTGCCGCCCTCTCCAACCTCCTCACCTTCCTCTTTCCTCCCATCATATTACATGTTTCATGTACCTAACCACCTCAGGCTGTTCGAGTGCAGCGCTTGTGGGCCCTGCATGCGGAACTCTCCACCGCCGTCGGGTAAGCTCAACGCTACCCCAGCCCTGCTGCTCCCTCCCTTCCAGCTCCAGGACACGATGCCTCGCCTCTGCTTGGACACCGCCCCACTTAATCGATCCATCGCTGTACTCCCCCTCTAGGACCCAAATCCCCCCGTCCCTCCGCACACCCTTCCTGCAGGCTGGCCCAAGCCGCCGCCTGGCTGCCCCCCGCCTGGCCGCACCTCCTGCAGCTGCTGGCTGACCCCGCACCCGAGGTGCGCGCAGCCGCCGTGCCGCTGCTAGGCCACCTGGGCGCAATGCTGGCCGGCGGGCGGGAGCCGCGGCTAGCCGGCCGCCTGCCGCCCTCCGCGCTGCTGGACTGGACGCTGGCGCTGCTGTCGCCCGCTGGAGCGGCGGCCAACACGCCGGCCGCGCAGCGCTTGACACCGGAGATCAAGGTGGGCTGGTGCGGTGAATGTTGTTGTAGTTGGCGGCAGTACCCGTCCATGCGGCCATGCAAGCAACTTACATGGCGGCATATTAGTTGTGGGGCATTGTGGTCTTTTACAGCACACGTCGGCGACATTGCATCTTAACTCAGCCCTTTCTCCTCCACAGCACCAACTAACTTGACCCAAATCGCTCCTTCCCTCGACCCACATCGCATTTTCGACCCAAATCGCACTCGGCCCAAATCGCTCCCTCCCTCGACCCAAACCGCAGGAGTCCATGTTGTCCGCGCTGTACGCCTGCGTGGCCGCCCTGCCGCCCGCCGCGCTGGGCCCCTTTGCGCAGCCGCTGCTGCAGCTCGCCAGCGGCCTGCTGGAGGCCAGCAGCACGCCGCCGCGGCTGCTGGGCCCGCTGCTGCGGCTGCTGCTGGCGGCGCTGCCTGCCGTACCGCTGGCGGCGCTGGGGCAGGGCTTTGGTGACCTGGTGGACCTGCTGTGCGGCTGGGCGCTGGAGCCGCTGGTGGCGCACGAGGACAGGTGGGGTTGCTAGCAAAAGAAAACTACCGGTACGTGGAATGCATGGGCTGCCTCCTTGTAGCCTCGGCTCTGCAATGGGGTTGTCGGAAACTTGTTCCTGTACTTGCTGCTCATGGTATCATGCCTCCTGGCTGGATTACAGGAACCTAATTACGGTGGTCCTACACGCGCTGCGGCCGCAGTGGCACAGCCACCCTGACTTCACAGCCTCCCTCACTGACAACATGCTGAACGACGCCAGGACAGCTGCAGCAGCTGCCACTGGCTCCGGCAACCCATCCCCTTCAACCACCGCCGCCGCCGCCGCCTCCGACAGCGGTCGCTCTGAGGCAGCCAACCAGGCCGCCTCGTGCATGCAGCTCTTGCGGCTCCTCTGCGACATCTTCTCCGCTGCCTCGCTGCGGCAGCTGCCCCTGGTCACGCAGCCTCCGCGCCCCACCTCGGGCGCCGTAGAGGAGCACAACGGGGCACACGGGCTGCAGAGACCCCGCGGCTCACAGCCCCAGCAGCCGCAACTTGCGCCTGCTCTCCAAGCGCCACCCCAGATGGGTCAGCGGGGCGGTGTCTTGCCGGCGGGTGCAGTGTACCCTGCCGTTGTGCCCGCGCCCACCGTCGCTGCTTATCCCCACACCCTACAGCACCCCCACTCACATCACTACACACACCAGCTCCCCCAGCAACCCCCCATGCAGTATCCGCTCCAGCACCCGCACCAGCTCCTCCATCCGCAATCACCACCGCCACTGCCGCCCCACCTCCGCACGGCTGCTTCGCCGCTGCACCTGCCGCATGGAGCACCCGCAGCCATGCATGTGGGCTCCCTGGCTGGAGTTATGGCGGAGCGGCCGGTTGCTGCGACCGCGGCCCCGTGGGCCCTGGTCGCCATGCTGCCGACGCGGCCGAGCGCTGCCACCGTACGGCACCTTATAGACTTGTTCCCCAGGATCTTAGCTACTCTGAGAGAAGTACGACAGATACTAGTAAGGTTGGGTAAGGAGGTGTTGGGTGTAAGCGGGCGCGGCTCAGCTGCAGCGCACACAGCGTCGCCGGCGGCGGCAGCTGCAGGGGAGTCCTGGTCGGGACAAGTGTGCAGCTGCGTGGAGCTGCTCGTAGACAGTCTCGTAACCTGTGTCGTGGACATGGACCCACGGGATGTGGATGAGGTGTGGGAGAGAGTTGGAACTGAAGTGGCGGAGCGTTTAGCGACGCTTACGTTGCGGGACGAGGTGGTTGCACTACCCGCGGAACGCAGCAGCAGCAGCGGGCGTGCAGGTACCGGTCCTACTCCCACACCCGCGGTGTCAGCGCCGCCAACGGTGAGCGCGGTCATGCCGGCGCCAGAGCGCGTAGTTGAGGAGGTTGCCGCGTACGGCATTGTTGGCAGCGCTGCGGTAGCAGCCTTACCGGAGGCCCTTGCCGCTTTCCAAAGCGCTGCGATCTGTGGGGCAGCGGGGCAGGCGAGCGGCGGTGGCGGCGTCGCTGACGCAGCGGCTAAAGGGTCGCAGAAGCCGCCACTTGTTGTTGCGTTGGAGGAGTCTGGCGTTGCTGCTGCACCAGGTTGCGGAGAGTCGATTCGCGTTTGGGTTTTGCAGACGGCCATTGAGTGGTTCCTTTCGCTGTTGAGCAGCGGTGGCGGTTGTGCGAGCCCCGCAGCTGCTATGGAGGTGATGCCTTATTGCTTGCGGCTGCTAAGGAAGGCTGTGGACTACGACCCGCGGGTCGCAAGACGGCTGCTCTTGGCAGTCGTACTCGATGGCAAGGGCGAGTCGAACGTCGTCAGTCTCAGGTTGGTTCCCAGCCTGCTTCCCCGAAAACTTTTACTGTTACCAAGCCAGCCCAATGCTTGGATTGAACCTGCCTGTCATGCACCCCTCACACCTATCTGCACCTATGTTCCCGACGCAGGACCTCCCCACGTGCGCCTTTGGTTGCGACTGCTGGCAAGCTCCTGCACGCCCTGCTAGCCGACTGCCACACGACCATGTCGGCAGCAACCTTGGACTGGCTGCTAAGGGACCTGCGCGCTCAGCTGCGCGCGCAGGGCGCAGCGGAGCCAGCAGCACCGCAGGACTGGGCCCACGGGGCGCGCCTTGAACGGCCGCGGAAGCCGAAAGGAGCTGCTGCCGGTGCCGTTGCTGGCTCTGCTGCCTATGCCTCGGCCTCCGCAGCTGCGTTCGATTGCGCTGTGCTGCAAGCAGCTTGCCAGCGGGGGCTGCTAGCTCCCAGGGAGGTGCTGCTTGTGGAGTCAACTGCATGGCGTGCAATGCTGGAGCTTGCGGCTCCCCATAACCCCAGTCGGTCACCCTTTCCCGCCTCGTGTCTCTCCTCGGGTTCGGACCCAGGGCGGCAGCCAGCAGCAGGCGCGCCGTCGCCGCCGGCAGCTGCAGCAACGTCGCCAGTAGAGGATGCCTTGGGGCCTTCCGTTGCGGCCCAAGCAGGCACGCTCGCGGCTAGCTTGCCAACCGCAGTCATGGACGTCACAGCTCTACAAGCATCTCCACCCGCATCGGCTCTCTCGGCCCTTGTCGGACCACGTGCGATGACCCCGCTGCCCGCCTCCGTTGCCTCGGCGCTCTGCGATGCTTGGGCTGCTGCGGCACTGACCATCATTGCTGATGTCGGCCGGGGTGACTCCGCCGCTGCTCCTCCTGCCGCTGCTCCTCCTGCCGCTCCTGCCGCGCTTGCTGCTTCCCAAGCCGCGCCGCCAGTTCGCGACCAGCAGTCCGCCGCTGCCAATTCTGCACGCCCTGCGGATTCCAGCCCTGTGATGGCGGCCGGGATCGAACGGGAACATTCCGCTGTCACAGCGACCGTTACGGCTTACCTAGCAGCACTCCAGACGCTGCAGATGGGGGCAAGCAGCGCCGCGGCGGCCGCTGTGCAACTCCGTGTCATAGCGGCGCTTCGACGGCTGCTGGCACACCACACCGCTGGAACCCTTGGCGTCATTCGCCGCGAGCGGGTGTTTGCAGTGGCGCTGGGCTTGCTTACTGAAGGCATAGCCAGCAACGATGCCGGCGTCCGTGCCGCTGCCCTGGATTGCGCGGCCGCGCTTGTAGCTCACGTGCTTCAGGACCACCCACCAGCCTCCAACGCTGCTGCTCCCATTGCCGCCGGTATTTCAACTCCAGCACCACCACCCGGAACACTCCCACCGCCACCCCGTCCGGAGCGCCTCGCACCCCTCATGTCGCTCGCACTCGACGCCCTGACGGATACCTCGGCAGATGTATCCGCCTCCGCGGCGCGACTCGCAGCCGTCCTCTCCGAGCCGGCGCTGCTGACGGCGCTGTCATGTGGCCCCGCCTCCTACTGCACCTGGGTGCCCGACTGGCAGAACCAGCTGGCAGTGGCGCCGCAGCTGCGGCTGCCGCGGCCCCAGCACGTCGCGCGCCTGCTGGAGCTCGTGTTCCAGTCCGCAGCGGCGGCGCAGGGCAGCGTGCTGCTGCGCAAGCGCGTGCCGGCAGCTGGCGCGGCGGGGGCAGGAGCGGGTGAGGAGGGCGAGCTGAGCGGCCGACTCGAGGCCTTGCAGCGCCTGGCGCTCGGGATGGCGCCGGTAACGCTGGAGGCGCCAGAGGGTGGTGAGGAGGTTGTGGGTAGAGGTAAGGGTGAGGAGGCTGCTGTGCCGCGTAGCGGCTCGGCGCTGGTGTGGCTGGCGCTGCAGGAGGGCGCCAGGCAGCTGGTGTCGGGCCGGCTGCGGACGCATCTTGGCGGACCCACGCAGACACTGGGCGCACTGGAGCGAATGCTGCAGGTGCGCGGGCGCGTGTGGTACCGTACCCTCATGACCACGGTCGCTGCGCATTCGTCCTCCCAGCAACCGTGCCTTGTTATGCTAGCTAGGACCTACAAGGCTTGCGTGGGCGGCGGTTGTCCAGCTTGTAACCAACCGCCTTGCTGATTTCACCCCGTCCTGAGCAGGTTACTTACTCCAGGCTGTCACAGGAGCGGCGCGAGGCTGGCCCGGCGGGCGTAGGAGCCGCCAGCCGTGAGTCGGCTTGGCTGGCCTTGGAGTTTGCGGGCGCCTTGGAGCGGGCTGTGGCGCATGCGGCGGAGGGACATGCAGGGCGGGACGTCCTGCCGCAGCCCGTGCTGGCCTTCTTTGCTGCGAACCGGAAGGCAAGTGTGCCCCGCTAGCCAGCGGTACGTTACTCAGCGTTTTGCCATGCATTCGTCATGGTGTGCAATATGCGTGGAACCTACCATCACACTTCAACCTTGCCTTCTGCGCCCTCACGCCTACCGTACCTTGTGCAGGTGTGTGAAGAGTGGTTCACTCGGGTCCGGGAGCTGCTGGCGCGTATCGCCTCGCTGGCATCTGCGCACCACGCCGCCATGCATCACGGCCTCACGCGGCTCCGAGACCTGCGGGGCACCATGCGGCAGCTGCTGAGGAGCTTGACGCACGAGCGCAAAGCAGCAGCAGCAGCGGCTGCTGCCACGGCCGTGCAGCAAGGCCCTGAGGGCAAAGCCGCTGGCGGCGGAAGCGGTGGGTCAGACGGAGCTCAGACCACACCACCCGCAGCGTCCGCCGCCACCTCGGCACCTGCGACAGGAGGGCGAACAGGGAATAAGCAGGTGCAGCTGCAGCGGAAGGGTGGAGCTGCTGGGGGCTCAGGAGCCGCGCAGCAGCAACAGCGTGGGTCAGCACCCGCAGCAGCAGCAGCGGCGGCGGCGGCAGCATCGACTTCGGGTACGGGTCCCACAGTGCCTGGGTCGCCGGCACCTTCCGTTGCTGAGGGCGTTGCGGCTGCCGCTGCTGGTGCTGCAGCCCCGACGGCGGTTCAGCAGTTGGAGAGCAGCTTGTCGCGTCTGGCGCTTGCGGTGGTGGAGCTGCTAAAGCTGGTGGGAGGCGCCATGCTGGCGGCAGGGGAGCCGGACAGCCTGCAGGTGGGGAGCCGCACGAGGGCTTGGCTTAGCACAACACTGTTGTTCCCATGCTGTTGCTGCTGTTGTATGGCTTGGCTTCGCACAATGCTGTTGTTCCCATGCTGTTGCTGTTGCTGCTGTTGGCCGCCTCTGCTGCCTCCCCCTTCTGTTGTCGTGTTGTGGATGTGGTGGATGCGAAGTTCATGCATACTGTGGCACAGGGTGGTTGTAATCATCTGCCTCATCTGCCTCACAGGGTCTTCATAGCTGGGCCATGCGCGAGTTCGAGCCTCTCCTTCTGGGAGCGCACTTGCCCGGGGCATCCGTTGTGGCTGCTGCTGAAGCAGCGGCGGCGGCAGACGCGCTAACATCAGCCGCCGGAACCGGAACATCCGTGGGCGTAGGGCTGGGCGGTGCTTCACCCAGAACCAGCGGCACTGCTGGGGGCTCGCGGCGGCGACCGGAGGCGACGCGCGCAACACGTAGTGGCAGCAAGCAGCAGCAAAAGGTAGGGGGCACATGGAACTCTTGGGTGCCGCGTTGCAGCCGTGCCGTTTTGCGCATGTCAGCAGGCTCTAGCGCCCTTGCAAACGGACCTGTATGTATATCGTTACGGACTCCTTACCAAACGCTTCTGCAACGCAGGACGCCTTCGCTTGGCTCCTCGGCATGAGTCTCCAGGCATCCGGCTCGTACGAACAGGCTCTCCTGTCGTACAACGCGTTCCTAGCGCCCCAGTCCGCTCCTGCTGGCTCTGCGGGCGGTGGAGGTGGCCAGGCAGCCCTCGTGGTGGCAGCCGAACTCGCTGCTGCTGCACAGGCTTTTGTGGTGGAACGAGTTGGCGAGTGCTACGCGGCCCTCTCTGACTGGTCTGGCCTGCAGGTAACAAGATGCAGTGCTTGCGACGCTCCACTGGTTTGGCCCCTGCAGTGAATTCCGTATCCCCATGGTTGCATGCATGCTGAATACCGGTGTACGTCCGCTCCACCTCGTTAACAGGGCTTGATAGGCGCGTTCTCCCGCACCGCAACGGCGGAGCCTGCTGTCGCGGGCTGGTGGCCGGGCACCGCGGCAGCCTTCGAGCACCGTTTCCGAGCGCTGGCGGAGTATGACACCGGCTCGGTCACAGCCGCGGTTCCAGAGGCGGTGAGTCTGTTAATGCAGCCCTACTTCACGGGCAACTCTAGATCGATGCACTGAATGTCCACCTCTATTGTAGGGTGTGCCGTGCCATCAGACCTGGCTACTACTCCTGCCGTAAGCCGCCCCCGCATCACTCACTCTCCTAAGTGCCCTCCTCCCCTCTGCCATTACACGGCCTACCAGGTGCCCGGTGACCCTACGTCTTTCCTGCTGGCCGGCCTGCACGCCCTCAGCCGAAGCAGCTCCGAAGCCGGACCGGCTCCACGCGCTGCTGCCGCCACCACGGCACAGCTGCCGCAGGCCACCCAGCGCCGGCCGCAAGATCTGCTGCACCAGCCCCTCCGCGACACCACCTCCCAGGAGCTCTCCCGCCTCATGGAGCGGCTGCGCGCCACTGCGCTGGCAGAGCCTACCTCACAGCGGGAGCTGCTGCTGCAGTCGTGCTGCCTGCGGGGCGTGGCACGAGCTCTGGAAGGGGCTGCTGCGGGTACCCCGGCTGCGGCCGTAGCCGCTGAGGGGCCCTGGGGGGGTCTGCTGCTGCCGCATGCAGCAGCACAAGGCGACGCTTCGGTGCTACGTTCCTGGGGGGGCCACGGTCTGGGTTTTGGTCTGGGCCGTGCGTTGCTGGCACCCGACGGGACGTTGCAGGCAGGTTCTCTTCGTGACGTGGCTGTGACGGGAGCGCTGCTCCGGGTTGCACGTGCCGCGGACCCACGGGTCACCCTGTCCAGCACACGTGCCATCTCGGTCGAGCATATCCGGGCGGCAGCGGCAGCAGGCAACTGGGGCCTAGCGGCTCGGCTGGTGCAAGCGGCAGCGGCGAGTGCGTCTGCCTCCGTGTCGGGCGCTGAGGGACATAGTGTCGGAGCTGCTGCTATTGGAGGCGGTGCGCGCGCGGTGCTGTCCGTGGCGCATAGCCTGATCAGCGCGTCAGCCGGGCGAATGCTACCATCACAGGTCATCGAGCTGCAGTTTCGAGCCTTGCTGCCCCACTTAACATCCAGTCAGCCCCCGCAGCCGAACTTTGCTGTGAGCAGTGCGGATGCGGACGACCTGGCATGCGCCCTGGGAACCTTGGCTCGGTGGATGCTCAGGGCCGGTGCCGCACATCATCACAACCACCACCATCATCCACACCAGCAGCAGCAGCAGCGGCAACCCCACCCAGACCCCGCACGCGGGCCCGTAGGACCCACCGGAAACCAACACGCGGTTACCCTTGAGGGCGCAGCCGGTGGGGTCGCAGCAGCAGGGAGCGGTAGCGCCCGGGCTCAACGGATGCCTCCTCCCGGGTTTCCGGGCCAGTCTAGTGCAGCAGCACAGGCGCAGTGGCTGGCGGCGGCTGACTGGCCGGTTCTGAGCCGGGCACTGCTCGCGCAGCTGTCTGCACAACATGGCCAGGGGCACACGCCGGCACTACCCGCAGGCGCGGCTGGGCCTGCTGCCGCTGCCCCAGTTCCGGTGTTTCGCGCATTCGCCGTTCCTGAGGCTCTCCTGCAGGCCTACCACGCGCCCGCAGCTTGCTGCTTGCGTGCGCTGCAGCTCTCAACGGCTTCCGCGCGTGCATGGAGGGCGTGGGGTGAACTGCTGTTCCGGGTCACCAAGGAACACAGGTCCAAGGCGGCAGCAGTAGCTCAATCGCCGCCGCAGCCGCTGCCGGCAGCGCCTACGACGGCTGCTCCCATTGGCGGTGGAGGTGGCGGTGGTGAAGGGGACTCCAGCGCTGCATTGGCAGTTGCCGGATACGGCGCCGCTGCAGTAGCGTACTGCCGCTACCTGAGCCTGTCGTACAGCCAGGACGACGTGGCGCATCCCGAGGAGCTCCTGCCCGTGCTTCTTCAGCTGCTACACGTGGTTGTACGGCACGCAGGCCCCATTGAGCAACTCCTGGCGACGCAGATGGCGGCTGTGCCGCCGTTGGCCTGGTCTGCCGTCACTCCGCAGCTGCTGGCACAGCTACCGGGTGCCACGGGTGCCTCTCGGAGGCTGCTGGCTGCGCTGCTGCATGCCGTCGGGCGCGCGGCGCCCTCGCTGGTGTTGTATCCCGCTGTGGTGGAGGTCCGCGCTGCGGATGCGGTGGCGGCGGCGACTCCGACCGCGTCAGTGGGAGACGTGGAAGGTGGCGTGTCGGCATCAGGGGTCCCGTCGTCGACGGCAGGCTCGATGGTTCCGGAGCTCAGGGCGCTGCTAGCGGGGCTGGGGCGGTCTCGGCCGGGGCTGCTGGCTGGGGTGGAGGTGTTGGTGGCGGAGATGGAGCGGCTGACGGTGCTGTGGGACGAGCGCTGGGCAGCGCTGCTGACGGAGGTGGAGGTGGAGATCGCACGCAGGTATAAGGGGATGCTTTTGCATACCGGTACCTCCCGATGGTGCTCCTTTGTCCGCCCTCCTTATAAATTCTGACGAGCTTCTGCCCCCCATGCCCGCCGCCCTTGCAGAGCCGTAAGCCTACAAGCCGAAGCCGCCCGCGTCGCGGACGACGCCTCCCTCTCCCCGGAACAGCGCCAGTCCCTGCTGGCCAGCCGCTACAACACCCTCATGGCGCCGGCCGTGCTGCTTCTGGAACGGCAACTCAGGGCCACAGCTGCTCAGCCGCCCGAGACGCCCCACGAGCGCCGCTTCGTGGTGACCATGCTTCCTCGCCTGCGTGCCGCTGCAGCGGCGCTGCGGGACGGGACGGGCGTGACCGACTGGGCGCGGCCGCAAGCCGCGTGGGCGCCACTGCGTGCCGTTGCTGCGGCACTTGCGCGCCAGCAGCGGCAGCCGCTGCCATGCATGGCGGAGCTGTCACCGCGGCTTGCTGCGCTGGTCGACACGGAAGTGCCCATGCCAGGATGCAACGAGGTTGCCGGATCCCTAACTTCGCACCACCCTCCTCCGCGACCGGGTGCCGGTGACGTCAAGGCCACTGCATCGGGCTCATCCACCGGTACACCCTCTGCCCCTGCTTCAGCACCTGCCTTGGCTACGGTGACGGTGACGGGTGTGCGCGGGGAGGTGGCGGCGCTGAGCACCAAGACACGGCCCAAGCGCATGGCGCTGCTAGGCAGCGACGGCCGAGTGTACGACTACCTCCTCAAGGGCCGTGAGGACCTCCGCATGGACGAGCGGCTCATGCAGGTGCTGCGAGCCATGCAGGCCATGCTGCAGGCCGACCCCGCCGCGGCGGCACGCGGCCTGCTGGCGACCGTACGGCACTACAGCGTGACGCCGCTGGGACCGCGTGCCGGGCTGATCCAGTGGGTTCCTGCCACCACGTCGCTGTTCTCCGTGTTCCGGGACTGGCAGGCGGCTTCCCTGGAGCGGCATGCGGCCATGGTGGCGGCGAGGCAAGAGGGAGCGGCGAAGGCGGCTGCGGAGGGCGCGCCGCCGCCGCCGGAGGTGGAGCCGCCACCGGCTGCTGCGGTCAGTCGACCCATGGACTTGTTCTACGCGACTCTGGTGCCCGCCCTTCAGGTAGGAGTGTACGGTAGCCGAATCAGTGTATACTAAGGACACATGCCTTTTGGCTTTTTAACTGCGCCACTACTTTTGTTCAGCTACCTGCCCTCTCACCACCAAATTAACTCAACAGTCAACACGGCTTGTCCTCCCAAAACACCCAGGAACGAGGACTGTCCAGCGCCACGCCGCGCCGCGAGTGGCCCTCCGACCTGCTCCGCGCCGTCTTCACCTCGCTGGCCTCCTCCGCTCCGCGACAACTACTAGAGCGGGTGCTGTGGGCCGGCGGCGGCTCCGCGGCGCTATCCTGGCGGCGGCAGCAGCGCTACAGCCGCTCCCTGGGCGTCATGAGCTGCGTGGGACACCTGTTGGGGCTGGGTGACCGCCACCCGGATAACATCCTGCTGGAGGGGCGGGATGCGGTGGTGGTGCACATCGACTACAATGTGTGCTGGGACAAGGGCGGCAAGCTGCGTGTGCCCGAGGTGGTTCCGTTCAGGTAGGGTGCGGGCGATTGTGGCAGCAGTGCTGAGATCTCAATAGCCACGACAATACTTTTGTGAAGGGAATCCGTGGGATACCGTTGGATGTCGTCATGGAGAACGAGTAACAAACTGGTTTCGTGCTGGTACCGTCCTCGCCTCAGGCTGACACAAATGCTGAGTACGGCACTAGGCGTGGGCGGTCTGGAGGGTGCTTACCGTGCAGCGTATGAGGCGACACTGGCTTGCCTGCGGCGGCGGCGTGAGGCGCTTGTGGGGCTGGTGGATGCGGTGCTGAGCGACCCAGGGGTCGATTGGGCGGTGGAGCGCGAGGACATGGCTGCTCGGCAGGACATGGAGCTCGCGGTCGCCCTCAACCTCTTTGTCAGCAGGTATGCTGCTTCCAATCCATATTGCTTCCTTCCCGTTGGTTGAACATTGTTGCCTGGCAGTTCCGGAATCGGCCTGGTTTCGGTTTCGGAATTAGGCCAGTGGCTTGCTTCCAACATGAGTCACTCCTACGCTGCCTTGCAGGGCTGAGGAGGCGCAGCGGCACCTGCAGCGGGTTGAGGAGGAGCTGGCGGCGGCGCTGGAGGGCCCCGGTGGCGCTCTGCTGGCGTACTTGGAGGCGCACACCTTTGCGGAGGCCATGCGGGGCGCGGCGGCAGAGGCGCAGCAGCGTATCCAGCAAGCCAAGGTACGGTGCAGAACAAAGAGCTGTTGTTAATACGCCTTCTGCGGAAAGCAGGAAGCATTGTGAGCATTTGGCGGTGATGTTATAGAATGAAATGCACGAGGATTGAGCTTTGGCTGTGTTTGGCGTTGTGCAACAGGCCTCCCTGGAGACAGCGAACAGGGTGGAGGCAGAGGCACGGGCCATCGTGTCGGCCGCGGCTCAGGAGGCGGCGAGTCTTGCGGCGGAGGCGGAGACGCTGAGCGCCGCCGTGCCTCAGCTGCTGCAGCAATGCGGCGCGTGGGCACAGCAACACACGGCCACGCTTGGCGTGCTAAGGTAATGTCGGGGCGTTGGGGATGGCTACTCTTGTTACTACGTTTTGAGATACTAAAGTGCACACAGGTGCTAACCGCGATACCAATGCTATCTTGAGTTGATTGCATATGAAGTCGTGCCGTGTGCTGCTCGTGCTTGCCGCTTCTAAACGCAGGGAGGGTTCTTTCCTGGAGGGGACTCTCACCAGCGGCACCTCCTGGCGGGTTAACGAGTCCGGCTGCGCCCTGGGCCTGCTGGCGCCCCTGGCGGTGCCCGGGCCCGTGCCGCTGAATGCCGGGACGCCCCTGGCGGTGCTGCCGGCCGTGCTGGGAGGCGATGGCTTGGCGCTCAGCCGGCTACCTGAGGTGAGGGTGGCTAGCTAGCGCATCCATAGCCCTTTAAGTGGGTACCGCGCATTAGCAGCTTGGTCGTACAGTCCGAGTGCAGTGGGAGGGTTTAGGGTAGCAGGCGTCCTTGACCTCTGTGGCAGTTCCTGTAACATGTCGCATTGCTTGCTACCACCGGTACCATGCAGGAGCTCCTCGGCACCTGCCGTGACTGCGATTGCCGGGCTGCGGACCTCCTCAGCCGCCGCGAAGCAGCACTGTCAGACGCCCTGTCAGCGCTCACGCAGTACGGCACCATTGTACGGAAGCTCCTGCCGCCCAGCTACCCAGCAGCCAGCTACCACCACCGCTGGGCGCAAGCGCTTTCGGCGTTTGCGGCCGGAGGCTTATCGCTGCCAGCGGTGGCACAGGCCCAGGCGCTGGCGCCTAGGGAGCCGAACCCTGCCGACGTCGCTGCGGCATGGCAGGCGCTGCGTGGGTCGCACCGTCTCGCAACGGCCGCTGCGTTGGTGCTGGCCCCGGGCTGTCCGGATGCGGTGGCGGCGATGGCTGGCCACGTGGCTGGCGCCCGAGTGTCGGGAAGGGAGCTGGCGGGAGCGGTGGCGGCAGCAGCCAGGGCGCTTTCGGAAGCGCATGGAGCAGCGGAGGTGGAGGTGGCGGCAACAGCGGCTCCCGGTGGCGAGCTGCTGGTCCGCAACCTGGCGCAGCTTCTCGTTCGGCATCGGTACGGGCAGCTGGAGGCGCAGAACCGCGCAGAGAATCGACAGCAGCCGAAGATTGTGTGGTCTGCAAAGGCAGCAGATGATGCAGCAGCGGCTGCAGCTGCCGCCGGCGTTCTGTGCCAAGTGGTGCGGTCCGTGCAAAGCCGGCTGAAGAAGGTTAAGGTGTCATGCATCGCGCATAACACATTGGATGCTTTGTCACCCGAATCCGGAGGGCCCGCATCAGTCGATAGCGCCGTCGTTGCTGCGTACAGTCGTGTAGGAGGCGAGGTGGCGGGACTGGCTGCGGCCGCTGCAGCCATCGCTGACGCCGGCTTGTCGGAGGCGGTATTCGGAAGCGCGGCGGGGGCGCCCAGTCTACGCCATAACGGCGGCGGCAGCTCCTCAGCCCTGCAAACACTCACGGTGGCTGAGAGCCGCATGTGGCCATCAGCGGGGCTGATGTCTGGCGCTGCCGGCCGCGGTGGCGCGCCTCCGTTACCGTGGCTGGCCGCTGCCGCGGAGGCGTGCGGGCGGTGGCCGGAGCTGCAGCACCGATTGCTGGCGGATGTGGCACCGGAGCTGGCCGGGCAGCTGCATGTGAGCGGCAGCGCGGCGGGCGGCGGCTCGGGAGGTGCACTGGCGGCTAATGGCTTGCCGGTGGAGCACCCATTGTCACAGGTGGGTTTGCAGGTAGACAGTTGCCAAGTGTTGACGGCGCGTAGCACCTATCCTGTTCATTGCAAGTAGGAGGCAGTGCTCGCTGTTGCCTTCATTCCTACCCTTGGCCCGGAGCAGGTCGACCTTAACACCTGCCTTCCCCCCTTGCCTTCGTCCCCCTGCCTACGGTACCCTTCATCGCCCAGGCCGCCATGGACCTCCATGGCTTGCTGCATCCCATTGAGGAGGCGCTGCATGCCGGCAAGGACTGCCACACCCGGTTAGAGGCGCTGGCGGAGCTGACGGCGACCTACCACGAGCGCGCCGCCGACCTGTCGTACCGCCTTGGCGGCGCCGCTGGGGTCGGCGGGGAGCCGCCGCCACCTCTGCAGCCACATGAGCATGCCAACCTCCAGGCGGAGCTGCAGGCATTGAATGCGGCCTGGGCGTCACGCGAGTCGGTCGCGGCAGGGCTCACGGCTGCGGCAGGTCGAGCGGCCGGAGCGCTAGCCGAGGCACTTGGGCGTCTCTACGCTGCGGTTCTCGGGCCGGCGCGACTGCCGCTGGCGCTTCAAACTCATGAAGGGGCCGCAGCCGCGCTCGCGGCTGCGGCGGAGACGGCAAGGATGAGTGGCGAGGGCGGCTGGGCGGAAAGCGGCGCTGGGGGACATGCAGCGGCGGCGGCGCTTCTGGCGTGGTGGGATGCGGCGACGGAGGCGCACGAGCGCCTGTGGCGAAGCGAGGATGGTGATGTGCCGAGGACGGATAGCAACTCTGCGTTCGCTGTATCCGGTAACGAGCTGCCACCCGTCATGCGGCCCCTATGGCGCTGCGTGGAAGCAGCGCGACTAGTGGCTAGGTCGCTGGGGGCCTGTCAGGCGGTCCGGCTGGCGGCGCCGTCGGGTACGGACGGCAGCCTGGCGGAGGTGTACGGCACCGCCGTACAGCAGCTTGCACGGCATGCAGCGGAGTACGCGGTGGCGCGTTTGGTGCCGCACTTGGAGCACCACCTGACCGCCCTGGCGGCTCAGCTGGAAGCAACATCGGGGCCGCCGGAAGAGCAGCAGCAGCTGGAGGAGGAGGAAGCTGGGGAAGAGGAGTTATTGGGCTGCCGACAGGGAGGTATGGAGGTTGGGAGTGCAGGCGATACCGCAGGAGGTACTAGCGCGGCGTCAGAGCCGAAGCTGGTCCCTTTCACGGACTTTGATCCCGGCATGGCTGGGCAGGGTGAACTGTTGGGCGGCCTGGAGGACGAGGATAGCGCGGATGGAGGGGATGCTGCCGGCGACGGATGGGACGACTATGGCGGCGAAGACATGGGCGACGGTGGTGACGACGACGGCGACGGCGGCTCAGGAGGGTACGACTTGGACCTAGGGCTGGATCTGGACCTAGACGACGGCTTTGGAGGTGCGGGTGACCTGGATGGTGGGGACAACGCGCAAGAGGACGGAGCCGAGGTGGATATGGAGGAGGAGACGCTGGCAGACCGCTCCTGGCAGGTCTCACGAGCGGGCTCAGGTGAGCTGGCGCTTGGCAAGGTGCCAGGAGGACTGGAAACCTCAGCAGGCGCCCCTCCTGTTTCAGTGGAGGAGGTACTGCCGCTAATGGAGCGGCTGGTAGCGGTTGCCGCGGCCGCGGCCATTTCCGCAACATCAGCTTCCTTGGACCCCACCCGCCCCGGAGGCCCATCATGGGCTGCCGGCCCAGAGGCTCGTGTAACCCGCGCCGCTCGCTTGCAGCGCCTGGCCGCCTATGAGTGGCTACACGAGCACCACTTGTTGCAGGCGCTGCCTGCAGGTGACCCACGGGTCGGTCAGGCGCTGACGCAGTTCTTTGCGGCCCAGGCGGCCGACCCGCTGCAGCCCAGTTCGCGGGTTACTGCCTCGAGCCGCCTGGCGCTGCTCACGCAGCTGCAGACGGCGCTGGACGCGCTGCCTCAGCTGCAGCAGGCGGTGTCCATGTGGGAGGCTGGCAGTGGGGGCGCGGTGGGGCAGGTGATGGCGCTGCTGCAGGGGGTGCCGGAGCAGTTCCCAGTGGATCCTGCGCTTGCGGCGCAGCGGGCGGGGGTGCTGATGGGGCGGCGGCAGCACTGGCTGGCGGAGTCGTGCGCTGTGGCGATGCGGGCGTGCCAGGTGGGCAGCGAGCGGCGGTGGGGGGCTGAAGACGTTGCGTGGGACACAGCTTGCCTGGGTGGAGGCGGTGGGAAGGTGGGCTTAGTCATGGACAGTAGAGCTTCGTGGATAAGGGGGTATAGGAGAAAGGGTTTGTCTGCACAGTGCCATTGGGGAGCGGAAAGGTCGTAAGTCATTTCCTTCATGCATCCACATTTGCCGCTGTTGCCCTTGTGTCTCATACATGCAGGTATCCGAGGCCCTTCTACAGTTCGAGTACTCGCGACAGGGCATCACATGGGGCAGCGACGGTGCGGCGGTGGCAGACGGCTTCGCGAGCCATTCTCAGCTGCTGGGGCGGGCGGAGGTGCTTGCCACCCTGGCAGCAGGCGGCAGCGAGGCGGGCCGGGCGGCCGCTGTGGCGGAGGCCTCGCAGCGCGCGTCGGAGGCTGTCAGGCAGGCGGCTGATGCGCGATACGCGTTGGAGGTGGCTCAGGTGAGGCCAGTTGGGCGTGCCGCCTTCTGTGGGGTGGTATTGATTGTTGGCAGGCACTAACGGACCTCTAAAGCTCTGGAGGAAATGGCAAAACACCGCCGTCCTTAGCAGCCATGGCGGTGGTCTACCACCGCCATGGCTGCTAAGGACCGTCTGCTCTTATGGTGTTTTGCCATTCCTGACCTGCCCCCCTGGTCCTGTGCTTCCTTTTTTCCTTTTGTCACCCTTGTAAGCCCTGTCCCTGTATACCCCTGTACCCTTCTGCCGTACAGTACGAGGAGGTGGCTGCCAGCTCTCAGTTACAGGCGCACCAGTCGCTGCTGGTGTCGCGGGCGTTCGACCTGCCGCCGGCAGTCACGGAGCTGGAGCCATGCGCCCGGGCGCTGCGGCAGCTGCTGGCCAGCAAGCTAGGTACGACGTCCTAGGGGTTGTGTTTCGTCGGGTTACAAGCTAGGCACCCTTATACCCGTTTCCGCCCGTCTTCTCCTTCTTCTTTTTGTTCTCATACGTTACCTTAGTTGCTTGTGGTTTCGCTCTCGGCCCGCAGGACCCGCGCTAAAGGAGCTCACCTCCGTTTCCGCGCATCACAGCGCAGCCAGCGATGTGGCCTCAGTCGCCGCCGCCGTGACCTCCCACTTCGAGCGCTCGCGCCAAGCCGTCGAGGCGCTGACGGAGGCACTGCCCGCGACGGCGGCAGCTCTGTCGGCGGTGGATGCGGCTGCGCCGCTTCCTGCCGAGATGGCGACGGAGGTGGGCTTCCTGTCCGCGCAGCTGCTGGGCGGCGAGGAGGCGGCCAACACGGTACGCGAGCGCGCGCTGGCGTTGCTGCAACACATGGCAGGGCCGACCGCTGCACTGCAACCCGTGGTGCATGTGATTACGGAGGTACGTGGAGTGGAGTGGGGTGGATGGGGGAGAGGGGTTCACGCAGGCTACCGGTAATCTGCGTATTCATAATACCGCTGTTATGTACTATCGGGAGATTTTCTGCCCATGCCTTTGCGCAGCCTTTGCCATCCTCTTGAGAAGGGTGCACCCTGCATTGCCAAGAGCATTTGTCGTGCATTGCCCGCCTGCAGTTGCCGCGCGCCGTGGCGCAGCTCAGCGCTGAACTCAACACCCTGGCAGCAGCCGCTGGCAGCATCGCAGCCGCTGTGGAGTCCAAGCACCTGCTGCCCCCTGTCGACGACCCATCGCAACAGCAACAGCCGCAGCAGCCCTCCGGCGCAAACACGCCGCTGCTTGCTGCATCCGGCGCTTCTGCAACAGACCTGCAGGCGACCGAGGGCGCGTCTGCCGGCGTCACCGCCGGTGCTGGCGCCGAAAGCGAGTCCGCAACGGGAGCGGCAACCATGCCCTCATCTGCAAGCGCCTCCGCCACCCGTGCTCCCTCCCCGGCGCCCAATGCTAGCGCCGCTGCAGCGCCCGCTGCCGTCATGCCGCCCGCGCCTGACCACTTGCAGCACCACCGCTCGAGACGCAGCGCAGCAGATGAGGCCCGACGTCGCGCCTTTGCAGCAGGCGCACTGCGGCGCTTCATAACGAAGCTGGAGGGGCGCGAGGGAGAGGGTGCAGGCACAGGCGCACAGGCAGCAGGGGCGCCTGCGGCGCCGCTTTCGGTTACGGAGCAGGTGGATTTGCTTGTACGGCAAGCCACCAGCGTGGATCGGCTGTCGCAGATGTATGAGGGCTGGACGGCGTGGCTGTGAGGTACACACCATGCATGCAGCTGTCTAGGGTGGTTGCGGTTGTTGCGGACTCTTCGGGTGGGAAAGGTGGCAGCATGTGCTGTGCGGAACCTACATGCGTCGGTTTAGTGTTGACGTGTTGTAAGCCGAATTAACTGGATTAACTGGACACGGATAAACAAGACGGTCCCAACAGTTCACAACAACACAGCTGCTGTGGTCTTATTAACCTTCCTAGGAAAACACAGCATCATGTGCTTCATTTAGATACAACCGTTCGCATCAACGGAAAGCAACACCTCCTGCTATAGTATGCGACCAACTGCCCAGCGTCGCTAAACGTCACTTCTCTCGCCTGGTATACAATGTCTCCCTCGTCCTCCACGGCAACCACTACACAACCACTACCGCAATACCTGCGCTATATAATAACACCTGCGCTATCAGACACAACGCCAGCCCGCATTGGACGCAATCTCCAGCTCAGAACACTCGCATATTTCTCGTACCACACAACGTAGTAGCAACGCCACACGCAACCTAGAATCACTAAGTACTCTACTACCAACGCCAACTCTCGCCCTCTCTCTCTCGCCAACTCCCCAGCCAGCCCGGCTCACAGCTCAGTGTGTACATTGGGGTCCTGCGGCTCCTGCATGTCTATATACAGCACGTAGGCCCCGATGCAGGTGAGCAGCAGCACCACAACCAGGGTCACCACAACGCTTGTCGGGAAGGGCGTGTCGCGCAGCCCCAGAAGCTCCTGCGGCGACATGTCCACCTCTGCGCCCTTCCCACGCAACTGTGGGAGGGATTGAGCATAACAGAAGGGGCGGGTAGGATTAGCGAACAGGGACTGGCTTGGGGGTTGAGATTAGTGGCTGCGAGCTAGCGCCGTAGTTTGCTTGAAGCAACGCTGGAGCCAAGATAGAAGATGTCTGCCGCGGTGCGCTGTGACACGTAATGGGTGCCCCTTCCAAGCCCGCTATCAGTCTTTCGGATGCAGCGCGTGCCTCTGCTACTCATGCACAGCCACGCATGTTCCGTGCAGTAGCTCAAATGAGCCCTGAGCCAGGACACATTGGCAGCCCCCAACAACATCACCAGCGATGAGGCAGGGGCCGGGGGCGGGCTCGCTCTTCCCCAAACTGACCGCCAAACCATTTCACCCCACCCTCATGTCCCTGTATGCATTCTCATACCCTGCCCTCCCTGCCTGCCGCCCCCGGCCCCTCGCCTCACCACCATGCAAGGCTGCTTGGTCCCGGCGGTGCCGACATCATACGCTCCTGTCTGTGCCTCAGCGCCCGGGCCTCCGCTTTAGAACCAATGCCACAAATTGCCACGTGGGGCACGACATGAAACTGACTGTTTGCATGCCACACTCGCTTAGAGAGATGGGTTCATAGGGCATGGGCGGAAACCCGGGCGCTGAGGTTGGGGTGTTGCAGAACCGTGACACCCGAGCGATGCAGCTTCTGAGAACGCCACCGCTGTTAAAAACGCCGGTTACTGGGACAATACCTTGCCAACAACAGGGTACTTGGTGTTGAACTTTGCAATCCAGTCGTCCAGCGTCTTTAGCTGCTTTTCTGAGCAGTCCGTGAGGTTCTGATTGCACTCCGAAGGGTCGACCTTCATGATGGCTAGGGCCCGAGCGCACTCACGGCCAGCGAATGCTTCATAAGGTCCACCTGAGGCAGAGGGGGCTTTCGTTTGGTTTGGAGTCGCAAACAAGGCATGACGTTGACAGGTGAGCACGCTAACAGGAGATCAATTGTCGCAGAGCTGATAACTTAAGCACGCAAATGTAAGATTATCACAAAAGTGCAGGATGCCTAGGAGCTCGATTAATAAGTTCAAGGGCTTCCAAGGCATACACAGCGTGCCACCGCGTCGCAGCCATCTGCAAGGCGTACTTGTCAATCTCAGGATCATCTCTTTTTCCCATCATATTACAAGCATACGGTGATGCGGGGAGGCTTCGCGAATAAGGTAGAGTGCACGCGGGCATTGTAGCAGAACTTGCCTACTCCATAGAACTCCCGCGAAGTTGATACGTCATAGACCGTGCCCTTTACAGCGATGTACACCGGTTTCGTCGGATCAGCGCCATCATACTCCTTCAACTCCTGCGCTGTTAATATCCTCTCCATTTGGGCAACCAAACCAGGAAAACGTATCGCTTTACAGGAGCTACACACAATGAATGTAGTAATGCGCTAAGTGCTTAACCTCGCAGTCCTTGGCTCTGGGTGTTGTAAGCCAGTGAGTTCGATGAGAAGAGCCTTGTTGGGGCAAGGAGTTACGGTAAGACTTCAATCGCCGGCATGTCCTGTACGGGGGGCATAGAGCATACGTAATATGCATTTATGCAACGCGCTTCGGCTTTAGCTAGATCCGTACGACTGTGGATCCCGTTGGCAGAAGTCAACTTAAGCATCCCGGTGCTCCTTGATAGCCATTCTACTGACACTAAGACCTGACACAACACTATTCGCTACTATCATCACTGTCGTCTGTCTCTATCTGCTGTCTTGTTTGACCGCGTCAGGACCATGGATATCTCCTGTGGCATTTCTGTCTCTTTCAAGAGCAACAAGAATTGCCATGTGTCGAACATCATGTGGACTCTGGCTGGCTGCCTGGCCTCAACAGTCATCATTTTCGCGTCTCTCGGCTCGGTAAGCTCAGGGGACATTGAACGACAGATGTCCTTCGACTCACACCGCTAGCACTGGCCCCGGACCTTTCAGCCTAGCTTCACTCATAAAGTCTTGTTTTCATGCACGAAACAGCATTCGCAACCCTTTTCCTTTATGCTGAGTGGGCGTTGACTTTTTCGCCCCATGGCCTTTGAACACCATCCCTTCTGCAGATTCAGAACCAATGCCGCAACGAGGACCCTGACCTGCTGACCGACATCGCTGGCTTTTCCGGTGGCGTCCTGGGCTGCAAGAAGGTCCGCGCACCTGCCAACTTGCACTTTTGCCGAGGCTACATTTTGCATAAGTAACTGTTGTTAAAGCGCCATTGTTCATGCACACCTGTCTGTGTCTTAACACTTACAATGTCGCCACTGCTTTGGCGAGGCTCTTGCACTGTTATGCAATTTCATCTGTATGCTCGTGCCGTCCTTACCCGCAGCTCTACCGCTACTACTGGTTCATCACCGCCCTCAACCTGGTAACCGCCGTGTTCGGCCTCTGGAGCGCCGCTACCGGCGCGCTGTCGTCCCGCCGCATGTCCATCCTGGGCCTGCTGGTGATTGCCAACCTGCTGACCATCAACATGACCAGTAAGTCTTGCAGTGTTGCCTGCCTTGCGCTGGCTTCTCCTCATAATACGCCCTGCTTGGGCGTCTCATTCGGCACTCTCTGATTCATACTAAGACGTCTCCTTCCTGTCCTGCAGACGCCTTCTACTCCATCCTGGACATCCCCAAGTGGCAGGACGGTGTCGGCCGCGACCGCTCCCACACCATGGTGGCCGGCTGCATCATCACCGCCGTCTTCCAGTGCGCCGCCATCTTCCTTGTCGGCATGGAGGAGTGCCCTACGTTCTCCTGCTGCGCCGAGTCCTGCAAGGCCAAGGCATGCCCCGTCGAGCCCAAGGAGGACACCAAGCCCGTCGAGACTGCTCCCGCCCCTGTTGCCGAGGTCGAGGCCCCCGCTGTGCCCGCTGCGGCCGAGCAGCCGATTGAGGAGCCGCTCGTGCCCAACGGCGAGTCCGCTGTTGCCGTGTCGGTTCAGTAATTGTGTTGTTGGTGGTGGTTGACAACTCGCGTACATTAGGCTCCTCTGTAGATAGCCCGTTCATACTTGATTCTATTCATGATTGTTAATATGTGATCCTGCAAGGTATTCAATAATAATTGAAGCCTTGCGCGATTTTGAATACTAGGCGTATGTCCCAAGTGGCCGTACTATTCACGCGGGGTGTGTTTTCACCAATGTGATCAACAATTTTGTGAAGTCCTTTGTTTTGTCTGTGGACACTGCCACTGCTAAGCGCAGGCGTCTATAAGGTCAAAGTGCCCTGTTGTGTCATTGCCCAACAGCCTCACTACGATGTAAGGAGTTGCCTGCCCCTCTCATACCATTTTCCGTTCAGACTGCTCCGTGCACGCAATTGGCAAGGTTGAAGTTACATGCCCCAACATGCGACACGCATATGTCCTCGTAGATGGCTACGGTCATGCCAAGCCCTTGCCTGATCGCTAGCAATGGTAACCAATGTCTACAACGTTCCTTGGCCCCTCCCATCCGCATGTAGAAAAGTCGAACAGGCCGCCACGTAGCAGACGCACTGGGAACAATACAGCTGTTGATACCTTATAAGAATTTGGTCAAAGCTAGAGCGCGAAGAGACAGCCCTCAGTAACCTGACCCATGCTTTGCCCCCTCAGTCAAGGACAAGGGGCTCGGCCTCCACACCGCCCAACGCAGCGCGCATCCGCTGCTGCCGGACAGCAAAGGCGGCGTCATCGATGACCGGCTCCGCCCCCTCTAGCAGGTCCTCCCCCACATGCGCCGACAAGTCAACTGCGCGGGAGCAGTGGCATGGGGGTCGGAGCAGCGGCGGTTAGTAAGGAAACAGGTGGTGAGCCCGGTGCCTGGGAACACCATTGTAAATAAATGACATTCCGCTGGCTGCAACTGTACAGCCCTACAGGCCCGACAAGTTTACCTCTCTACCTGTGTCGTCCTTATTAAATCTCCAACCCTAGCCCAGCCCATCCAACCCACCCCTCTACATACCATTCGCCCTTCCCTGACCTCCCTGCCACGCCCCCCCGCCCTACCCCATGAGAAGCAGCCGAACAGAGATTCCGCCACCGGCAGCTGCAGGCCCCTCCGCAGCCGCCAGCAGCGCAGCTCCATCACCGTGATGGGCTGCTTGGCGCGCCACTTGAGCCGCGTCTCGATGAACTGCGAGGATGATACGACGGAAGAAACACGCATTCTTCAGATCGGTGGAATGTAAGCAATGGGTGCTAGAAAGTAAAGGGTTGACAAGATACCGGCAACGGCGGTGTGGATAGGGATGCTGGAAAGGGGAGGGCAGTAATCCAGGAACGGTCCAGGAGCGGGAATTACTCTGGCTCCTCGCACCTGCTCAGTCCACACGTGGAACTCGTCTAGCAGCGGCAGGACCCGTGGGTCGTGGGTTGTCCAGGCGCCCGTCACTTGCGCCACGTACGGCAGCTGCAGTACGGATTCCGACTTGGGTTCTAGCCGCATTGCCTGGAGGGGTGGCTCAACATCAGTACCAAGGGCCATATCACGCGAGCTGCTCCTGTTTCAGGCCACCGTTCAAGCAGTGATTTGTGGCTAAACCCCAGCAGCATGCTGCCAAGCAACCCACCTCCGGGTAGCGCTCGGCGACCCCTGGCTTAAGCAGCTGCTGGTCGGTATGGAAGCTGGTGGGGAAGAAGAGGAATGCGCTGGCCTCCGGTCGGAAGGTGGGCTCCTTAATGCCGCCCTTGCGGAACAGAACCTGCAGGGATGGATGCGGGAGGAAAGTGGGGCGTCAGGTTGTATCCTAGAGTGGACAGCCGGGTATGAACGAGATTTCCGTATTCCACCCACTATATTCACCTGAAAACTTCCCCTAAGCTTTGGCTGTAGACACAATGTCCACCGATGGGCGACCTACCGTCTGCTCGCCGTGGCCTATTGCCTCTATAGTCGGAGCCCACTCTTTTAACGCCTTTGTTACACGGACGCCAGCGACAGTGCCAGAAGTCGATGCTTCCAAGCCGGTCGCAGCGCGAACACGGCAATCTCGGGTGCATTTAACATGGCAATGGCCTGCGCGGTGCCTCACGCCCGCCTGAGGCGCCCCTAGTGCACGCATTTCAACTATAAGCTGTGTGGTATGCTCAACAGAGAACCTTAATGTATTAAGCTTCCGCCAAGGTTGAGCAGCTGCGCTGGACGTCCTGTTGTTGTAAGCCCAAGCGCAATTCGCAAATAGGTAGTTTTGAGAATACAGTATAATTTGTTATGATATGCTAATTATCACAAGCGGCCTTTTCTACAGGTGCGGGCCACTTAGTCAGTTACCTCATCTGCGCCGGAGGCCATCCCGGCAAGCTGCCCTCTTCGCAGAACTCTCATGCGTAAACTGTTATCTGCAAAAGAAGGTATATCAAGCACACATACTGTCCTAAGACGTCGCCATCATACTTGGTGAACCGCGGGCCGATTTACCGTATGCCGCATCTAGCTGCGTTCTGTCCTGCGTGCGTACACCAGGCAGCCCCGACGTCCTCTCCCATGCCAACCTGCGGCCTCTCAACCTAAAGCACGTTTCTCGTTACGTAAGCACCAACGACTTGACACGCTTATGCCCATCCGTAAACATGCATGCAAACTCGGATGAGCCCCCTTCCAGCGGCTGCTGAACGAACCCAAAATAATGAATACCATATGCCTTGCACTTGTTCCCTTGCCTCAAAAGCCGACCAATGCACTATGTACCAGATGCTGCCTAGCGGGCCCCCATGTTAAGACTCGCGCTCCACAGGCCGCAACACCCATCAAGTCCGCAGCGCCTCTGGTGGCTGCTGCGCTGCCTTGTCCGCCTCAGCCGTTGGCGCCGCTGGCAAGTCCAACTCGGGCTCCTGCAGGTTACGACACGCGAACGTACGGCGTGACCCTAACCGTACGGCATACAGACAATCTGCTGTAGCCGAGTCAAGGCAACAAGAGTAGCCCCCCCAGCTCCACGTTACCGGACCCACCCTCCGGCCCCCCGCCCTCCCAAGCACCTGCAGGTAGCTGGGCCCCTCCTTGCCCGCGTCCTCCACCGCCAGGTCCGCCTCCAGCGCATCCAGCTCCGCCATCAGGTCGCTCTCGTCCACGTCATCAGGTATGGCGTACGAGCGACCCATCGCCTCGTTGATTTCGTTAGCCATGTCCTGATCAGGCAAGGCAGTGGGGGACGGCAAGCAAGGTGAGCCCTCCTTGCTGGGACGCGGGGGAGGGGGCTCCAGTGCAGCGTTGCTTATAGCGACCCACTTGAGCACCTTGCTAGCCGCCCTTTGGCAACAAAAAGACTGACTTCTCCCTCTTCCTCGTCCCCTTCCCTCACACCAAGTCATGCCAACCTTCGCCCCCAACCTCACCCGCACTCCCCGCCAACCCCACCCGCACCCCCCCAACCCCACACGCACCCCCCAACCCCACACGCACAAGCCAACCCCACCCGCACCCCCCAACCCCACCCGCACCCCCCAACCCCACCCGCACCCCCCAACCCCACCCGCACCCCCCAACCCCACCCGCACCCCCCAACCCCACCCGCACCCCCCCCAACCCCACCCGCACCCCCCCAAACCCCATCCGCACTCCCCCCACCCCTCACCATCATGTCAAACATCTCGTCCTGCATGTTCTCGATGTAGCCGATGTCCAGCTCCTTGTTCTGCTTGAACGCCGAGCGCATCTCCTTGCTGGCCGCCTTGAGCGCCTGCACGCTGGTCACCGTGTCCTTCACGCTGTCCACCGTGAACCGCGTCTGCTCCAGATTGTACTGCTGGTTGAACAGCTGCTCGCGCTGGCTCTCGTACAGCTTGCGCTGTTTTAGGACCTGACGGGGAAGAGGGAGGAAAAGGGTGCAGAAGACCAAGTTGAGGAGGGGATGAAGACCAGGGAGGAGAGGAGGGGGAGATGGGACATCAGAGGCGCGGGGAGATGAAAGGACCGAAGCACGCAGCTCATGGCCAGGAGTCGCTGTCCGAGTGCGATGGAGAAAGGCCCGTTTCACGCTGCGCCAAAGCTCAAGTCCCTCGGGTACCACGGCCCTATGGCATGTGCGTGGGTTGCTTGTCTCGACCACAACCAACCAACTGTTTGGCCGTTGTTCCCCACGGCTGGGCCCTCCTGACCTGCAGCGCTCGCCGCTTGATAGCATCTTGTGCCGGCCCCGGTCGCGTCTTCTTGATCTGCTCCTTATACCGGGCTAACTGCTCATCCAGGGCCTTGATCTTCTCATCCGCCCTGCGCCGAGGGACAGCACGAAGCGGGTTTATGGATTCCATGCGCAACCTTGTAATGGTTGGTGCTGCCGTGAGACGGGTACAAGGGGGAGGATATGGGCTGCCAGCATCGGCACGCGAAAGCAGTTAGGTTTTGCGGACCCACTTGTCGCCGCGAGTGTTTAGTCGATCCGTGGTTTCATCTAAAGTTGGAGGTGGTGCTGCAGCTTTCTTAGCCCCGAAGATGCGCCTCATCTTATGGGGATTACGAAACGAGGCGGAATGGAAGGTAAGGGTATGCGACCCGGGGTCAGAAGGTAATCACGCAGCACTTGCCCTTGTAAGGCGTGAAGTTAGGTGAGATCTACGAGATCAGTATGATCAAGAACCCCCTACTCAGCAAAGAATGGTATGAGTATGCGTCTTGGCGTTGTTGCGCGAGCGTGTTGTCAGGCAGTGTAAGTTCCAGGGAATATACCTCATGCAACAAGCTCAAGAAGTATTCTTCACATATGCCAGTCGTGTCAGAGGAAAAGACGAAAAGTCCAAAAGTGGGACGAAGGAAGCTGCAGTCGTACTTGTCTCAATCAAGACGTTCAACGATAGCATTTTGCACTTTACGTAGCCCATACAGTGTAAGCCAATTTGCTGTAGACTTTAACGTAATTATTACAACGCTCATCCACTAGGCACACAAGACTTCACGTTCACGATCTAGCGCGGATAATGGCCAACGGGCGAGGAGGCAGGGGTGGTGGCAGGGGCTCAGGCAGGGGTTCTGGCAGGGGCCCTCAGGGCAACAACCGGCTTGCAGTCAGCGGTGGCAGGGGCGGCAGCGGACCTAAAGCGGGAGTGCAAAAGGGCGGCCAACAGCAACGACCGCAAGGCGGGAGAGGAGGCCGCGGCCCAGCTCCTCGCGGCCGCGGTAATGGTGCTCCAGGCCGTCGTGGCGGCAGGGGCGGTCGGGGCCGGGGCCCTCGCGAGGGCGGGAAGCCTAAGTCCCAGGCTGAGCTCGATGCCGAGCTGGAGGGCTATATGCTAAGGGACCCGGAGCACGGCAGGACCTACCTGGACAAAGAACTTGAAGATTACATGAAGGCCAAGGGCAAGGCTCCTGCTGCGGAGGCTGGCGCTGGAGAGGCCGAGGCTGAGGCTGCGGCAGAGTAGAGGAGCGATTTTCGGATACTTCTGGCGACTTGACTACTTTGGCTGTTGTGCTTGTACTTCATCTGCATCATTAAGATGTTTTATGGGGAAACAGCCTCGTTATGTTCCGTTGGACTTGACATTGACCAACAAATTGGACCTGACATAGAGACACGGCTTGCACTAGTTGCACTCAGCCAACATGTCTTTCCTATATCATACATGACTGATTAGTACAGTTGTTGTTGTTTATTTGGAGCGCTCCTTAGCCGAGGCGAGGGAAGCAGCGAGCGATGTGGAATGCTCGAGCGTGTTACAGGCGTGTCCAGCATGATAGATGATGCTCGTTTAGACGTCGTTGTTTCCCCGGGTGCCGTTCAGTCGCGGACACGCTGTGGTGTTTGCGGTGAGCTGTGTATTCTCTTGTGAGGCAGCCCCGGGGATTTACTCGCAGACAAGGTCTGAGAACATCATGACTTGTCGGCGCGCGCAAGTGCGAACTGCTAGAAGCTCCACGTCAAATACCTGAGAGGGCGAGGAGATTGCGGAGGTTGGACTTGAAGACTGCAAGGGATATGCTGTTTGTAACGAGAGATTTCAACTAATGCATATGAGTTGCATATTCGATAGCGTGCTGGTTATCTTTCTGTTGTGGTGGCACCTACCTCGCATTGCTTAGCGCTGAAGAAGGTGGATGGACCCACAGGGGGCCCGAGGGCAGGTGGCACGACAATTCTGCGCTTGCCACCAGGCTTCATCGTACGAATGCCCTCCTCGAAACCTGCATCCATGTCGGGGGGTAGAACGAAAACCATTATTGCCTCAAATCGTGTTTTAGGTATTGAACAGCTGAACGTAAGGCACATGTAGGTGCCATCCTGGCAACTTGTGGCTAGCACAGGACATCCTGGTTGGTGGCAACTGAGGTCGTGGTACGGCATCCTACGCACCTGGGATCATGCCGCCCACTCCCAAGCGCGTCTGCGCAGGCCTGCCTTGCCGAAAGGAGGTGTCAATGATGCTCCCTGACTCGTTGTAGCCCTGAAACCAATGGCAGTGTACGACACGTAGCCTCAATCCCATTAGGCCTTAATGAATCACGACACACACATGGGACAACGTAACATTGCCTTGAGGAGATGGTTAGGTGTTGATTGTCCCAATGCAATACCCTTCGAGGCAAACACCCTCGGGCCCTCTACGTCAACCCTGCAGCCGCATACCGTGTAGTTGAAAACCACCTCCTGGCCGTCAGTTGGCAGCGCGCCTTGCCCCTCCTCATAGTCCTTGTAGATGAGGCTACGTAAGCAGAAGAAGCACACGAATGCGTTACCGGTAATAACAAACCACAGCACAGCCGAAAGCACGCCCTGCTCCCGCCACGCAGTCCAGCTGCACATGCGGGTCCTTACCCCGTAGGTGCGATCTTGAAGCCATCCCCCACCACCTTCACGTCGAACCCCTCCCGGATGAAGCCGGGGAACTCCCCGGGCACGCGGTTCTGAGTCTGGATGCGGCGGTTCAAGCTGAGCACCTGGGGAAGGAAACAGGGAAGAGCAGGCAGGCCTGGTGTCAGCACGTTCGGACCGTCAGGGGCAAAGGGATAAAGAGGAAACAACCAACTGACTAAGGGGAAAAGGGGTGGATGGCGCTGGATTCAGGAGAGAGGCGTGGCAACCCCAGGCGGCAACCGTGATATGTGCCCTTGTTGGGTTACCGGTATCAGTCCATCATGGCAGGGGTTCAGGCGAGCCCCAGTACTTCTGCTTTGGCTTACCAGCTTCTCCTGCGACGTCAGCCGCTCCACGTCTGCCGTACTGATGAGAGACGCGACGCCTTCCTGCATTGTGCGAAAGGGAGGTTCCGGTGATGATGTTATCGGACAGAGGTGCGTCAAGCGAGGAGCCTTGCTCACCGGCGGACCCACGGGGGCCGGACTACTGTCCGCTGCAAGTGCGACTTGGGGTGCGCTCAGCAGGACGCCAACACCCAGACCGGCCAGTAGCTGGCGTTTTGACACATGTCCTTTGTTGCAGTCAGGGATGGCAGCGCATTGCTTGCGTTGAAAACCCGAGCTTCCATGCGCCAAGACCACCAGACCACGGCCAGGACGAAGCCTACGAAAATGCAATATTGTGGCGAGTTTACGAGGTGCAATGCTAGTTCTTTTGGGTTCATTGCAGCAGCTAGGCGAGATAAAAGGTCCTAACCTGCACGGCTTGCAGGCTGTAAACGGCCGCGGATTGTCCAGCCGACTGGCGACCTGGCTACGGAGTATTGTGTGGTGGGACATGGTTACTGGATTATGTCCGATTCGACGCTGATCCTCGACTTAACATTGCAAGATGGTTCTGGAGCGGTGTAATGCCTCGGCTTTAGCTGTTACAAACAACAATCATGTAAGGGTTATCTTATATATCACCATCTTTGCTTTACACCACTTATGTCGGCAACCTGATCGGCTTTTCCAGCTCATGGCACCGGCACAGGACTACCGATACCATCCACTGACGCGCGCATCGAACGCACCGACTGGTCGACACTAGTAACAACACGTCTGTGACGCATAGAGACATAGGTACGCCTCGAAGAACGTTCCGAGCACTGCAGTAGTCATCTGCCACGTCACTCATGGTTGGAGCGCTGCGATATGGGCTTTAGTGCTGACCGTTTCTACACCCCTCTGATCAGACGCTCGTACCAGACAATCATAGCTAGAATGCTTGGGGGGCTGAAGGCAATACCGGTGCCATCCCTTCCAATCGTTACCACCATTGCCGACCCCTCACCACTCCACAACCCCTTATACCTCCTTCCCGCCTGCCTACAGTATGGACCGCCGAGGTGGCGGTGGTGGAGGCCGCGGCGCCGGCGGAGGGGGCGGCGGAGGCGGCAAGAAGGGCTCCTCCGCTGCCGGCGGCGGCGACCCCAGCTGGCGTAAGGCCCCCGGCGCCAACCTAAGCGCAAAAGCCAAGAAGGAATACCTGCAGTGGAAGCGCGAGCAGAAGCGCATGCAGCAGACGCAGTCCGACAGCGGCTGGGAGACGGCGGGGGACGAGGCCGGGCCGGCTGCTGCTGCTGCAGCTGGTGTTGCTGCTGCCGGTGAGGCAGCGGCAGCAGTCCCTCCCGGCGGGGGGACTGGCGGGAGGCGTCACCGCGGCGGCGGCGGCGGCGATGGGGGTGGTGGTGCTGGTGGTGGTCGTGTTAGGGGTGGCGGTGGCGGTGGTGGGGGCGGCAGCGTGTCAGGTGACTCAGTCGGGGCGGGCAGCCGCAAGCAGCAGCCGCAGCAGCAGCAGCGGAGGCAGGAGCAGCCGACTCAGGAGCAGCAGCAGCAGCGGGAGCCCAAGGCGTCCGCGGGTGCTGGAGTGGCGGGCGGTGGTGGGGCCGGTGGTGGTGGCCGTGCGGCTCCTGACGATCTGCCGCTGCGCTACGTGGCTATGGAGGAGCTGCCGGAGGGGGATGTGCCGGAGAGTGAGTGGAGGGAAGGGGTGGGGGGGGTGGGGGTCAAAGACCACTCCTTACCATTGGGGGAGGCTAGTTTGGGATGGGAAAGGGTTAGGTTGTCACTGCCCCTCTCACTGCCCCCTCCCCCCTGCGTGTTATTAGTGCCTCCGAATGCGCTCACTGCATGAGTCGGGATATGGGATTGGGATTCGTTGTTTCACTTATATAATTTTTTCCCCCCTCGCAGGCATCCGCTCGGTGTGCGGCCCCGCGGTGTGCTCCATGCGGCTGCCCCGGGTGCGGTGCGAGGAGGTGGGCTTCACGCGGGAGGGGCGCGGTCTGGGCATGCCGGTGCGGCCGGCGTGGAGGGGAGTGGTGAGCGGCGGGGTGGGGGCCGAGGGGGCCGTAAGGAGGGGGGCGGGGCCGAGGGGCGGGGGCGGGGGCGGGGTGGGCCGAGGGGTAGGGAGTTGTGAGGCAAGGGCCGGGGAGCCAAGCCTGTGGTTTATGCGAGGGTGGAAGGGTACGGCATCCCGGGCGATATAGGTGGCGCAGGCGACAGTGACTTTGAGAGGACTCAGCTCCCCTCACCTGCACCCCTCCCTCCCTCTCCCTCACCCTCACCCTCACCCCCCTGCTCCCCTCTTCTTCCCCTCCTCCCTGCTCCCCCAGGTTCGCGACGCCGCTCAGCTGCATGCGCTGGAGGAGCGCTCCTTCCAGCAGTGGGCGCAGCGGCTGCAGGAGGGCGTGGAATGGTGGGGGGCAGGGGTCCAGGGGGCAGGGGGCAGGGGGGGCATATGGGCTGGGCCGGGCACCGGCTGGGAGCAGCTGGGCATGGCGCATGGGAACCACGAAGTTGGTGCACCAGCACCCGCACACTCGCATTCCTCTGCTGTCACTGCCCAGTAGAGGCCCTGTTACATAGGGTCTTCAATCTCTGCATCACACCTTCACCCAGCTCCTCTTCACCCCGCCCCCCTCCCGCCACCCCCCCCCCGCCACCACCCCCCTGGCAGCCCTTCCCGCATCAGCTTCTTCGAGCCTCGTCTGGACTTCTGGCGGCAGCTGTGGCGGGTGCTGGAGCGGTCGGACGTGGCGGTGATGATCGTGGACGCACGCAACCCGCTGCTGCACTTCTCGGAGGCGCTGGTGGGGGCGGGGGGGGGAGGGGGAAGGGGGGTGTCAAAAAGACCAAACGATAGGAAATGGGGCGGCAGGGGGATGGGGAGAGGGGAGAGGGGGGAAACGAAGGTAGTGGCCAAGGGATTCACATCCCGGTAGACACAGTACGTTCATTCCGGTTGTGCTGTGGTGCGTCCCACCATCCTTCGCCCATCCTTCACCCAGCACCTCCCCTCCCCCCCCTCCCCCTCCCATGCAGGCCCACCACGTGCTGTCCGACCACGGTCTGCCCGCACTGCTGGTGCTCAACAAGTGCGACCTGGTGCCTGGGGCGGCGGTGGAGGCGTGGAGGGGCTTCTTCGAGGGGAGGTACCCGGGACTCAAGGTGGGAGGCAGGGGCAGGGGGAGGGGGAAGGGGGCAGGAGGGGTGGTTAGATAGACTGAGCCGCATGAGGATCTGACTTGGGAGGGGGAGGGCAGTTGAGGTGAGCTGCTGTTGTTGGAGAGTGGACCTGGGCCCCCCGCCGTGTTCGGACCTTGTTTGGCATTATCACAACCCCTTCCCCCCTCCCACACCCCCCCAGGTGGTTGCTAGCAGTGCAGCTGCCGGGGGCGGGGCGGGTGCTGCAGCGGCCATCATGGACGCCCTGCTGGACTGCGCCGTGCTGCGGGACGGAGCGCGGGTCAAGGTGGGGGGGGAAGAAGAATATCCAATGTGGGGGGGGGCAGGGTCAAGGTGGGGGTGAGGGGGAGGAACTGCCGTGTGACCAGGCGCTAGCATGGGGTGGGGGAGAGGTCACTTACGGCGGAGGGAGTTAACGCGCGGCTTTCCTTCCCTCTCCCTTCCCTCCTTCTCCGAATAGTGTCTCCGAATGCGCTCACTGCATGAGTCGGGATATGGGATTGGGACTCGTTGTTTCGTTTCACTTAATTTTTTCCCTCCTTCTCCCTTCCCGACCACCCCCCCCCTCCTCTCGCGGTTCCGCTCCAGGTGTCGGAGGTGGTGCGCATGAGCCGGGATGAGGTGCTGGCGCACTCCAAGGCACGCAACACGCACAGCAAGCGCGACAGACCGCAGGCGCCACCACCACCGCACCGGCAGCAGCAGCAGCAGCAGCAGGAGCAGGAGCATGAACGGCCTCTTGCAAGGGCCCAAGAGGAGCAGGAACATGAGGAGGAGGGTAGCGGCGCTTCGGACGGGGATGGCGGAGATGAGGACGGCGAGGAGGAGTGGGCAGTCAAGGTACCTTACGCAGGGGGGTGGGGCGGCTTGCAAGCTGGACAATCTATACATGTGTGATCTTTACTTTACTTGCATGCTAGTCCGTCCGCCTGCTGCGTCCGTCTTTTGTTTGCACACCTCTCGCCCCTCGACGTCCCCAAGTCCCTCGCGCAGTCCCCCGCCCTCGCTCCCTGCCTGCTGCTGCTCTACACTCTCCACCCTCACGTCCACCTCACCCCCCTCCCCTCAGGGCACCAAGGCTCGCAAGAAGCTGGCGGTGCGCAAGAAGCGTCACCAGCGGCTGCATGCGGCAGGGGGAGGTGGAGGAGCAGCAGGGGGAGGAGCAGCAGCAGCTGCCGGAGGGGCACGAGGGACGGGGGCAGCAGAGCCATCCCGGGGCCGGCGGGGGGCTCCTGCTCCTGCTGGGGGTGCTGGGGGTGGTGGTGTTGGGGGTCAGGCAGCAAGGCCGCGCCGGGGCGGTGCCCTTGTAGCCGGAGGTGCATCGGAAAAGCCGGAACGCCAGGAGGAGGAGGAGGAGGAGGAGGGTGTGGGCAGTGATGGAGGGGAGCTGGAGGAGGAGGGCACTGCCAGCGAGGCCGGTGAGGGCGAGGATGAGGGTGAGGGGGAGGGTGACAGCGACAACGACAACGCCGCATTCGACAGCATGGTGGCTGCGGAGGAGGAGGAGGAGCGGCAGCAGCTGGGGGGATTCCTGCGGGAGGGGGTGCAGCAGCAGGGAGGGGGAGGCGGAGGCGGCGGAGGCGGGCAGAAAGCAGGAGGAGGCGACCCGGAGGAGGAGGACGTCCCAGCAGTGCCCCCCGCGCAGCAGCCGGCGGCCAGCACCAGCACCAGCACCACCAACAGCAGCAGCAATACCTGGGGCGGTCACGGTGCTCGGGGCGGTCGCGACCGGCGGGGCCGCAGCCGGCCGGTGGTGGTGTGTGTGGTGGGTGAACCCAACGTGGGGAAGAGCAGCACGCTGAATGCGCTGCTGGGCGCCAAGCGGGTGGCGGTCAGCTCGCACCCGGGGCGCACCAAGCACTACCAGACACACGTGATGTGCCCCAGGTGAGGGGGGAGGATGGGGAGGGGGGAGGGAAGCTAAGCCGAGGGGGAGGGGGGAGGGGTGAGGAGCGAGAATGGGAGGGCTCAGGGTGGAGAGCTGCGTCTATACGTAGACGGGGGGAGTTGTGTGCCGGGCGGCCTACCACGGGACGTGGCAATGTGCTTCACATGCTTTCTTCGTCACATCGACTTTGGTTCTGTTACCCCCACACGTGCTTTGCTTCCTCCCCCCGCAGTCTGATGCTGTGCGACTGCCCTGGGCTGGTGTTTCCACGACTGGACGTCTCGCTGCACATGCAGGTGGGGTTGCAGGGGGGGGGGATTGGGGGAAGATCGGAAGATCGGAAGGTTGCGATTCTTGCGAAGGCACATCCGACATACGGGTACCCTCTATTATCCCCAAGGTGCATCTTTGCGTTCGCGTACGACATTGCATATACAAGGCGCCTCTTATTCCCATACCATACCCTTCCCGCCTGCCCCTACCTTCATACACACACGCCCACATGTACGGCACCTCTCCCCCCACACGCTCCCCCCCCCCCCCAGGTGCTGTACGGCAGCTACCCCATCGCCCGCTGCCGCGACCCCTACGCCGTGGTCCGCTACCTGGCTGAGCGCGTGTGGCCGCGACTGCACGTCACTCTGGGGCTGCGACCCGTGCGCGACGAGGAGGAGGAGGAGGCGGAGGAGGAACGGTCACAGGATCTTCGAGAGCGTGAGGGAGGGCCGCGGCGAGGGCCGAACCAGCAAGGCAAGGCCGCAGCCGCAGCTCCTGCCGAGTGGCGTGATGAGGACTGGACTCCTGCTGCGCTGCTGGAGGCCATGGCGGCCCGACACAACTGGCGCAGCAGGCGGGGTGGGCGGCTGGATGTGTACCGCGCGGCCAACTGGATTCTGAGGAGTGCGCTTGCGGGGCGGAATGGGGTGAGCGTGGCGTTCCTGCCGCCCGCTGGGGGGGAGGAGGCGGAGGCGGAGGTGGTGGGTGGGGTTGCTGGAGAGGGGTGGTAAGGGGATGTGGGGTTTTGTGGTTATTATGGAGAAGAGGAGGAGCAGGGATGTGGGGGTGAGGTTATGGAGGAGAAAGAGGAGCAGATTGTTGGGGAGTTGGATAGCGGTGGGGTAGGGCTTGTCCGGTAAGGAGGTATGCGGGGGCCTGCCGGTAGTCTACTGGTGGCATCATTGGCGCATCACTGTTTCTTCTTGAGATTAATGAGGTTAGGACCTTAGGGGGGAGGAGCGGGGGCTGCTGTTGGTCGCAGGGTTGCAAGGTTGGGGTTAGGGTATGTTGTATGAAAGGCACCAAGCAAGGCACATTCGTACACTGGGTGCCGTACACTTGGGTGCCGTACACTTGGGTAAGGGAGCGGCGTGCAGCTCGACTCGCAAGACGGGTGCGATGTTGCTGTGCTGTTGCGGCGGCAATGCCACCGGTATTGCAATTTGAATGGATGAGCTGCTGTAAAGTTGAACGAGCATGCGAGGAAACCTTGCTGCTGCGTGGCCTTGCGACTGTAGCAGCAACGACATGTTGCGGGAGGAGGGTGGGCTGGGTGCTGATGGAGGGGTGTCAGGGACAGCGTAGCAATTGGAACCGGGTAACCCGAGTACGACAGGCGGCTGAAGATTCCTAAACAGGATAGGGTAACACAACCGGAAGTGATGAAGTGATAAAGGCATTCAGCTGCGTACCGAGTAGGCGGCCGACCAAAGTAGCCGGGGTGCGCCCACTTGGTCCCGCATCCAACGCAATCGCAAAACGGCTTCCGAAGGCCTCCCACTTCTGTATAGGTGACACTTTTACATCGCACACACAACTGTTGGCAAAATAACTATGTGACCGTAAATCCCCCCGTAACGAAGTGGAGGGGAGGATTGGAGGACAGATCACCGCTAAAGTTCGTCTGTCTGTCTGTCCGTGACCGTAAATCCCCCCGTAACGAAGTGGAGGGGAGGATTGGAGGACAGATCACCGCTAAAGTTTGTCTGTGACCGTAAATCCCCCCGTAACGAAGTGGAGGGGAGGATTGGAGGACAGATCACCGCTAAAGTTTGTCTGTGACCGTAAATCCCCCCGTAACGAAGTGAAGGGGAGGATTGGAGGACAGATCACAATTAAATCATCTCCGTCTGTCTGTCTGTCCGTCTGTCTGTCTGTCTGTCTACAAAAGTGGTGGCAACGACCTTCAGGCGCTAAGCGTTCAGTCCTGTCCTCAGCCAGCCAGAGGTCTCCAGTTCGAGCCAGGTAGCGACCTCTTGGCGACTTCCTCGGCACCCTTGGAGATGATGCCTGGGCCTATGGGGATGGTGTTCTGGGAGATCTCGAGTACGACAACACACTGTACGGCAGCAGACTGTACGGCACAGGTGCCATGCTGTGTGGTGACACATCATGTGGTGTACGACATGTACGACAATGTACGACAGTTGTACGGCAGTGTACGACAGCGTACGACAACTGTTGTACGCTTGTACGGCATCTGTACGGCATGGGTTTTGACACGCCCTCCCACCCCCCTCCGTGCTCCCCACTCCCCTCATCGCCCCCTCTTCACTCATCATGCCTGGCATCATCAGGATGGTGTCCTGAGATGTGGTGTCGTACAGCAACACAGTACGGCATGGGTTTCGACACGCTCTCCCACCCCCCTTCATGCTCCCCACTCCCCTCACCACCCCCTCATCACTCATCATGCCTGGCATCATCAGGATGGTGTCCTGAGGTGTGGTGCCGTACAGCAACGCAGTACGGCATGGGTTTCGACACGCCCTCCCACCCCCCTCCATGCTCCCCGCCCTCCTCACCACCCCCTCGTCCCTCCAGCACCTCTGAACGCCCCTGCATCACCATGAAGTGTACGGCAACGCAGTACGGCATGGGTTTCGACACGCCCTCCCACCCCCCTCCATGCTCCCCGCCCCCCTCACCACCCCCTCGTCCCTCCAGCACCTCTGAACGCCCCTGCATCACCATGAGGTGTACGGCAATGCAGTACGGCATGGGTTTCGACACGCCCTCCCACCCCCCTCCATGCTCCCCACTTCCCTCACCACCCCCTCGCCTCTCTGGCTCCTCTGACCACCCCTGTCGTACAGCGACACGGTATGGCATGGCTTCGGGCACTGCATATCACCAATCTTCTTGTTGCAATATCTTGCATTGTGATCTCGACTAAGCTGTAACTGAATTAATGAGCCATTCGCAGTTTCTTGGTTACTTTCCAAAATCAGTGTCAAAACGTTTGGTGCTCCCACCCATTGGATTGGAGGATTGGAGGACAGATCACCGCTAAAGTTTGTCTGTCCGTCTGTCTGTCTGTCTGTCTGTCTGTCTGTCTGTCCACAAAAGTGGTGGCAACGACCTTCAGGCGCTAAGCGTTCAGTCCTGTCCTCAGCCAGCCAGAGGTCTCCAGTTCGAGCCAGGTAGCGACCTCTTGGCGACTTCCTCGGCACCCTTGGAGATGATGCCTGGGCCTATGGGGATGGTGTTCTGGGAGATCTCGAGTACGACAACACACTGTACGGCAGCAGACTGTACGGCACAGGTGCCATGCTGTGTGGTGACACATCATGTGGTGTACGACATGTACGACAATGTACGACAGTTGTACGGCAGTGTACGACAGCGTACGACAACTGTTGTACGCTTGTACGGCATCTGTACGGCATGGGTTTTGACACGCCCTCCCACCCCCCTCCGTGCTCCCCACTCCCCTCATCGCCCCCTCTTCACTCATCATGCCTGGCATCATCAGGATGGTGTCCTGAGATGTGGTGTCGTACAGCAACACAGTACGGCATGGGTTTCGACACGCTCTCCCACCCCCCTTCATGCTCCCCACTCCCCTCACCACCCCCTCATCACTCATCATGCCTGGCATCATCAGGATGGTGTCCTGAGGTGTGGTGCCGTACAGCAACGCAGTACGGCATGGGTTTCGACACGCCCTCCCACCCCCCTCCATGCTCCCCGCCCTCCTCACCACCCCCTCGTCCCTCCAGCACCTCTGAACGCCCCTGCATCACCATGAAGTGTACGGCAACGCAGTACGGCATGGGTTTCGACACGCCCTCCCACCCCCCTCCATGCTCCCCGCCCCCCTCACCACCCCCTCGTCCCTCCAGCACCTCTGAACGCCCCTGCATCACCATGAGGTGTACGGCAATGCAGTACGGCATGGGTTTCGACACGCCCTCCCACCCCCCTCCATGCTCCCCACTTCCCTCACCACCCCCTCGCCTCTCTGGCTCCTCTGACCACCCCTGTCGTACAGCGACACGGTATGGCATGGCTTCCGGCACTGCATATCACCAATCTTCTTGTTGCAATATCTTGCATTGTGATCTCGACTAAGCTGTAACTGAATTAATGAGCCATTCGCAGTTTCTTGGTTACTTTCCAAAATCAGTGTCAAAACGTTTGGTGCTCCCACCCCCCTCCATGCTCCCCCCCCCCCTCACCACCCCCTCGTCCCTCCAGCACCTCTGAACGCCCCTGCATCACCATGAAGTGTACGGCAACGCAGTACGGCATGGGTTTCGACACGCCCTCCCACCCCCCTCCATGCTCCCCGCCCCCCTCACCACCCCCTCGTCCCTCCAGCACCTCTGAACGCCCCTGCATCACCATGAGGTGTACGGCAATGCAGTACGGCATGGGTTTCGACACGCCCTCCCACCCCCCTCCATGCTCCCCACTTCCCTCACCACCCCCTCGCCTCTCTGGCTCCTCTGACCACCCCTGTCGTACAGCGACACGGTATGGCATGGCTTCGGGCACCGCATATCACCAATCTTCTTGTTGCAATATCTTGCATTGTGATCTCGACTAAGCTGTAACTGAATTAATGAGCCATTCGCAGTTTCTTGGTTACTTTCCAAAATCAGTGTCAAAACGTTTGGTGACCGTGACCACCCCCCTCCATGCTCCCCACTCCCCTCACCACCCCCTCGTCGCTCTGGCTCCTCTGACCACCCCTGTCGTACAGCGACACGGTATGGCATGGCTTCGGGCACCGCATATCACCAATCTTCTTGTTGCAATATCTTGCATTGTGATCTCGACTAAGCTGTAACTGAGTTAATGAGCCATTCGCAGTTTCTTGGTTACTTTCCAAAATCAGTGTCAAAACGTTTGGTGACTGTGACCACCCCCCTCCATGCTCCCCACTCCCCTCACCACCCCCTTGTCGCTCTGGCTCCTCTGACCACCCCTGTCGTACAGCGACACGGTACGGCATGGCTTCGGGCACCGTGTATCACCAATCGTCTTGTTGCAATATCTTGCATTATGATGTCGATTAAGCTATAACTGAGTTAATGAGCCATTCGCAGTTTCTTGGTTACTTTCCAAAATCAGCGTCAAACTGTTTGGTGACTGTGACCACCCCCCTCCATGCTCCCCACTCCCCTCACCACCCCCTCCTCGCTCCAGCTCCTCTGACCACCCCTGTCGTACAGCGACACGGTACGGCATGGCTTCGGGCACCACGTATCACCAATCGTCCTGTTGCAATATCTTGCATTGTGATGTCGATTAAGCTATAACTGAGTTAATGAGCCATTCGCAGTTTCTTGGTTACTTTCAAAAATCGGCGCCAAACTGTTTGGTGACCGTGACCACCCCCCTCCATGCTCCCCACTCCCCTCACCACCCCCTCGTCGCTCTGGCTCCTCTGACCACCCCTGTCGTACAGCGGTACGGTACGGCATGGCTTCGGGCACCACGTATCACCAATCTTCTTGTTGCAATATCTTGCATTGTGATGTCGATTAAGCTATAACTAATTTAATGAGCCATTCGCAGTTTCTTGGTTACTTTCAGAAATCGGCGCAAAACTGTTTGGTGACCGTTACCACCCCTCTCCAAACTCCCTACTCCCCTCACCACCTCTTCATCGCTCTAGCTCCTCTGAACACCCCTGTCGTACAGCGGTAC